TAGTATATCGGGATGAAAAACCCAACCGTGCACAAAAGACTGTACGGCATCTCGGCGCAGACCATGGCAAACGCAAACGGGAACTGGCTGTATGCTTTCGCTGCGGACTCCCGGTAGAATATCAATCGGGAAAGGTCGTACATGGGTTCCACCTGCGCCAAAATCAGCGCAGGGATGACCGTGATCTGAAAGATGACGAAAACTCGGTACTGTAAGCTTGAACGACTGTCGTCGAGCTGCAGGAATGCCAATCCCGAAAGCAACGCGATGGCCACATGGTTGAATAGCCTCGTAAAACCATAGTTTGGTGAACGCCAGAACGCCAAGTGCGTCCGCTTGGACACGACTTTGATTTGATGCCACAGGGGAGAGGCATATTCTCTTTCATCCAGCTTCGGTTCGCCAGCAACTTGGCGTTGACGTTGGGCTTTCATGTCCATGATTTCGGTCTTGACGGTCGCGAGCTCGTCGCTTTCGCGCCATATGTCGCCCCAGTCCCTGTCACCAATGCGAGGTGCAATGCCTGCCCCGATAGCATCGAGCATCCATTCTGCCGGGTTAGCATCGGGAGGACAATCAGCGCCGTATTTGTGGAAGTAACCCAAAAGGACGTGGGCATCTTTGCCAATGTCCCCGAAGTAGACGGTCTCTCCACCCTTTTGCAACAAGAGGAGCCGGTCGAAGTTTTCGAATAGGGCGCTGTTGGGTTGATGAATGGTGCAGAGAATCGCTTGTCCAGCGGCGGACAGTTTGCGGAGGAAGCGGACAATGTTGAATGCGGATTGTGAATCAAGACCCGAGGTGGGTTCGTCAAGGAAAAGTAACAGTTGAGGTTTTGCGGCAAGTTCCACGCCGATAGTCACTCTTTTGCGCTCTTCAACTGAAAGTCCACTTTCAGGGCTGCCAATGATGGCATCTGCAAGATTTTCGAGTTCGAGTAAACAGAGAACTTCTTCAACGTAGGCGTATTTTTGCTCTCTAGGCACTTCATACGGTTGACGAAGATCGGCGCTGAACCGGAGTGCTTCTCGGACAGTCTGAGTCGATTCGTGGACGTCAAGTTGTTCTGCGTAGGAAGTACCTCTCTGGAACCCAATGCCCGGCTTTTGACCATCAACCAAGATATCTCCGCCAATAACACCGATATTCTTTCGAGACGCGAGGACATCAAGTAACGTCGTCTTTCCGGCCCCGCTGGCGCCCATCAAAGCGGTCAGTTGTCCTGGACAGACGTATCCAAAGACATCTTTTAGCAGTCGCAGCTGCCCCGAGGGCGTGGGTACATCATACGTAAGATTCTCCCAGGTCAAGATAGCTTTGGAAGTGATGTTGAGCTCTGAGCTGTCTCCGGCGTCTTGCTTCGTTTGTCTTCTTCGTTTGCGTTCCCGGAGTTTCTCATTCAATGCTTTTCTTTCTTTGTTTTCCTTGGTGAAGTAAGTGACCGTGCGACCGCCCGCTCCATATTTGATGGTTTCTCCTAGCAGGACGTTGGTGAAAAGGAAGAATGCGATCAATACAATGATGATGCCAAAATTACGCCAGAGGTCCGCTGGGTCGTAGGAAAAGCCCTTCTTGACATATGCAGTCCCCGATACTTCGACCGATCCTGCTTGAGAGCCTGGCAGAGTGCAGACTTGGTGATCAATGTTGTTGTACCCAGGACCAGAGGGTATCAGCGACTCGTCGGTACAGCGCATCGTCAGTCTCATGAACTCGTTCGTCATCATCGCTGCGAAACCTAGACCAAGTGCATTGATGTAAAATATCCACCGTAACCACACTTGCTGACTTTGGTACTGAATGATATACCCAGAGGTGATCACGTACAAGGTAATAATGACAGCAGCGAACTTGATAGCGTAGTCAAAGTCCGGACATAAGCAACCAATTGTTCGGAAAAATAATGTCATCGAAAGGTAGCCCGTGATGATGATGAGCACGAACGTGAAGAACGCCCCGGGACTCCGGACCAACCCAGTCATGAAGTACACGATGACACTAAAGACAAAAATTTGGACGGACGCAAATGCCAGGTCGACGAGGATCTGAGCAAGCCATAAAGCGCTGGGTCGGTGGAAAGTATACGCTCGATGCTTGTTCACGATAGGCCGCCCGAGCATAGTGGATGCAAGTTCAGAAAATGCCTGAAATGCGTTGAAGAGTAAGGCGATGAAGAGAACGCCGCCGCGAGTGAACGCTCCCGCCGAAGTTCTGGGTTGATTCAACCAGACGGTACCGACTACAATCGCAATGGTAATGGACGTGATCCAAGAGACTGCTAGAGAGAATTTATCTTGCCATTTGATCAGAAACTGTCGTTGCATCAAGGCCCAGATCTGTAGGTGGAAAGGAACCGAGTAGACCGAGTTTTTGGGCGTATGCTTCCGTTTGGCTTCTCGATGTGCCGCCACGAAATCATCGTAGATCTGTTTTTCTTGCTTGATGGATTCTCGATAGTCCCCCATCTCTTTCTCCAGTTTTTCCGCATAGGTGGACTTGTTGAAGGCTTCCACGAAGGAGTCAGGCGTCGAAGGCGCGTTCTCGGGAGATCTGCCCGGTTTATATTCCCGTTCGAACTCGTCGGTGCAGCCCGTGAGATAGTCGGGCGTTGTTTGACGTGGTTTCTCCAAGAAACCCAAACCTTCAAAATATCCTCTTGCTTCCTTTGCAGGACCGAAGAAGACTTGTCTGCCTTCATCGATCACAATAACTTTGTCAAATTGGCTGTAGATGTTCTCGGACGCTTGATACAATGAAACAAAAGTGGTGGTTTTGTAGATGTTGGTCATGATTCGAAGTGATTTTGCGTAGTCAAGAGCTGTGGAGGCATCGAGACCGCGCGTGCTATTGTCCCAACAGCAGACTGTGGCTCGAGTCACCATCATCTCGGCAATGGAGACTCTCTTTCTTTCTCCGCCAGAGACGCCGCGCATGAAAGGATTGCCCACAATGGTATTGATAGTGTGCTCGATGTTGAACATTTTGAGCAGGAGTCGGATAACCCTATCCTTGAATTCGGCTTTGCTGAGGCCCAGCGGACGTTTTCCAGGCGTTTTGGTGTCGAGTGCGAACCCGAGGGTTTGGCCAACAGTTAGGGTGGGATGGTGGACATCGTCCTCTTGGTTGTAGACTGCCTCGCCTCGGTAGAGCTTCTCAAACGTCGCGGCGTCAAAGGGGCCGTAGAGAACCTCTCCTTCTATGCCTGTATATCCATACCGTTGATTGGCAAGCACTTTGAGAAACGTCGTACAACCGCTTCCAGGTCGACCCAGGACAAGCACCATCTCACCCGGTTTCGCAACGCCACGGAAGCCTTGCAAGATGTTGAATTCTCTGCCCTTTTTACCTATCCCGAGAATGCTCATAATCGTCCCCGGCACGTTGAAGAAGTCGATGAAGGCATCGGGGAAGACTTTGACAAAGTTCTTGATGCCACCGATACCGCGGACAGTGAGATTGTCCCAAATCACGCCTGTTGAGCCGGTTTAGTAAAGTTGGAAGCATGCCTCCGCGCCAAACTCACCGATATACTTGGGTTTGATGCCTGCAGCAGTATCCGCCTCCCTCGCGCCGCGTAGGGTGGATTCCAAGTCGAAGGCATCTTCGGAATTCTCATCGGATGAACTGATTGCCTTCTCCACGTCCTTCCCCCTGACATTGGAGGCTTTCGAGTGTGTCCGCGAAATTCGACGGCTGATTGCACTCAATTCTTTGCTCAGTTCTGCAAAATCTTTCTCCGCCTGTTCAACATTGACACCCGAGCTCGTGCGTTGAAGCCCGTAAGAGTCGGCCGATATCCGAGGTCGTTCATACTGCTTTTCACTGGCGAACGCTTCTCTATCTCGTAACGTGTCGGACTCCTCTTCATCATATTGATGAGCGTTTTCTTGGGGCAACTGGTTCGCGCCGGCACCATGTTGTTGTGCTGGGTGGTTCAGGCCCAATTCTTTGGAAAGGGCGTCGACCATGGTTTTGCAAGCTTGGGAACTTCCCAAATTCCCAATCCTCGGGTAAATTCCAAAGTTTTTTGGGGTTCGGCTATGTTCGCCCCCTTCCCCCACATCAACCGGGGAGCCTGTTGGACCAAGCTTGCCACACACAGCTCTATACAATGTCGAAGAAAAGGGCTACCGCGTCCAAGGAGACGACCGCCGAGACAGGGCGCGAAGATGATAGCCTGAAAAAAAGATCAACAGAAAAGGGAAATAAATTATCCTAGAAAAAGGGCGAACGTCTGGCCACTGACCGCCAGCCTCCACTTGGGCAATGGGACCTTTCGCATATTAGTGCATAAATCGGCAGAGCGGCTTCCGGATAATGCGCCAGTCAACCGTGACTCCAGCCTCCGGTGTTTTTGGAACCCATTCGGGTATCTTGCAGAGTCCAGATGGGAGTGGGGTGTCCTGAATTGCCTGAAACAGCTGGCATCTGCCAAAGGACCCCCGTATCTCGATGGACGTTGGCAGTGAGTCATGTCAATTCAGGGTCGTTGAGCAATGGATGGACACTGTATCACCAGGCGCACGGCGGTCAAAGTCCGGGGTCTACTAAGTCTCTGCGGGTTTGGCTTGCTGGGTGCCAGATGCTGACTCTTTGATTGAACAGCAGAGGGTCGCGAAAATCCGTTGCGGATCCAGATAATACGAAGGACCTCTTGGCGACCTCGTTCAGCTCTGGATGTCCTCTTTCGTTGAGCCGAAGTTTGGTGCGGAATTCCCCAGTTCCATCTGCCCCATCTGGCTCGTAAGCGCAACTCGAGTCAGGGGATCCATTACAAATCAGATTATCTGACTTTTACCTCCAAAACGGATTGGTGACGACCGTTGCAGCGATGTGCGTCCAACTGTCCAATGTGATACAAGAAAGACGACGTCCCAAAGACGCGCACTTCGTTCCAAGTAGACCGCCAGAGACCTGAGCTGTATCTGTTTGTTTCCTGTATATGCGGAGGTACATAATGCTTCCTGCTGCCCGGCTGTGCCCAAAAATTCCGGCGCGTTTCATTTGTTCACGGAGCGGGAGATGACCCGTGACAATTCCTTGATCAAATTGATCTTCGGCTCTGGGGGTGTTTCGCCGCCTTCTTCTTCGACGTTGTGCTTGCTCACGATATTGAGAAAGACTTGGTCCAATGTTGCACGGCTGACACTGTAGTATTCAATCTGCAGCTCCGATCTGTTCTTCTCCAGAGCTGTGAACAGGGACGCGATGCCAGACTCGGCGCTAATTTCGCCATCTTTGCTCGCGCACAACCCTTTTGTTGGCACCGAAAATCGGATCTGGCCTGCATATACCTTGCTCTCGATATTTGCATCGGAAAAATTCCGCAGGACCCAGTCCCGGATGCGCAGCATGTCTTCATCCGAAGCGTGTGGGGCCCTACTATGTACGAGGTGTACATAATACGCGTCTCCGTGCTTTCTTCGAAGGTAATCAGTGGTACCAAGCGCCAACATCTTGCCTGCCATGATACCAGCTCTTGTTGCGAGGGCATCTGCCTCCTCCATCGAATGGGTGGTGAGCACCAAAGATCGACCGGGGACCACCGATTCCAATGTTCTCCACATGACGCGCTTGCTCGCCGCATCCATGCCTGACGAGGGCTCGTCAAGCAAGAGGACGCTTGGATTGCCCATAAGCGCGATTCCGAGTGACAACTTGCGCTTGTTGCCACCGGACAATTTGGCCGCCATCCTATCAGCATACTGCTCCAGGCCGACCGCACGCATCACTGCCTCGACGTTGTGGCGAGGATCGCTAACACCACGGACTCTGGCGTAGAAATGCAGATGCTCAGAGACAGTCATGGTATCCATTGCGTCAAACTGAGGGCAAACTCCAAGGCGAGATCGTGCTTGAGCCCGATGTCGGATCACAGAGATATTATCGACTAAGATATCCCCTCCTCGATGACTTGGCTGAACGTCACCCCTGATCAGAGATATCGTCGTCGACTTCCCGGCTCCATTTGGTCCAAGGAGGGCGAAGACCTCGCTCCGAGGCACACCAAATGTTACATTGTTGACAGCGAGTGTTTTGCCAAACCGCTTGGTCAAGTTCAGAACGCGAAGACCATCTTGCGACGAGGACACTCTCGTGAGTTCATTCGAGACTTCCGCCTCGACAGTATCTCTCTCCTCTACCTCCTCTTCCTGTTGCTTTCTGCGAAAACGTCGAAAGAACGGCCCAGAATCCCACCACAGCAATAGCCCAAAGAGCAAAAAGGATTGCAGAATCAAATACAGAATGGGACCGCCGAACGTAGCCATTGATCCAGCATAAGAAGCGAATTCTCGATTCCTGCAGGTAATCGAGAAAACATTAAGAGTGACAAACAGTGCGCGGGTCAGATTTGCTACGGGAGAGATGGCTGCAATTGTGAAATGACAGATATTGACATTCCTGTCGATTTTGTCGATCGGTGAATAGGTGAGAACGGACATGTAAGCAATGAAATAAAGGAGGAACATCACGGCCTGGCCACCACTTGCAAAGGCAAAAGCTGCCAGTTGCGACCGTGAGAATAGGGATATGACATACGATAACAGTGTCGAGGCCAGGCCATACAAAAAGAACACCACAAAGAGGTACTCAATGTGATACCACACGTCGGTGACAGCCCGGAAAATGATAATGGTGATCGAACTGGTGATGACGACAATGACGAAGTCGAAAGCTGTGTATGCAAGCCACAAAGGTGCCGACCGGACGCCGTTGCTGTAGTGTAGGCCTCGAACGTTGCGCAGCCGCTCAATCGTGGGATACAGAGCAAAGAAGGATGGGTAGACTGCCATAGCAAGCCCAAAGTATGTGATCAACTGTAATGCTTTCCCGACATCTGCACCCCACGGCACGTCGAAGGCTTGATATTGGCTTGAAATGGAAACGTTGGTCAGCAAGGTGTCCATGGCATTCTGTATGATGCACGAGAACGCAATATTTCCATCCCCTCGCCAGGCAAATGTGGGTGGTGAAGTTGAATCTCCCAGGAAAAACCCACCAGGCGTCACGTTGGCAAACTTGGTGTCGATATAGTGGTTGAACTCATCGAGGGTATCGACCAGATGGATTGATTCCAACAACTTTGTGGTATTCGCTGCAATTCCCGCGGCGCCCGTGCTGCCTGCTAGCGTAGAAGCAAAAAGCTGGATAGCATTCTGAACAAGCCGATCTCGCGGCCCTGCTACAATGTCGTAGTCAACCTGCGAGGACAAAGACTCAATGTCGGATACCAGAGCTAATGATGCTGGACTGCAGGTCGTCTTTTGGAAATTGTGGAGGAAGAGGGTGACAAGCCCGGCAGCAATAATTGGAATCAGCAGTGCCGCAAGATAGGGGAGAGTGTTCCGGCGAAGGACAACCCATCTCTTGAAGAAAAGCACTAGAGCTTGTTGCGGCATACTGATGCGACGTCCATCCAGGAGCTGAGGAGGTTCTCCTGATGATTCGTCCCTGAACATTGCCTTTTCAGCGTTGTCAGGATCGATCTCGGTGCTGCTGTGACTGCCAATCTCCTGGAGGGTGTGATCGGCGCCCGTCTTTTCAGCTTGTTCCTGCACCAATTTGACCTCCTCGGCAACCTTCAGGAAGACGTCCTCGATTGTAGGACCATTAACCTGATACTCCCCAACGCCTGCACTTTCGATCCGACGAAGAAAGTCTGCTGCTTTTGCTGAGTCCGTCAATGCGTAAATCGTCTGGTCATCCCGTCGAACATGATTGACATCCTTGTACGTCGGAAGCTGCTGAGACCCGTGGGTATGGTAAACATGGACTCGGTATCCCGAGCCTAGTTTGTGTTTCAGCTCCACCGAGGTTCCCGAAGCTTTCAGAATACCTTTTGACAGTATCGCGATATGATCGGCAAGGAGCTCAGCCTCATCAAGGAAATGTGTCGTCAGAATGATGGACCTTGCCCCCCGCTCAGCAAGCAAAATATCCCAGATCTTTCGCCGGGATAAAGGATCAAGACCGGAGGACACCTCATCTACGCAACATACTCGCGATCCTCCGGTGAACATCATGGCCAGCTGCAACTTCCGCTTCTGGCCCCCAGACAATGTCTTTGAACGGGCACCGGCTTTTCGGTCAATATCGCACGAAGCCAGGAGTTGCAGATTATCTTCTTTCGAAGAGGACCTCCGGCTCTTGATCCTGTTGAAGATGCGGACGTGCTCTTCCACCGTGAGGTCATCCCACAGCACATTTTTCTGAGGACAAAATCCTAGTCCAGTATATGCCTCGGGAAAATTGACGGTGATCTCTCCGGAGGTGATAGAATTGAGGCCGGCAATCGCATCCAAAGTGGTGGACTTCCCACTACCATTGGCGCCGAGTAGCACCACTATTTGACCTCTTGTCGCATCCAAGGTCAGGTTGTGGACGGCAAGTACAGTCGTGAGTCGTTTCCTAGTGAATATCGCGCGAAGCCTCGCCAACCATGAAGGTACATATTCCTTGGTGAAGCCTGACATTGAGATGGCTCTAAGATCATCGGAATATATGGTCTTTCGACTTTCCGACGCTGTGCCATAGAGCGTGCGCTCCACATAAGCACCAAGGATTGGAAAAACAAAAATCTGAATTATTGAGAAGATCCACAGAGCAATACCTGGTAGAGCAGAGGTATTCTCTGGCGCTTGCTTCACCAGATTCGTGGCAAGGTCCTGTCTCTCCCAGCGAGCCATAAAGATCGTAAAGTATACATAATTCATTGGTGGGAAAAGGAGAGAGAGTATGGCGACAGATGTTGTTCCTGCTTTGCTGGCGACCTGGGCGACGATGGCGAGTAAGAGGCTTACAATGACAGAGGTAATTCCACTGAGTTGAGCCTTTTTGAAGAATGCGGCACCCAAGATTGACAATGATGACATCGACAAGCCGGATAAGATATTGAATATGATGACGATAGCTGGTGAAGTGTTGCTGAAGACGCCTGCACAGAGGATAATTGCCATGATGATCCAACCGGGGCCGTAGAGTAGGTCAAATGCAAGGTGGTTGGCGATAATTCGTGCCATCTGTGGCTGCCACCGCTTCAGATTCGGCATCATACAGTCAAGCAGCTGAGCCATGCCGTTTTCCCTCTCCGAAGCAATCACCCCGGTAAGCTGATACGTGACGCCGACAACGCCGATGAAGAAGGCGACAGCTAGGATGTCGATGATCCCTCCCATATATCGGGTCCGGATACGCTTCAGGCGCTCCTGTTTCGTCAGGGAAGTGTAAGGATATTCATCTGCTGTATCGGGAAGAATTGTCGCCCCGTGGTTGTCGGCTTCGACTTGAGAGATGGCACGGTCAATAGCATGTTGGAGGGGAAGCAAGTAGATCTCGACATCGTTCTTGGAGGAGTCCGTCACAATCTTAGACTGGAGCCCGCCGTCTGCACGGATGGTGTAATTCCACCGAGCAGCCTCTCCTTCGGAGGGAGAGGAGAAAAAGACAGCACCTGCTATGCATGACGAAGTTCCCCTGATTGAGTTTCGGCAGACGGTCAACAGCTCCTCCTCTTGGGACAGGATCTCGACTCGACCACCAAACGACCCAGTATCATTCACCACCCTGTCAATGACGGATTGAATTGCGCCGCCCGAGAACCCGCTATTGACAAAAACGAGCTTATCTCTGCCGCCAGAGACCAGGTCAAGCGCTTCAGATAGACTTCGAACTGGGGTGGGGTCACCAATACCATATACGCTGGGAGGAATGAATAGAAAGCGCGCGTAAGATCTGGACAGATTAGGAGCTGTTACAAAAAGGGAGGTGTAGACATAACGCACAGAAAGCCGACGAAGATGCAAGGCAAGAGGAACGCTCGAATAGTGGTCGAGAACCAGCGCCGGACAAAAGCAACCAGGAGATTCTTGAGGGTCAGAGTAAGGACCTGGCGCACAAAGAGAGCCATGGCGCAATGTGAGCGATGCAGATGTAAGGATTCTCGATCCTTGGAGCACAAGTCTCTCAGCGCCGTCGGTATTCTGCGCCTGGTATTTCCATTGATAAATTCTGTTCGGGCAGGAATCGTGGAGGGGCAAAGCGACAATCAAATATTCACACGAATCGAAGCGGGCGAACCAGGAGAGATATGTACAGTGGCGAAATGAAAGACATGGTGCGAGACCAAAGAGCAAATGAGGCCCGTCCCGGGACAATGGTGGTGAAGAGAAGAAACAGTGTTGCCTGGAGGGAGAGTGGCTGAAGCCGTTGTCTGAGAAGGCAGCTTGGTAGCTTGTCTTGATCCCGCTGCCGCCGCACTTCCATGACACCACGACTAGGCTTGACCCCGGAAAAATCAACGTCGACCTCCCCATCCAGGCTTAGAGCTTTCTTGTGCCATGAGGTTCGTATCGGTGCGTATCGTTAGCGAGAAGCCACGCGATGAGGATCCAATGGAGCCGGGCCTCAGCCGGCGAGTCGCCTGTCCAATTGAACCACTTCTTGGCCACTTCTAGTGATGGCTGGAGGTGTCTTGTTGGTTGTGTTTCTCCTAATTGGCAACAACACCGACTGGACATGCTGAAACCAGTATAAATAATCATCCAAAGCCAGATGCGGGCTGATATCGGGCTGATTATCAATAGGGGTAGTCCTTTCATCCAGTTTGACCGAGATTCGGGTCAGTCGACCCAACCCAACGCCGCCAGCGCCGCAGCGGACGGGGCAAATATTTGTCTCGATGGCAAATGGCGGCATCTGTCGGCGGCATCTGTCAGCGACTCAAACACGGCCGCATTCTGACTATCCTTGTATCTATACGTGTGAGACAACCAGAGAAAGTCTGTGCACACGGTCATCAGGTCTGAAGCCTCCGCCTTCTTTCAACCCTCGTGTCAGCATATCGAAACGACCTATCGACAACCCCGACACCTGGACGACGGACGTTGCGTTACCTGTGAAAAGGTCTCATGTATAAATGCCGTTTCCTATGGCCAGGCTCGCTTACTTGTCAGACGAACTTGTCGGTATGGCTGGACAAGGACAGCACTGATGTCTCAGGCGACCTATGGGTGTACAGAAACATGCTTTTTGTCAGCGGCGAGAACCAAAATCAGTGAACGTAACTTTCTAGGGGCATCTCAGACAGGCATCTGGATGGGCTGAGTGAGAATGTGTCCACCCTTGAAAACCGAAGACTGCAGGAGGATACATAATGTCCGCTCTTTCCCCCCCTGAGCTGGTGAAACTGATAATCAAGTACCTGTTTTGTTTTCCATCCCTTCCCTTGCGAGAACAGTTTTCGAACAAGCCGAATATAACTCCAAGCAATGGGAGGACTATCGGTTCTCCCGGTCATCGACACAAAGCCAGTCACAGGCTCCTACTTCATACTCATCGGTGTCTGTGTCGCCTTTCTCTACCTTGGCTACCGCAGGCTCCTTCCCAGACCCATTCCAGGCATCCCATACAATGAGTCGGCAACCCGTTCTCTGTTCGGAGATATACCTGAGATGATGAACTATATGGCTAGAACCGAAGAGGTCTGGCCGTGGATCGCTGACCAAGTAACGAAGCACCAATCACCTATTGTCCAAGTCTTTGCTAGGCCTTTCGCCCGGCCTTGGGTCATTGTGTCCGATCACCGCGAAAGTTGCGACGTCCTCCTCCGAAGAACGAAAGAATTCGACCGGTCCAATTTTACAGCTGATGTCTTCACAGGCCTAGTGCCAGACATGCATATCAGTTTCAAATCCACAGAGGAACAATTCAAACTTCATCGGAATCTGTTGAAGGACCTCATGACTCCTGCCTTTCTCCAGGCAGTCGCAGGCCCTCAGATATACGCCAACACCGAGACTTTCGTCAAGCTTTGGGATTTTAAGACTCAGCTGGCGCAGGGGCATGCGTTTGAGGCTAGCGAGGACATCTACAACGTGGCGCTTGATGTCATCTTTGCGGCGGCATTCGGACTAGGAATCAAGGATAGCAACACGTTCGCGCAGTTGCAGCAGTTTTCGTCAGCAAAACATCTGGACCGTCCGCAGTCTCTCAGTGAGCCAATGCCATTCCCTCAGTTCCACCGTCCGGCAATTTTCCAGGCCATTGCAACACTCACAGAGTCTCTCGAAGTCTCAATCAAGGCTCCTTTCCCTCGTTTCGCCCACTGGGCCTTACGCCAACTGCCTTACATGCGAAAAGCAAGAGCCGCCAAGGAGAAGCTCTTCTCCGATATGGTGGAGGAGTCTCTCAGCAAGCTGTCTTCCGGCAACAAAGCAAAGAGATCCGCCCTTGACGACATCTTACAGCGAGAGACTGCTGCCGCGAAGAAAGAGAATCGAACCCCAGTCTATCATTCTCGGGCAATATATGACGAGGTGAGTTGTTGTCCGCAAAGTCTGCTTAGTCGACACAGACAAGTCGTTTTTGGGAACAGGATGCACTAACGCTTCTCCTAGCTCTTTGGTTTCATCATTGGCGGTCACGACACGACGAGTACGACGCTCACATGGACTGTCAAATACCTTGCCGGTGCCCAATCCGCCCAAACCACCCTCCGCTCTCGTCTTCGATCCGCCTACGCCGCAGCGACAGCAGAACAACGTAACCCAACCATGGAAGAGATTATCAAGATTCCCATCCCATACCTTGACGCCACCATTGAGGAGATGAACCGAACAGCGCAACTCTTCAATGGGTCAATTCGTACAACCACCGTGGACACCACACTGCTAGGCTACAACATCCCCAAGGGCACAGACGTATTCTTCATGCAGAACGGACCAGGATACCTCTCGCCTCCCCTGCCCGTCGACGATTCGACGCGCAGCGCATCCAGCTTGAACGCCAAGAACCAAGTCGGACAGTGGACGCCGGATGAAGAAGACATGAAGGCGTTCCGACCCGAGCGCTGGCTTGCGCAGGATTCGGAAGTTGGGAAGGAGGTCTTCGACGCGCAGGCGGGACCACACCTGGCGTTCGGACTCGGTCCTCGGGCGTGCTTTGGTCGGCGACTGGCCTATCTGCAAATGCGAATCATCCTCGTCATGATGCTCTGGAACTTTGAGCTGAAGGAGACTCCCACCGAAGTCAGCAGCTGGGCGGCTGCGAACAAACTGGCGCGCCATCCGCGAATGTGCTATGTGAGACTGGAGAAGGCAAAATTCTAGATGCCGTCGGACAAAAAGGGACTTGATTAGTATAGGACGTGCATACAGATTCCGTCGCAGCGCTAGCATAGTCCATCGCAAATGCAAAGCTATTCAAGTTCATTCAAGCACGCCACCTAAAACATCGCTTCCGCGGCCGGCACCGCCTCCGCAGCACCACAATAGGGTAGTCCGACCAACTCACGGCCATTACTCGTAATTCCTGGTCTGGTCTCCTTCCCTCAGGAGTCCGAATGCAAAGAACCAAGCTGCCGCGTATAGCAGAGACAGGTCGTGAATCCTGACGATTCCACGCAGGTTTCAGGGTTTTCGCAAGTTATGCCCTCCTTTGGGACATCGTCCACAAGGCGCAGGAGATGGGCAGATGACTCAGAGGAGGCTGACGTCCACGGGTGCCACTATGTACAGCATAGACGGCCTGACAAGGTGGGGAGGGTTCTGCCCTGTAAGGCGAGCGGCGGCGCCGATCTGTCCGTCTGGATTCGTGCCCACAGGTGTTGAGGCCCACTCTCGCAACGGCTCGGTGTAATAGTAATATGTATACTACCGGACTAGGTCCTACTTAATAATGCGTGAGAAAAAGGCCGAAAACGGCAAGAGCAAAACGTCATATTCACATTAATAACAATGATAATAAAAGTGGATATCTTGCGTTTGGTCCTTCGACCGCTGACCATCTAGATTTCTGGCGAACAAAAACACCTGCTCTCCGAATACATAGTGTTCGATTCTGAGGGGTGAGTGAAGGCCACTTTAGCCTGGTGATATATATATATATTCTCACCAGCGCAGATGCCCAGAATGCACTTGGTGGCATGAGGGCGAAGTCGAACGCCGATTAAGGTCATAGTATCTGGATATCATGAATGTCGTGGAATTTTCGAGAGGAATGAATGTAGAAATAGGTCGCAACCTAACTCGTTATCCTCTGGAAGATGGAGCAGGTGTCGAATCATGCAGGTGCCTATGTAAGAGAAGTATCTGACATTTTCAACCGAGCTTCGGCCCTGACCAAGACAGACGTAGACCATTACACCCACAGCTCCATCCAGCCGGTGAAGACATTTGTGGAAGGACCTGAGCTTCGCGAGCAGAATTTGAAAACAATTGGCGTTAGATGGCATTGAGACATTGGAGAACGAGAAAAATAGTGACTGTGAGGGATGGGAAAACCATGACCCAGGCTCCCTTTTGAGCCTCCGATCCCAGAAGCTATGAACAATCATTTGCAGTCAGGCACCCTCGATCCTTCTTCTCTTCACGTCGATCTGCTTGCTGTCTTCAATTCCCTCTCGGTACGCACAATAGTCTCTGACCCTGCGTTCTCTGCGTCTGCCCTTGCTGAGCTTCGTTTTCTGTGCCTTCAAGTACTCTTCTGCAACTTTCTCGGCAGACTGACGGAATCGCACCAGAGCCTGGCTCGAATTCCAGGGACTGACCGTGAGTTGACCTTCGCTATCACGGTCAGCCACAGTTGCAGAGGTTGCGGGAGCATGACCAGGAACCATCTCGCGAAGTTGTGCTTCAAAGTCAGCGTCCAGGTCAAGTGGCTTCTCTTCCTCTTCCTTAAAGGTTACTTCAGCCTCAACTTCATCCTCGTCGCTGACGCATCCTTGATTTTCTGAGCTCGCTAAATTCTGGTCTTCACCGTCCTCCGGCTTCGTAGTTCGCTTCCCCTCCTCCTCATCTTCCTCCACCTTGAATATCATTTGATCTTCGACGTCACTGTCATCGGTCGTATTTCCCTGCTCTCTTACAGCGTGGAAGGAATTATTGTCACTATCCTCCAGCTTGAGTGCCGGCTTCTCGTCATTCTCCAGGCATAGTGAGACCCCGGCATTTAGCGATGAGCGTGCGGTCGCATTCTGATCATCGTTGGAATCCTCTGTAGGATGGGGAATGTGCTCTTCTTGCTGTCTCTCACGTCGTCTTTCCATCTCTTCTGCACGTTGTTTCTCATCTCTCTTGTCCTTTTGAGCTATATTCTTCAGGCCAATACCAACGCCTAGGCAATAACTATGTTTTCCTTTTTTGCCAGCTTTGCTCCTGGCCCATTCGAGCGTCAGATTATGAGCCATTTCGAAGGCCATTGCTGCGGCGACCGTGTTCGCAGCAATCCCGTAAAAGGTCCACTCAATGGAAGTCAGACGCTGCGTGGAGTAAGTCTGGCAGTCGAAGAAGATGGTCATCGCCGCGGCAATGTCGTGAACCCAAGTTTGGGAAATGACTTTTGCTTCACTACTTTTAGTGTTAGTGATAGCCACCACTGACTGCCCTCCTAGCGCCGCGTAATCGTCATCGTTGGTAGTCCGATCTTTAAGATCTGCATTTGTGACATTGTATTGACTCATCAGGCGGCTTGCCAGATACAGTGCGGCTTTGGCTTCCGACTCTGGAGTGTTTGGATGATGACCCCGTTGGAGACATTTCTTGATGCGGTCCACTACTCGCTGCTCAGGGTTCGAGTCTCTGTCATTGTCCACTTGTGCCTGAACCGCCAGCTCTTGTACTTTCGCAGTTTGTAGGGGAGGAGGGTTGAGCTTGTCTTTGGAATTGCGTGTGTTTGGCATATTGCGCACTGTTATTGGGGTATTCCACTGTGCGGTTCGCCAGTCGTGCAGAGGGGCAAAGAGGGCAAGAGAGTCAGTGTTATTTGGATTCAAGCAGGCACCGAGCAGGCAGCAGCATGGTGAGTATGGTAGCATCCAAATTCGCCCCATGTCCAGTATCATGTGATTTGCATCCCTGCAGAGGTGTTGCAGTTTAATCTAACCACCCAACTCTTCTGATAGAGAGGGCCGAGAGGGTCACAGACAGCCTCGTTGTCTTTGACCTACATAGCATCGGGCTCCCAGCTCTTCAGTTGAGATACCTCCAGGAACGAATTATTCGAAGATGCTGGTTAGCTTGACTGCGTCGGTCCGCAGCCACGCATTGCACTTCTGCGTCTGCCTGACTGTCCCCGTGCTATGTGGCTGGACGAAGTTCTGAGGCATTTCCTCTGTGCTGCCCCATGCTCGACTGGCCATTCTGGACTTTTATCATGAGCCCGGGGTCTTGCCGGTACGTCCGGTTTCGTGCATCGTTCGACGATCAGAGAGGAAGGATTGGCAAACTCAGATGTGAGGGTGCCTACAAGGACAGCAATCAGAAGCAGTGAATTTCTCTAGCAAGTCGAAGTAACAGGTAGTTCGAGCTGTTCCCCAATGTCGCTGTGACAATGAAGAATGAAGAAAAGAAAGAGGGAGGATGGCAAGTGACAAGCTACGGACGACCCGCATTCTAAACTTTATTGACAGTGATCTTCAACTCGCCAGAAAGCTAAACCCACTCAACATCTCGTCCCTCAACGCCAGCGGTCTTGAAACGATTTGTTGTTTCTCACCTTAGGCTCCTAGCACCTTTTCTGTCCGTCTCGGTTGATTACGTCCCGGTATTGTCTCATACATGGTCACCAGCAGCTTGTTACCATGCATGTCAATTGCAAACTCACCGTACATGTGTGGGATCGGCACCCATAGTTCTGGACATTGCATCTCCATTAGGATTGAGATCTGAGGATGACGGAAATTAGGCTTGCGAATGTACTTGCCTGTTTCTTCGTGGATGAATTGGTGCAGTGGCCGCTCGAGTGACACGACGGTCTCACCCGATAGTTCGTGGATGATCGTAGGGTTCAATATTTGCGCGGCCTCTTTATTGCCTTCCTGCTGGACGAGTTCGTATGCAGTGATTGCTCGATCGTCAAATGAGCGAACTGTCTTCCAGACTTCAGGTGCCGAGATGAGCCGTATTAGCTCTTCATGTGCGGCTCGTTCCTCATTATCAGCGGGATCATCTTTGTGCAAGGCAAACTCGTGAAGGAAAGTAAAGCCAAATCTCTCAGGTTGGTGGGTGCCATGTTGCAACTTCGTAATATTGAATCAATCGTTCTTGTACCAGTTGTACCCCTGTTGCAAAATTTACGAAGCAGTTATCCAGTCGCCGTGCAACATTGAGTTCTCCCATCCGAGCCGCAACTGGGTGGGGTGTGGTGGATAGTTGCTGTATTTGGAGTCGCCCATCCATGTCTGTTTTGGATGGGAGCGGGCAGCGGCAAGCTCTTGATTTCGCTTAAGGGGAGAGCCAAACATCCTTCCAGCTCGAGGATTGTCCGAGCTTGCAGCTCGTTGTATTTCGCAGAATCGGCAGCCAACCCACATTGCCCGCGACGGACGCAGATACCTCATATCTCGAGGCCTCTGCTATCAGTTGGAACATTTTTACGCTGTACAGCCCTCTGACCCTGATTTGAAGCTCGCTCTGTGGTATGGTTACGATTAGGATTGATAGTCACCAGCTCAATCCGGATCAAGGATCGCCCTACGTACACTTCCTCGCTCATCTGTATGGCTTGGAAGAAGCTGCCACGTAACAAAATTTCTTCTCTCCCCAAACGGTGAGAGATGCCCGACAGGCATAGCACAAATCGATGTCACAACACTGTCTAGGTATCTGTCCAAGTACGCGTGCAGAAGATCTTGATCCATTCCGTGCACATGAACCTTCCAGATTATGGGATGCTGGCCAGGCTTCTCATTGTCCAGGAATTTCATTGCTCTTTTTTCATCGGTGCTACTGGAGCACAAACCCAAGGGTATGCTGAAATGGCGGCCTTCGATGTTGGGTGATTGTGTGATTGAAGTATATTTCTCCACATCTTAACTTAATAACTAGATATATCGGAACATAATGCCATGGAAGTTCGAGTACCGGACATCGCCAAGATTCGAGAGCCGCAGCTTGTAAAGGTCGATAGTGACAAGCACAACAAGCACAACTGCGGCGGCGAGCACGGCATCCGACGCGTTATGCTGTGTGAGTGCTTGTGATATTACGCCGCAGATGCAGTCGTACCCTGGTTCTGAGCAGTATAGCTCGACGGCGTGGTATTGTCGCGCCTGTGTCATGACAGTGGAGGTGTGTAGTATCCGCATAATCACGGAACTCCTCAAAAATACGGTTAAGTGTGTCTCGAACAAACTCGAGGTCCTCCTGCTGCAGCGTTTCAATCTCGAAGATGCTTTTGAGCAGGTCATGAGTTTCAGATAGCTCTCATCGCTCGGCCAAGAGTTCCGAATATGTTCAATCTTGAGGCGCAGGGCAGTCATGCGTTTGTCGAAGTCCTGGTCAGCGAATGCAGTCTGCTGGTGGTGGTGGTGATGGTGGTGGTGATATCACTTACCTGGGCCTCTCCCCTTAAGTTGGATCAGTATGAAGGCGGCTTATACAAATAAAATAGCTGTATCTGCCCTCGTAGAGAGTTTCAATATCATCACACTTGTACCCTCAGTTCGGAGCTTCAACTTCTTGGGGGGTACGAGGGAGACAACAGCTGAAGCTATCCTTATACGTGTCTTGGAGCCCCATTTTGGGTTCTTACCAGCACGCGGCATCGAATCCTTCGAGATTGTTCCACAAAAATCCAAAACTCATCAAAATATGATGCCTGATGCCTTGTTGGGAGATATCTTCATTCCTTTTCGTGACTTGCGCTTTGTTTTTATCTTGAAATCACTATTGATTCCCTTTGTGTCCACTCGAGCTCACTTCTTGATGTAGATCCTAAACTACGATTGTACCTCCGCGTTCCCTGATACGATATATAGTTGCAATATTGTCCCCTTTTTATATTTAACCGGAATCTGGTAAACGCTGGGAGTGCTGAGACTAGAGACTTCAATATAGCGTCTATTGGCCTTGCTGTGAGGTCGTATTGTGGCGTATCTAGGCTCTGTGGGTCGAGCTCGATCGGTTTAAACGGTGAAGTTTAATTATGCAAGCGCTCGTAAAGTTCTGCTATGGTGAGGGTTAGCGTCTGTGAGCTAGACCGTGATTCAGCTTTTCATGCTTTTAGTGAGCATGGCGACGATGACTGAGGAATAGATAGGGGCGATCTGGCTCTCGCTGAGCTCGGATTGCGGTTAAGGTGTTAGAAGAGTCTTTAGGACGGAAGCGTATGTCGGTCGCGCGGTGCTCATGTTGTTAGCGGCCGTTGGAGGAGAATGTAAATGGCGTTATTGATTCGTCAGATGGAATTCGAACAGTCAAGTTATGCCTTTACCCTGGGCCAAGAAGTATGTGTACCCACAGGCTGTCGTCGTTGTGGTATCCCAGTCAAGCCAAGTTTAACTTTTGCGTAGTGTAAGGTCCCACTGAATCAGTCCAATCTAATTGTCTCCGTTCCGCCTATGAAGCAGCAGACGTTATCGGGCTTTTCATCACGGGGTCGGAGATTGCTATGAGGACATTCTCGGTACGAATGTACTCTAAATGAGGTGGTAGCGGTGGTGGATTTTCGTATTCTCATGTCGATGCTACCTTCAACTGCAGCTGTGGTTGCGCAGCTGGTGGTTTGGGCAGTACTGCCCCAAAACACTTGCCATCCCAGGCCATTTATTTTTAGCATGTAGGCTCTGTGACGGGGCTGCGCGAAAATGCGGAGCTATCCTCGTCGAGTTGCGGCGCTGTCAAGCTTCGGTCGCAGTCTAGTTATGGTCGTCGTTATCGTGCTTTCATATCCTCGACGCGTTGATGACGGATGAGGGGGAGGGAGAATGAACTTGTATGCTTGCCTTCAAAAGGCGTCATAGCCACCTTCCTCCCTATCCTAAGTACAGGGATCGAAGCTGGCATAACCGCCGCTGATTTTCTCTCCTGATCACGTTTATACGGACGAGCCCAGTTCTTGCCCTTCCTGGGATCTCTTGTGTACCTGCACAAAGGGGCTGAATGGGGAGCAATAGATATATTTTGTATGATTTAATCCATAGATGAGCTGGTGATGTGCTGATACGCTAAATATAAGCCGCGGCATAGATGGGAGCTGAAGCACTTCGAATCAATCTGTATACTTTTCAACGCGAGCACAACCGGCCGACTCGCTGAATAGTGGGAGAATAGACAGTTTACGAAGTTGGAGTGTCCGTACCGCCGTCGTCGGAACTAGGAGATCTCTGAAAAACCGCTGCACGAGCTTGAGACTATTTTAAAGGGGGCGAAGTCCCTCTGTCGCGGGAGTTTTTGTGCCTGCAAGCCACTTACGCCTAGCATAGAAATGAATGGGTAAAGAGGACAAAATGAGTTCTTGCACAGCGCAAGTAGAAAGGTTAGTTTAAGAACTCGGGGAGGATGGTTTGCTAGAAAATAGGGGACCACAGCCTGATCATGAGCCTATCCATATTAAGTAGTGCTAATACAGTGCGGCAACGCCCTTTTTTGCCTTTTTGGTATGGGTCACAGCGAGCATAATTAATATCGATGTCGATCACCGGTTTTCGTCTGATCCATGTGTTTCTCGGAGATAAGAGAGAGAAAAAGGAGTTCGATTCCCGTCCATGATGTCGGGTTGGCGTCTTGGAAGGGTTGCCGGAAGGGGGCAGAGCCAAGACTCCTGAATTCCTAGAAAGCAAAATGGCGGAACGCAACTGAGACGAGTATTACAACACCTTGATAGCATGTGCAGACAAAACGATCTGAAACCCGAGGAACTTTTCTTTCTTTGTCACGGAATTAACTGAAATTCAAGGCCGGCGGAAAATGCCTCGTGGAATTTTCAAAACGAATTTTGATGAAACTTGAAGATTTGGTGGAAAGAATCTATACAATATACGTACACAAAGCTGTGGCCCAATTCCAATCTCGAAACGCCGACGCTGGATTTTTTTTTGAATGTTCCAATGCCCACTCACGTTTTGAAATCATCATCTTCTTTCCGCACCAGTACCAACATGCCTCTGATGCTCCTCGTTCACAGGCAACTCGGCAATAATCTGTGGTTTCGGCGACAACCCATGTAATTCCGACCGAGAATTGTCGTCTACCTCAAACATTGGTTGTGACGCCGCTTCGATCTGGGGCTTGAAGTCGGCTTCTTTGTCCGCCGTGGCAGCTTCTGCATACCGGGCCTGCCGCTTTCGTCGTACTGCCAGCCAGTACCACAGCCCAAGAATGGCCGAGAGCAGTGCTATGCCTCCGATGACCCCGCCGGCTATCGGACCGGCGTTGCTGCTTGATGATGATGATGATGATGACGACGACGACGACGACGACGACGATGAGGAGTCACCCGTAGAGGTGTCTGGGGAACTGCTGGAACCTGCTGAGCCCCCTGAAGAAGTAGAATTGTCGGACGAGGAGTTCGTGGGTGGCGTGAAAGCTGGAGACGGCCGTCAGAAATGTTCCAAAGTTTAGTATCAGGAAGAGCGAAAAGAACGTACCGAAAATCGTGGCCAGTGTCGGGTCACTCCAGTCTGGCTCTTTATAACTTTCAGAGTAATACTGCTTGACCACGTCAGGCGATTCATATGGAAGTGCAGCTGCGTCGTAGTGATCCACCCATTCAAAGCTCGTCATGTCAAACACCCCCAGCCCGCTTGCCCATGGATCTTGTTCGGCACCCAGCGCTTGCAAGGAACTAGGCAATCTGCCACCGATCGACACCATTTGTCTCTCGCCGATGACAGTGCAGGCATGGCAAGCTCGACGCACAGGCGTAGTTGATTTTGACTTGAACCATTGAAACGCGGGAAGAGAGAGCGTGTAGACGTTAAGGTAGCCCTCGTCGGAACCGTGGTTTAGATCGAATGTAGTGTTTGTGGAACCACCGTAAACGAACCTGGAATAGGTATGGTTAGTAACGTAGAGGGCAGATACCGCAAGTTGGGGGTAGATTCTTACAGTTCGAAATTCTTTCCGTCACTGGATGCTGCCCCTACGGCGCAGAATTCTGATCTTGGAGGTGGAATGTCTCCGGTTGCTGTTTGCGTAAACCAATCCCCGGTTTCGATATCGTACAGAGTGACTGTTGACATATCAACCATGAATGATCCAGTCTCGTAAATGGATGCTTCTGTGGGTGGGGCCTCTCCGCCCACAATCACAAGAAACCCTTGCCCCCCAAAATTAGGCGCGTGGATCATGCGAGCCTGCGTCCGATATTTGCTCTGGTTTGGTATAATGACTGTGGAGTTCGTCCAAGATTGAGCCACAAAGTCTCGTGTGACAAGGCCGGATAGGACCGTCATGTTGGGAAGGGAGCCCATGACATTCCCACCAAAATTGTAATAAGTGGAATTCGTGAAGGCATTTGCGGAAGCGAATGGCCCTGGTGAATCTGCTGAAAGGCCATCTGTTGAAGGCGCTGTTTCATTCTTCCACGTAATGTCGGCTGATCCTGCCTCGAAGGACCACAGCAACGATGGAAAGTCAGTTGTTTCGTATGGCCATCCACCATATCGACTTATTTTGTTCCGCGTCTTGTCATAAAAAAGCATCGGCTGTCGAACATAGATCATTCCATCAGGGTCTGCTACTGAAGCAGTAGAACTAATTGTCTGATTCGTCCAAGATTGCGTGAGGTCGACCACGAGTGTATTGCCCTCTGAATGTGGTTAGAACACGGCTCTCGGGCGATGCGGGGGTATTCATCTCTCACGGTAGTACATTGTCACCACATCGTCGATCGTCTCGTAGAATTCCCCTCCCGTAATATACAAGTAGTTGCTGTCGACAACCGCTAAGAAATTTAGTAACAAAGACAGAGATGTGTCGCAAAGAGGGGGGCCGGTGCGTACTAGAAAGCCAAAACCATTCTAATATGGTGTCACGGATGAGAGCTGCTTGGGATATATGAACGGCAGCGAGGCCGAGCGCAACCAATGCGCCCAGCATGATGTCGACGTCGACCTCGATGGCTGCTGCTGCAGCGACAGTGACAGAAAAATGGTGCAGAAGACGAGAGCGGAAAATTCAGACGCAGGCACCCATTTTGATCTTTGAAACATGAACTGCCCCATATTTGCAAAGGTACAGTAGCCCACCCATGCCTGGGCCCTGGGGCTGGTGTGTGCAACAGCGCTTAGTTTCTTGTATCGTTTTCGGAACCCAGTCAGGCGAAATTGGGCCTGGGCAGGCCTGCGTCTTTCGACCTTAGGAGCCTCATTTCAGACGAAGGAACTCGCTGTCCACGGGGCCGTTTGTCTCGAGAGATGGCTGAAAACACTACCGATGCTCGGTGCGAAGACAAGGCAATGAGCGGAAATGTGATTCTCACCACAGTCAATGGCAAGCCTCCTATGTAGATTCATGACTTGCGCGCCCCTTCAGACTCTCAGCTAGCTTGATTGTATCAGTACCACCAACTGCGGGTCAGTGGACGCCTTAATTAGGTATTTGCCAATCAACATGTCGATCGATGGCCCCTAAAGGCTCAAGCAGTACCACTAAGTACTAGCACTGGTATAGAGTCCAAGTAAAGAGCCCTCGACAGCGCGGTCTAGGCGACTATTGGATAGACGTAGAACGCATTTGTTTGCTCCGCTGGTGGTAGAATCCAGCATTTGTAAACGGGAAAACCGGCTCATGCTGGGACTCGCGAATCATAGATCCTTCTGGCTAGGCTCCTTCCAGCCTTGAAATTGGTGATGAGGCTGAATTCGCGGAGTCAGTACCGACACGGAGACGGGGATGGGCTGTTTCGGTGGCTGGTGCCAGCCTGGGACCTCGTACTCCATACTCGTAGATTCCCAAGGCTGCCGCTTCCCCTGCATCTTGGACGCTCTTGTGGCCCTTTTCTGGAGAGATGCATATTCCGAGTCCTCCCTTTTTCAATCCATTATTGCTTGCGTCTCCAACATCCTTCGACATCAGAGACCACTGGCCGTTTCCTTCTGCCGCGTGGTCAAGTCAGTAGCCATTCCCTTCTCAGGATGAAAGTACGGTTGGCGCTTTCTTACATCTTCCGAAAAGTGATGACCACTGGCTATCCTAAGGTCTCTGCAGGCCCGTCAACAACATTGTGGGCGATTACCTGGGTCAGACTACTGCCAGCATTGGCCCCCGAAAGAGTATACATAATACTATAGTAACGATTTTCCTACATGGACACTGCCGGAATCTCTATGCCAACCTGTTGTCTTGGTCTTTAGAAGTCCTTACGGAAAGTCACCCTTTCCCCATGCTTTTCTTCTTTCCCACCTCATATCGCGTCTCGAGAAACCTAAACTGCGACTCATTTGAAGGTCTCGACATGCTCGATTGTGGTATCCTTTGTCTTTATGTCGTCCTCGATCTCAAGGTCATGATCGATGTCACCGCGCAGACCGAGCTCCTTTTCTTCCTTTTGTATGTTTTCGATCGCACCAGCGCGCTTGATCACTTCGAAATGACTGCCCAATCTCTCAGGGCCACACGCACACACTATGATCGCCGCAGCAAACAGGACGCACATGAAGATGGTCATCACTTGGTTGTAGTTCGGTTTCCCATTCCTGATCCAGTCGCTGGCCGCCGCGGTTTGTGATTGAGCGGCTGGGGCGGCGAACAGGTTGCCTAGTTGATAGACGGTACCGGGGAAAACGGCGCGGAACTGTGGGGGGCTATACTCGTTGAGCAAGATGGGCATGATCCCCCACGACCCGTTAACAAACACCAAGAGGAAAAATGTCCCTGCCATGATTGCACTGTAACCGTTGGGAAGCGTGAAGAGCGGAATGAACGCCCAGGCCACGATGATGCACACGATGGATGTCAGGCGTCGTCCAAAGAACTGAGAGTAGTAACCTGCCGTGGAGCCACCGATGATAGCGCCACATTGACCAAGGATCGCAGCAAGGCTAGCCTGGCGCGGTGTGAATCCTTTCTGAACTTTCAAGTAGGACGGGAAGATATCCTGACAGGCGTGAATCATCCAGTTGTAAATCGATGTAAATAGAACACAGAACAGAAACATCTTCCAGTATCGGCGAGCGACGAGGCTAGCGTCCCGCCAAAAGAGTGAGATTCTCTTTCTAGGGTTTATTCCAGTTGTCATCCCATCGATGCCCTCACAGTGCTGTGTGGAGAATATGGCCGACTCGGGGATGCACATGATGATGATGGCGACGGCGGCGGTAAAACCTGCTCCAGCATAGAAGACAACTCTGTAACCATGAATTGTGTCCGGCATACCCACGATCGAGACCATGGCCGCAAGGACGTATCCCATGGCGTACCCATTTTGGAAGATGCCCGAAAACAGTCCTCGGGCTTCCACTGGCATATTTTCCATAGCTATCGCGGCAGCTGGACCGTAGATTCCACCCATGCATACCCCAAATATAGTCCTGCAAACGACAAAGGGCCCAAAGGATTTGACCAAGGCAGTGCCGATTTGAAGCGCCGCGAGGAACCAGAGGTCCAGAGCCATAACCCATTTGCGCCCAAACATATCAGCCAAGATGCCGAAGATGATGGCGCCAAAGGCACGGCAGATAAGCGTCAGGGTAATAGATAGTGTGATGTTGGTTAGGTCCTCGCCGTAGGCCTTTGACAATTCTGTGGCTACGAGATTGACAGAATTGTAATCGTATCCATCGGCAACCCAAGCCACCCTGTTGGCTATTAGCATGCAGATTACTGACAACAACATCAAGGTGTAATACTCTGTACTTACAGTCCAACAAAGAAAAACATCCAGGCTCGTCCTGAAAGAAGAGAAACAAGCTTCCAAGGGGCGATGGGAACAGTCCTCTTCGCAACACTCGACTGTTCGACTCCATTTTCATCGATGTATGTGATGTGGTTTTCCCATAATTTCAAGTTCTGCTTGACACCCATCGTCTATCTGCTTGTTGCAAAGTTCACAGTCCAAAATGCAGGAAAAGCCTTGCTTCTCAGGGAGCAAGAGAGCTGTGGAAGGCAGGGAAATGAATGCGGGGAAAGTAGCTGGTGTTCCAGCACACTTGCCTCTCTGTACAGCATGCCCGTCCATTATATCCTGACTGCCAACAGATACAGACGGACATCCAGCCGTTCAGCAAGCCAAACCCATAGGAAGCTAGACCGGGGTGACCATCGCCCTCGTCTCCATATGAAGACTCTGACCACGGCACTATGATTCCGACCTTTATTGTGTAAAGGTGGAAGACCGAAGTTTGGTGCTCAGACGCTAAGGACAAACAGAGTTTAGTTCGCACTGGTAACAGTCTCCCATTCCGAATCAGGAAAACTTTGTGGGTGATCGTGCACCGGGAGCTCTCAGGGCCAGGCTATGTTATAGCCTGTGGGCGACCTCCGGCTACTCTCCGGTGACGATACCTCACCTGCTACAAATACCACTGCTCGTGTGAGCCGTTGGATTTTGGGGTATGCACGACGACATCGGGAGACTTGGCCGCTTGTGAGATACCGGGGACGATCAATGGCTGAACAACGTATCGCGTTGCCAAAGGGTGCCTGGGACAGTCATGTACACATCATAGATGAAGTCTGTAACCAAGCGTCCCAATCACTTACCTATTCGTCAAGACAAGTGCTAACTTGAGCATTGTGGAATTCAGGAACATTGGAAAATCAACGATGATGCGCCCTTTCATCCCAAGCAAGCAAATTTAGACCAGCTTCTCGCATTCGAAAGAAGCATTGGCATAGACCATGTGTGCATCGTGGCCATGTCAGTGTACATGACAGACAACGCCTGCAATTTCGATGGTCTCCGCCGCCTCAAAGGCAAAGGTCGCGGGGTTGCCATCATCGACCCGGACACTGTCACCGACGAGGAACTGGATGAAATGCATTCTGTCGGTTTCCGTGGCGTGCGCATCAATTTGCGGACGAGATCACAGAGCTATGGGCCCGAAGTCTGGCGCGAGGTCCTGCCAAAGTATGCCGCCAGACTGAAAAGACTAGACTGGGTGATCCAGATCTTCGTCTCGATGGACCAGATCACACACATCGCTCCCATTGTACCCAGTCTCGGGCTCAGAGTTGTCTTTGATCATGTAGGTCACCCAGAAGGAGGGCGATCTCCGATGGCTCAGCCAGGCTGCAACGAACTCTATCAGCTTCTGTTGCAAAACCGCAATGTTTATGTCAAGCTCAGTGGATTGTATCGTCTTCTTGGTGTACCTGATCTTGACGCTCACGTACGAAAGCTGCTCCAGATAGCGCCGGATCAGATCGTCTGGGCGAGCGACTGGCCTCATACGGGTGGTCCAGAACTAAATCCCGGCGGTGATCCGCAAGCAATCCAAGATTTTCTGGTCGTTGACATTCCCGAGTTTATCAGACAATGTGCAGAGTGGTGCAAAGGAGACGAAGAGCTTCTCCACAAGATATGGGTAGACAATCCGAGGAGACTATGGGACTACCATGAGATGGATTGACTGGTGTGTGCGAAAGAGAAAAGTTCGCAATTCTTAGCTCTGATTGTGAGAAATCGACCTTTCGAGTGGTGCGAGGCTGAGTCCATGACAAGAAGGTTAAGCGGTTAAATGAAACAGCTTCATTGGAGGCAAGGCTGCAGTCCAGTGCGGTCACAGATTTTCCCACCGATGCCACCACTTCCGCCACTTCTGTTATTCTGTCGTGATCAATCATGTCTCCCTAGCCAAGCATCGGCATATCTTCAAATGAGGAGAAATCCGCTCGGACCTTATCTCCTTACCTTTTACTCAGCACATCGTCGACTGCCATATTCCTTTCACCAGTCCCTCCCATGACTCGTTCTTACTGTGACAGCCAGAAATTGAACCACTGAACGATCGCTCTCAGGCTCTCTTCTTTAGCATAACCTGTCAACTGTTCAGTCACGCGCCCAAGCGAAGAGGTTAGCACCTCACTGATGTGAAAATCCACATACGTTCATAGGGATTGTCCAGGTTGCAGCGAAGCGCGAACCCGTGTTCAACACCCGAAAACAACTGCAAATTGTACGGCTTCCTGCCTTCCTGGAGGATCTTGACCGCTTCGTTGCGTGCTTCCGTGCCAAAGGTGTGGTCTGTCTCGGCACAAGACAGGAACAAAGGTTCTTGAATAGCATGTTAGTTGATCAGAAGCGGAGCGAACTCGAGCCCTTTCTTACTTTTCAGCAGCCGGAAATGCGTCTCCTTCAGGAATGCTGGGTGTGCGAATGCGCCTGCAGTACAGATATCTCTGGCCAACTCGTTGCAGACATATGGAGCCCCAAAACAGTACCTGGCACAGGAAGTCAGAAATAAAGTCGACGCACTTATATCACTAGTGGTGGACCAACCCTACACATGCATATTTCGTTGTTGGTGAGCCAAACTGAGCCTTGACAGCCTCAACCCATCCCGGAACAACCTCGTCTGCAAACGCGATATGCTTCTTCTTCCACGCCTCGTAATCAAACCCTGGGGCAGGGTCATCACGATTCTTGCGATGTTTCCACACTGGGTCCTACCCATTTACATGAGTTATCGAGGCTCAATCAGCCGCGATCGAAAACTTACCCCTCGGAAATAATCCAACCCTATACACGTATAGCCAGCATCCGCAAATCCGTCCATGACCAGGAACCCGTTGTTGAAGAAGCCCCACACGTCAGGGAAGTAGAACACGATGTTGCCATTGTTCTTGCCCTGCGGAGTTGAGACGTATGTCTCGATGCCGGCGACTGTCTCGGTGCGGCCTCTGGGCTTCCCCTCGTGAAGGGAGCCTTTCAGACAGCAGTCGCCTGATGGCTTTGCGAGATACCCTTCTTTGTCCGCCATGAATCCTGTGAGTCCGCCAGCCGCGCTTCTGTGCAACCTTCCGGAATAACAGCGGCTTGGTCACTTTCTCTCTCACTTTGAGGATGTTGTTTCTTCTGTGATGGCCGGAAGGCGCAATGTTTCCGTCGGCTATTTTCCTGCCTCGTATGCATCCGTCTCCAATTGTTGTGTCTTCTCCAACCCGGTCAACAAGCCGGTGATCCAATCAGAGGCACAAACCTCCTGTCAAAAGAACATTCATACAAGCTTTTGGGGACATGCCCCCGCAAGCGGGCATCAACCGTAAGAGCATACGATCCTTTGAGATTACATATAACACCCAGTCATGTGCTTGCGTTGCTAGAATGTCAAAGGTTTCAAAAGCCCCTAATAAAAGGTAGTAAGGTAGTCTAAGTATTACCGCGTTTCTGCACGCCAGAGCACCTGTTAATCACGTTTGATATCGGTTTGTCATACACCACTCGGTAAGGTGCACCGACTTGGGAGAGAACAATGGCTTCAAACCCACCCCACCAACCCTTCCGTTTCGACGATGAAGTCGCCATCGTCTCTGGGGCAGGTTCTCGAATGGTCGGTGAGTTCAGCTCCCACCTCGACGCTCTTTTTGTTTCATGCCAAACCGATTATCTAGGTGAAATCGGCAACGGTCGTGCGACAGCCATTCTGCTCGCCCGCCAAGGCGCCAAAGTCGCCCTCTTAGACATCAACGTCTCCTGGGCTGAGGAGACAAAGCGCATGATCGACGTGGAAGGCGGCATCTCAGCGGTTATCCATGCGGACGTCACGGACGAGGCATCATGTAAGAACGCTGTGGCCAAGACGATCGAGCTCTTCGGCACAGTGAGTATCCTAGTAAACATTGTCGGCGTGGGCGGCGCGATGGGCGACGCGACGACGGTAGACCTTGCGGCCTGGGAGCGCGATATGCGTATCAACGTCACGAGCATGGTCTTAATGGTCCGACACGTGGTCCCAGAGATGCGCAGGATCGGCCGCGGCGCGATCGTCAATCTGTCCTCGGTGTCTGGCTTGCAAGGCGGCAATCCGAGCCTGTTGTACCCAACCAGCAAGGGCGCGATTATTCAAATGACGAGGGCGATGGCCTCGCAACATGGAACGGAGAATATCAGGGTTAATTGCGTGTGTCCGGGCATGGCGTTCACGCCGGTAAGTGTCGGCTTTTTAGCCTTCGCTAAGTTCTTGTCCATACTGCTCTGTTACGTTGATGTCTTGAAGACGACGTGATATCGCCCAGGATATTGTGTTCCAGAATCCAAGTCTCAGCGACGATACTAATTCGCCGGCTATCAAAAGATGGTGAGGAGTCGAGGTATCAGCGACGAAATGAGGCAGGCAAGGGTGAATCAGAACCTGCTGAAGCAAGAAGGCACTGGATGGGACGTGGGCTACGGTATATAACACCCTTTTTCATTTGTCCTGCGGTCTGTGGTGGTAGCGGTGCCTGATGCTGACCTGGCTCCCCGCTAGCTATTCTGTTCTTGTGCAGCAAGGAGGCGAAATGGATCACTGGCCTCATCATGCCTGTCGATGGCGGCACCACAGCAGGCAAGTCAGTCAGAGATAGGCCCGCGCTTGCGGCCGATGTGTTAGCAGAACAGATGACAGGCATACCCAACAAGGCAGAGCATTAAGTCGCTATTACCAAACCGCCCTTTCCACCTTCTAGCAGATGGGCGCAGCACGTACAGCGGTGTATAAAATCGGATAGCCTAGAAGATACCCATTTTGCGTGGGCGAACTCTCCCGCTTCAAAGCTCAGTTCTTGTGCTGGGAATGACAGGTGTGTCGGGAAATGAAGGGGTACGAGAGACGGCACAATGGGCCCAGGCAAGGGCAGAATCTCGCCCCTTTTTCTTAGAGGCGATTACCAAAACCTTTACGTGCAGGTCTAGGATTGAGATGTGTGGCTGCTGAGCCTATGTGTCGTCTTACTGTGGCGGAAGAGGATCCTGTGCCGAACACGAACGGATTTTGGCTTGAGAGGAATGAAAATGCAAGAAAAAGAAGTGTGGATTGCTCTCAATTGCTTTTTCGTGTCGATTCTCACTCATCAATACGAGAGAGCAGAGACACGTATCCTGCACACTCACACTCCCAGCAAAAGTCCTTCAGGGTAGTCATCACAAAGCAGATATGTATCATTTTGTTTTCCAGAATCCCAAACCTCAGTCATCGGCGGATCGACGGCTCGCTGAGCTGCAAGATTCAGATTCTCGGTCTCATGCAGCTAAAATCGCTTAGCTAAAGAAAATGGCGCAATAGCAGATCGGGCAAATCGATCATGACAACTTGATCAAGCCGACGTCTGAGGCTGAATCTGCCTGGTTGACCGTTCTCGAAGATGTAGATTCTACCGAGTCAGACTCCTCGGAGCGGCACTGTCTCCTCGAGAAGAAGACGAAAAAAGACCCCTTACACCAACGGCAATCGCATCCTCCGACGAGAGGCACTAGAATTCTCCCCCGAACTAAATTCTCTGCCTGGTCCCATCTGTCTCAGGCGGGTAGAGATCCGTTTGAATCTTACCCAGAGCGAAGATTGCCCGAGAATGTAGAGGAAGTTTGTACAATATGGTAATTATTTTCAGGGTCGGTGGCGACAAAAAAAAACGCGGTTCGCTGCGGACCGTCAAAGACAGCAGTCTGCTCTATGGGTGTGCGCTCTTGTCCAAGGCTCGCTGCTAACAAGGTACCGCATTTGAGAGAATATGGCCAGACATGCTCTGTTCGGTACGCGGCGAGAGCCTGGCAATTGCCAAGCGGGAATGGAGACATCATGGCCTGGACGATGATTTGCTGTTCCATGTTCAGGTGGCCCTCGCCTGCGGCCGGAATCTGGCTCTCCAGAACGTCCCAAAAGTCTCGGAGGGTCTCGCTCTCTCCTGTTTGTCCCACTACTCCAAGGCTATCAGGCTGCTGAAGCAACGGATCGAGAGTGTCGATGGGCCGACCTCGGAGGACCTCATGATGAGCGTTCTGATATTGAGTGTCAACGCGGATGTTGAATCACCAATGCCGGAATGTCACCCTCAATCCCCGCTGGCCACTTAATCTATGCATCTCTATGGGGGACTGGCGCTGATGCCGAGCTACGCCACGGCGTTGGAGCAACTGGTGAAAGCTCGTGGAGACATCTTTGCTCTGAGGCATCTGCTTTGCCGGATTGGCTTCTCCTGTGAGTAACCGCAACTTCCAAAAACAGATGATATATTCACGCTGGTCCACGAGCCAACCTACATCACGCCTCTCGGACCGACGATAGGCTCCTGTACCCTCGGATCCGGCCATATATATCAATCGTGAGCAGCCGCAAGCACGTTCCTGACGCAAAAGCGATCTTGCTTTCCGAGAAACTCGGCAGTGGCATCCGCGGCATTGAGAAGGCTCTGACCGCTGGCGTCCGTGAAGCGGTAGGGAAGGGCGTAGAGGCCACAGTGGCGCTAGACCACTACCATCGCCACGAAAACTGCCAACCAAGGTTGGTCGACGTTATGATCACAGCAAACGAGGCGCAGCGATCGTTTCTGGAACTCAACTCGAAAGGGGGTTTTGGTCGGGAGCAACTGGTACATAGCTGCGTCGTCTGGGCTCATTGGTAAGTTGATCTTGCATCACGTATCTTCCCGCCCACTCCTTCCAGCATTGAACTGCAGAAAACAATTCTCTCAGAGCATCATTTTGCCGCTGAGGCCGGATGTCTCTAGAACTTAATCGTGGTTGAACTGACCTTGAATGATGTACAGATCTACAGTGACATGGCCCTTTTTCAGATGCCGAGGTGTACCAAGATAAAGCCGCGCCTAGCTCGAGAGTTGAGGCAATATTCGGAAGAAGCTCAACAGAAGCAGGCCATAACAGAAGAAGGCAAAGATTCGATCTCCGACATGGTTCTGTGGGTGTTGGTCATGGGCGGAATTGCTGCAGCCTTCACCGAACACCGGCATTGGTTCCAAACCAGATTGAGAAGAAGGATCAAATCCGACGCGAGGTTGAAGTCGGGAATGTGGGCAGAGTTCAAGTGGCACGTTTCCAAGTTTCTTTGGTGAAATCCTGTGGTGGACCAGCCTGCGATGGAGCTCTGGAACGAGGTTACAAATGCGCTGCGCTTGGCAAGCAACGAGAACAAGGGCTAAAAGTTCGAGCAGCGCTGGCGGTTCAGGGGGAGATATATCCTCAGGACTCACAAGCAGCTCAAGAGACACGCACGGTGTGTTCGTCAGCTTTATGACCGTAGTCATTGGGAGAATCAAGAGAATACCCAGCGAGCGGTATCATGTACCCAGCTCGCCAGTATAGCGTTTGAGCATCCAGGGCGGAATTATCGGGTTTAAGATTTTTAGTGAGGCGCCTTGGCACACGACGGGCAGGAACAACCATTCCGCCGTATGACGAAACTTCCATCCTGCGGAGAACACAACGGCGTGAAGCTCTGTACATCTCATGTTGGTACTGAATATCACTTTCTTGATGTTAATCTATTCGTAGATTCAGCCTGCGGTAAAGTATACTTCCTTTGGCCTTTTCTCTTATGACCATGTCTTCATGCTGTATGCCCTGACTTCCGGAGCAGAAGCACGGCATCTCCTTTGTCACACAATCCTCCAGAACAGTTACCACCCGCGTTCCGCCTGCAAGTGATCCCTTCATGCCGAAAACTGTCTTCCTCCTCAAGCGCTTGGCGTGCGCTCCTCTGAAACGAAGACCATCGATCTTAACTGTCTCTAGAAATTTCAGTGAAGGTCTGCGGCTGTCGTCCACAGCCCCCAACCTTAAGAAAGATCAAGATGGCTCAACGTCGTCGCAGGAGAATGCTCCTCCTAAACCCACGTCGATGGAGGACCTTCTAGCCAATACAAATCCTCAAGACAATTCTCTGCTTGCCCCCGTACACATAGCAGAAGATGCAAATGCTATCCTCAAGTCTGATCATCCCTCCGTCGACATCCTATCTCAGTCAGGCATTGTCGTCCAACGGCAACTCGAGATGATGAATATATTTCTCGGCTTCGAGCAAGCCAATCGATATGTTATACTTGATCCACACGGGAATCACATTGGGTACATGGCTGAGCACGAAGGCGGCATTGGACACACAATGAGGAGGCAATTCTTCACAACACATCGTGCATTTACTACCCACGTCTTCAATCGTCAATCGAGGGAGGTGTTGAGATTCCATCGCCCGTTTTCGTGGATCAACACTCGCATTCGGGTCTACGATCCCTGGGATACCCCTTCAGAGACTCAAAAGTCGTCTTCCACCATGCTCACCCCACAAAGCAATACCGATCCCATAGCCCAGCCGCAAATATCTCCCCTTCCACTGGAAGCAATGCGCATAATTGGTGAGACACATTCGCAATGGGCACCACTACGCCGTAAATACGATCTCTTTCTTTCCCATGACCTCGCCTTGAATGAAGCCGGGCCCAACGCCATGTCAAGGAGGAGAGGTGAAGGGCTGTCGAGTTTGCAGCAGAGCCAGGTCGCAGAAAATAACAGATCTGGTTCGACCACGGACTTTACCCAATTCGCCGCGGTGAATGAGCCCTTCTTGTCTTGGGATTTCTCACTGTTGGATCAAAACAATCGCAAGATTGGATCTGTCAACCGCGAATTTCGAGGGTTTGGGCGAGAGCTATTCACAGATACTGGAAGCTATGTCTTACGGATGGACTCGGCTGGGATGGAAGATCAAGGAAATAAGCATGGTGACCGTACCTACGCAGAGGCATTGGGAGGGCGAGAAAGCAACTATGGGATGACCCTTGATCAAAGAGCAGTGATGCTTGCCACCGCCGTGACGATTGATTATGACTATTTCTCTCGCCATAGTGGAGGACATGGTTTCTTCCCAATCTGGCTTGGAGGTGGTGGCGGAGAGGCAGCCGGCGGGACAGCCGGAGCTGGGGCCGCTGGGGCCGCTGGGGCCGGAGAGGCTGCTGGAGCTGTTGGAGCTGCCGGTGCCGCTGAAGTTGGTGGTGCTGTTGTCGGGGGAGCTGGTCGGGCCGTTGGAGCAGCTGCTGGAGGAGCTGCTGGAGGAGCTGCAGGGATTGGTGAGGGTGCTATGGCTGGTGCCGGAACCATGGCAGGCTACGAAGCAATGCAAAGGGGAATGGGCCGAAGATCCGAAGTCGCAGAGGATAGCAACAGTCCTCAGCAGCAGCCGCCGCCGTCGTCGCCCCCAGAGCAGCCTTATGGGCAACCCTACGATGCTCAATCTCCACAAAGTGGTTTTGACGACCCGCATCAAGGTGAAGATATCTGGGGTTCCGAAGACTCGGAACCTTTCAAAGATGGAGCTCAAGGAGGAGGCGAAGGCGGGGGAGGCGGCTGGTTCTCAGATTTGTGGGATTCTTTTTGGAATAACTAACATTTGGAGATTTGCCCCAGCAAGCCATCTCTGCTTGGTGCGATGACAAGATCTGGAGGAGCGGGAGCGGGAATAGGAAAAACAAAATGCTTGCAGGTACGTAATAGCGGATACAGGCCACCCGTTTTGTATTACTACAGCATGTGTTTTAAGGTCAAATGTACGTCGAGCAGCACCAGCAACGCCCTCGACTCACTCGAAGAATAATATTACTAATCTATCCTACAAATTTGAGCTCTTGACACCCAGCCATGGAGCAGCAGCAGGCCCTATCGGCATCTATCAAGAGACTTAGGTCGACGAAACCTGCTTGATGGTCACTGGCGGCTGCAGACATGGGAGTCGCGGAATATCAGGGAATTCCTTGATCGGGGCAAATGCTCAGAGCACGACAATGTATTTCTACCGAATTGAACGATTCCTAGAAAAGAGAGAGATGTGTTGGAGAAAACAAACTGCGTTCGGTACCAAACTCTCGAACGAGCAGCATCTCCTCATCCCACGAGAGGCCTAGAGCCAGGGTCTTGAAGCCCTTTGTTTTCCCTTCTCATAGCAGATCTTGCAGGTGTCTGGGCATTTATGGCTGCGGAAGCCAGACAAGCTCTTTTGCGGAAACTACGCCGTTCCTAGTGCTTCTTACCGCCACCTCCAAGACCTTGTGATCTGGGTTTGGCTTCATAACGATCTAAGGCACGTTCAACCGCTGCTATCCGAACCTGTTCCGCCAGCTGCGCTCCAATGTCACATTCTTCATCGCCATTGTGAAACTGAGATCCCTTCGACAAAGCAGAAACACCCGATCTCTTATCTTCTCTTGGGGCCCAAGAGTTCTGGGCATTTCCTTGGGTCTCATTGCTGAACATTTGGCGAGTGAGCCAAGATCCCGAAACCTTGCAGATCCTCTTGGTTTGCTCCAGTTAGGCACGTCCGCTGGAGCGGGATTCCGCCTATTGCGTCGATGCTTGGACAGCGAATATACTTGGCCGAGCCTCATCCCTGGTCACCAAGATAATGTGACATAGTGCAAGCTCCAGTCCCTGCAACGTCGGATCATTCGTAGACCTGACCTGCCGTTCGAAGGATCAGCCTGACTTCGGTTGCCAGGCCATGCGTCAAAATGATAAGTATCGAGTTGTCTTTCTTAATTCAGCCACCACTTCTACCTGTCTTCCGACCTCTATGAAGCGAGAAAGCAGATAGGTTGGGTAACCTTTCGAGTCCCTCGCTTCCCTTCCAATCTTCGTTTGATTGCTCCATATGATGGATCCGCACAAAGGATATTCTCCTTCATCCCCAGACACAGACGTCGCGGAGAAGCAGATTAGAGAGCAGACAATCTCTCCCATAGAGAGCCAAAGTGGTATTCATGGCATCGAGTATGATGAAGGTTCTCGACTCCATCGAGGCCTCAAGGCTCGCCACATCACTATGATCGCAATAGGAGGTGCTATCGGTCGGTTACAGGTGCAACTAGGCAAATGCTATACTTCCTGACTTTGAAACAACAGGTACCGGGCTGATTATCGGAACCGGCAAAGCTCTGGCGCAAGCAGGCCCTGGCTCTGTCTTCATCTCATACACCATCGTCGGGTTCCTTGTCTACCTTGTCATGTGTGCTCTGGGAGAAATGGCTGCTTGGTTGCCCTTATCGTCCGGATTCACTGGTTACGCCGCCCGATTCTGCGATCCTGCACTGGGATTTGCTCTTGGCTATACGTGAGTCTTCCCACTCCAGGGTTCGTTCCTGGCGGAAGGGCTAACGCCGGCAGGTATTGGTTCAAATATATCATTGTGACGCCCAATCAACTGACCGCTGGGGCACTGATCATCCAATACTGGGTGGACCGAGACCGCGTCAATCCTGGAGTGTTCATCGCCGTCTTCTGGGTCGCGATCGTCTGTATCAATTACTTCGGCATTCGCTTCTTCGGCGAATTCGAGTTCTGGCTGTCCACGATCAAAGTGATTGTTATCATCGGCGTCATCATCTTATCCCTCGTCCTCGCCCTTGGCGGTGGCCCGGACCACGACCGCAAGGGGTTTCGCTACTGGAAAGACCCTGGCGCATTTGCAGAATACATTGAAGACGGTGCCACTGGACGTTTTCTCGCGTTCTGGTCCACCATGGTGACAGCCACGTTCGCCTACTTGGGGACCGAACTGGTGGGTGTTACAGTGGGTGAGGCGCAGAACCCTCGCAAAACCATCCCGCGCGCCATCAAGCTGACCTTCTACCGCATCTTGTTCTTCTATTGTCTCAGCGTTCTGCTCCTGGGAATGCTCGTTCCGTACGACAGTGAAGAACTCGCCTTCGCCAACAAAGCATCATCGTCGGCCTCGGCGTCCCCGTTCGTGGTGGCCATAAAATTGGCAGGCATCAACGCGCTGCCGGGCATTCTGAACGGGTGCATCCTTCTGTTCGTCTTCTCAGCGTCCAACTCGGACCTGTACATCGCGTCGCGCACCATCTACGGGCTTGCAAGCGAAGGCAAGGCCCCGAATATCTTCAAACGCACCGACTCGCGCGGCGTGCCGGTCTACGCGCTCGGTGTGTCCGCCGCGTTCGCGCTGCTCGCCTTTATGAACGTGTCGGACGACTCCAAGACCGTGTTCGGCTACTTTGTCAACCTGGTCACCATTTTTGGGTTGCTGACCTGGATCTCGATCCTAGTGGCGCACATCTGCTTCGTGCGTGCGCGCCGCGCCCAAGCCGTGCCCGACACGGCCCTCGCGTACACGGCGCCCCTGGGCGTCGCGGGCTCGTATGGGGCGCTGGCCCTGTGCATCCTGGTCGCGCTGACCAAGAACTTTCCCGTCTTCGTCGGCGGCTTCGACTACAAGAACTTCATCACAGGATACCTCGGCATCCCCCTCTACCTGGTCATGATCTTTGGTTACAAGTGGTGGACGGGCTGTCGCGGTGTGCGTCCCGCCGAGGCGGATCTGTGGAGCGGCAAGGACGCCATCGATCGCGAGGAGGAGGAGTTCTTAGCCAACAAGGCCAGGAGGGAGGCCGCGAGCAAGGGACGTCGGAGCTGGTTCTATAGAACTTTCGTCGCGTGGCTGTTTTGATCCAGGATTGATTACGGCCACATTCTGTCACCATATATATATATATATGTGTGTGTGTGTGTGTGTGTGTGTGTGTGTGTGTTGGGTGGGTGGGTCGAGTGATGCCCGCTTCCTGCTTCGCTCCCTCTTGCCCATCGACTTTTGCCATCAATTTAAATATGCATCAATTACCTCGCAACGTTCCTTGAACTGCGAGGTTCAGCGTCTATCCTCATTACCCTGTGGAGGATGTAGATATACTCAGCGTATCGTACCCAGGTGACTCAAAAGGATATAAAGACCGGTGAGATGTAGCTTAGAGCTATCGCATCGCCCATTCAACCACCACGCGATATTATGCCTAGGTAGTCACGACCGCAGCTCATTCAAAAGCCGGACAGACTCATGCCAATCCCAGATAGCCCTTGAGACGACGTCCTCGGTATCCTCATGAGCAGTCATAAGCAAGGCTCCAGCAAAATATTTCTTGGCTTGCCGCTTTCGCAATACGTCGCCCGCGCCCTTCAGGACAATATCTGGAGAAGAGTCCACGAAGGAGGACCTAATCTTTTCATCGTAGAAAAGAATCATTCTTCGCTGTGGCTGCCGTGGTTGCTGCAGCTGATATTCTAGGTCTTCGGCGTGACGTGCAATGCGGTGGCGTTTCTTTTCGGTACCGCGATGTCTCTTGTACTCTTTCGAGATTGTCCTTACGGTTTCGTAAATGGTGTTGCGAACCAGCTTCGAGGGCACGTTATCAATGAGCTGAGCATACACCACTGTCACCCAATTCACAGACTTGATGTCCAATGGCGAGAGTGCGGAAAACGACATTACCTTTAAGATAACACCGTCCAAGCCGTGAGCGGATCCGACCGGAGCTTGGCCTTCGTTACTCATGTTCCCAACGTGTTCATCGACGGTCTTAGTGGTACCCATCTCTCCGTGATCAACAGACTCAGCTCGGGGAGAACCGAGCTTCTCTAGCCCACGTTTTGTAGTGACGTTCTTCAGTTCACGAAGAGGCTTTTGTTGTTGGGAAATGGGAAATGGAGAAGGGGTCTGTTCTATGGATTTAGTTGGGGATCGAAATACAGCCGGCGGCTCATAGGGATGAACAGCATACGTCTTGTTCTGGAGGGAGGACTGCAGAGGAATAAACAGCCTCTTAAAGCTGTCCTTCCTCGGTCGCTTGTTGGCCACTGATGGCAACTTCGACTCTTCATGGTTGCGCTTAACACCGTTTCCAGGACTAAGGACATAATTTATTGGCGGTGGCAGTGCCGCGGATTCATCTGCGGGCTGAGCACGATTTGCTGGTAATGCTAAAGGAGATGATTGCCAGGTGCTAGCAGTCTTCGGATTTGGTTTGGCGTCGGGCTTGACAGCAACTGAAAAATTGCTTAGAGGTGATTGTGTTGGGAGTATTCCCACATGATCGACGCGGCTGGCTGTCAATGGAGACGACATACACGTGCTGACGCTTGCAGTGGATACACACGAGGGACTCGGCGTACCTCCGGCATGGAGGTCAACACACCGGTTTGACTTTCCATCAGCCTCAGTCAGACGTAGAATCCAATCGACGTCCTCCTGCTCTTCATGGTCCGCAGGCATGAGGCTTTCTCTCGCCATCTCTTGCAGCTCCTCAAAGCTATGGGTCTCCGTCAAAGGTCGATCGAAGTGCAATTTGACATCGCGAGGAAACCGCAGAGCGTAATAAGCGACGTCCGCAGTCTTAGTAAAGGCTGCTCCAGTGACTTCGACAACGAAGGGCTTTGTGAACAAGACGGTGGGAGGTTGGCGCATAATACCCGGCTGTTCAATATTGACATCCATCTGCTCCGTCGAGCCAGAAAATGGCACACAGAAACCCAGGCCACGCTGGTTCAGTTCCCGGAACGTACCTTCTGACATGGTCTGACGTGTAAGGATGTCAAGGATCAGAAACTTCGGTTTCGTTCCAAATCTTTGAACGACTTCCTTATTCTGGAGGCAGGCGACATAGAAGATCGTCCAGCTGAGAGACCCACCATATTTTTCTGCTTCTAGAGGGTCTTTACGCCCGCCAATAATGCAGAGATCAGCCGCGTCTCCGAGGCCCTTGATATAGTCCTTCTTCAGCTTGATCGCATTGGTGTGCCAGCCGGCCGACAAATAGGGATCGCGGCGACCCTTCAGGACGAATCCTTCCCATCTCTGTTCAATTGCATATCCGAAGAACTTTCGGAGTTCCTCCTTCGCACTTGCCGAGCCAAATCTGATTTCCCGTCGGTCGCCAAGCTGAGCTAGACCTTCAGTGACACTCACAATTTCCTCCAAGTGCTGCCTCCGCACACAATGAGGCTCGTTGACCAAATTCTGGTTGTCGTGCCATAGGCAGTCATAGAAGATGATCATCAATTGTTCATCGGATGATCGTGGGGAATCACCACCTGCTCCTATGGTTCTGCCACCGTATTGGGTGTATTTCCGAATCTTCTCAAATGGTAGGATGGCTTGTCGCGAACGGCTCCAAACCAGCATTTCCCCTTCAAGAATGCAGTTTTGAGTGATAGCACACTCTGGATGACTAAGGCGTAGGCCGGCCTCGAGTGCTCCGTGAAGTAGGATGAAGGGCTTCGTGGAGTCTTTACCGCGTTTGGAGAATATCTGTATACACTCTTTTCCCTTTGACTTGTCAATGTGGATCTGGCAGTACCAACCGTCGTACTTCCGCTCCACACTCATTGTCCTTAGATTCGCCATTTGACAGCAGTGCCTAATACTTCTTGCCTTGAAATATTCCAGGCGCTTGACCATGACACCAAGCTTGGGTGTTAAGTATCGGGCGCATTCTTGGCGGTATTGCTGTTGAAGAACGCTTGGTGGGTTGTGAGGGATGGAGATCAGGTCGGGCTTCCCCAGGACTTCGACTGCTTCATCGATAGAGTTCTGAAAGGAGAGAATATCAGGTAGTAGGAAGTGGAAGCATCCCAGGACCAGGGATTCCGGAATCTGAACGGGAGCATAAGATCTCTGAATAATCCGCACGAACCATTTTGCCTCTCTACTGTGCAGCCGGGATAGAATGGATCGCAGGGAAATTTCGGACTTCACGCCATCTCTATGCCTTCTCATTTCGGGGGAAGCGAACTTGGAATTCGCAGCAAGCTGTCGCAAGGCAGCATCAATATCTTCCAGTGTTACTTCTCTGTGGGCAGCCGGTGGGTCATTCTCTGCCAGAGCCATGACATTCTTCTCAAGGCAAGTTGCGAAGTCGAGGCCTGTCGCTTCCCATTCATGCAACTGCCGGCCACGGGAGGTGTTCTCAATGAACAGTGCTTTGCATAAGACACTCGCTAACGATTTCTCCCGTAAGCCATAGACGCGGTTTGGCACTCGGTCCAGCAGCATGCAAGACAGGAAAGCCACAGCAGAGGGTCCATGTCGGACGATATCAGACTCATGGCGACTGAACCATTTGATGATGATTTCGTCTGCAGGCCTAGAGTGACGCGTTGAGGAGGACTGTACTTGTTTCCGTGCCGTATTGAGATCTTCCAGGAGTTGCACTAGATGGTTGAATTTGAATGGCATTAAGCTTGTTCCCTCGCCGCGGAAAGGACGTTGAAGAGCTGGTGGAGGTGGGCGTTTGGTATAGAGGAGTGATTGGTTGTGGGGGTAGGAAGAGGAGACGGGGCAGACGCGGCGACGCGCTTTCACGGAACTCGCGCTAAGACGCGTCCTCACGTGAGTGAATCCTTCTCACGAAGATCCAGGACTCATTCCTTTTCTCTGTTCAGTATATAATGATATGGTGATTGTCGCAGAATGGCAGCTCTGTTTGCCGTCGGATGCCGTGGGTTTGAAGCCTTATATTCGCCATTCCACGCCCATATCAGCCTCCTTTGCAGTTCACGTATTTGCCTCATAAAGACAATCTTACTAATACTTCAGGATGGAGATTGCAGCTGTCGCTGGACACAAAAAGCGACTCCCAGAATGGAATAAGCAGCAGATATCTGCAGAGTCATGGATTACACGGGCATTCTGCATCTCCAAGGCATGCGCAAGGGACGAATGAAGGATGGAAAACTCCCGTCTTGATCCTCTAAACGGCGGCCAAGCTTCCATGACAGTTACAGAAAAACCGGCAAGCATCCCCTGAAAGTTTCGGCTATGAGCCAAGAACAGAGCCATTTCAAGAATTCTGTAGGTGGTTTTCAATGTGCCTTTCAATTAGCGGTTCAGTCTGACGCTTCAGCTTCACGACAATCCAACGACCTTTTCAACCTTCTGCATATATTCGCTGTCAGACAGTGCGAACCCACAACGTTACCTTCCAACAAGCTTTTCAACGTCGACGAAGACCCTGCAGGTAAGAATGGTGGAGGCCAGTCAGCATGCTAACTCCTTCGTAGATATTGCAACAGCACAGCCACCGTTGCTTGAGCATTCGGATCACAATGACCCGTGCCAAAGACCATCCGCTGATCCGCAGTCCTTTTCCCGAGCCAACGAGTAGCTATCCCCACAGGAGCTGACACGTAGGCTTTGAGGCCATCCGATCGATATCTGAGAGAACTGGCGATCAGCGTCACCTATTGGATCCCCGCACAGTATTGCAACGACAACTCACTCAGAAGTGGGGTATCACATCATGTCGCGATAAACAAAGATAGGTAGGGGAAGGTTTCTAATGTATTCTGCAGTATATCAGTGTTGTAGTCGAATACGCCCTGCCTTTTAGGAAACTAAGCAGACCAACCACTACTGATAACAACATGTCGTCCTTCACAGCCCTACGCTTCCATGGCCAGTCAGATATTCGCCTTGAACGGGTTCCATCTCTGCCATGTGGTCCAGACGAGATTCGCATCCGGCCCGGCTTCTGCGGGATATGTGGCACTGATCTGAAAGAGTTCACCTCTGGCCCCATCATGTGTCCACAGCCTGGCTCGTCACACGAACAGACCGGGGCTCGACTCCCTGTCATCCTCGGACATGAGTTCTCGGGCACAGTGGCTGAACTCGGTTCTAGCGTCTCCGATGTTAAAGTTGGAGACCGTGTCGCTGTAATGCCTAACCTGGGAGATGCACAATTTGGACTGTCCAAGTGTGCGATGTGCGAGATTGGCAAGATCAACCTGTGCACCAAGACTGCCTATTACGGTCTCGACGCTTTGAGTGGAGGTTTCTCTGAAGAGGCAGTCGTCAAGGCCACCAATGTATTCACACTACCTGCCTCTGTGCCTCTAGATCTAGGTGCATTGGTTGAGCCTCTGTCAGTGGCGTGGCACATGGTCCGCATATCGGGATTTCAAGCAGGACAAGACGCGCTGGTTCAAGGGGCAGGCCCCATAGGGCTTAGCCTCCTCCTCGTCCTCAAAGTTGTGGGTGCCAGACACGTTGTGGTCAGCGAAGTACTCAAGAAACGAGCAGTTCGGGCCGAAGAGTTCGGCGCTGATGCCGTCATCGATCCCACGTCATCCAGTTCTACTGACAAGAATGGCGACTCTAACCCCGTGGTGGCAGCGTGTCGCCAATTAACCCCAGGAAACCTCGGCGTACACGTCGCCTTCGACGCCTCGGGGCTGCAGTCGACCCTCGACACCGCCGTCGCGGCGACCCGACCAGGCGGAACGATGTTCAACGTGGCGATTCACAGCAAACCGCTCCAGATCAACCCGAATGACCTCGTGATCTTGGAGAAGAGATACATAGGCGGAATCGGCTACACGGCAGACGATTTCCGAGCTGTGATCTCGGCGCTGGACAAGAACGCGGACTTCGCTGGCAAGGCGAAGAAGATGATTTCGGGGATCGTGCTGCTTGAAGACGCGGTCGAGAAGGCGTTCAAGGGCTTGTTGGAGAATAAAGAGGACCATGTCAAGATCTTGGTCCAGGGAAGCCAGAGTCAGAGTTGAAGATTTCGGCGAAACAGTACCGAGCAGAAGAAACGAACACGAACTGGGCGGTCTTACATACATAAGTCAGGCCAGCAACCGCTTAGTTATTGGGGGCAACGATTTGGTCTTCACCGTCGCGAATTGTTCAACGAGACTTCCTGCACCGAGGTCGCAAGTCTCGATGGACTTTATAGGGAGTAAGGCATGGGCAAATGAGAATGGGACAACGGAATGGAGAGGGAAAGGGAAACGGGACTTGAGCAGCGGATCACACTCGTGGACGGTCGTTTGAAGCCGGGACAGAAAGTCTCGAAGAAGTTTGAATGTCGTATCTAGCTGGATCTCAAATGGCATCGCGCTTGTTCACTTTGACACCTGCTTTCTGCATGGCTCGCTGTTCGACCTCTCCGCCAGCTCACCCGGTCAGTCGCTTGGCCACTCAGTCACACTGTCCGCCAACCACTCCATCTGTCTGTCAATGTCTCCAATTTCCCTTATACCTACCCAATCCAGCCCAGTCCAATCGAATCTCGTTTTAAATGGGGCACTGTCCTGCGCCCCAGCCCACACGTTCGACGCACTTTGGGGGTTCGGAAGTGCACTTAGATTACGTACATATGTACCGTAATACCGTCTTACGAAATGCAGAGGAAACGGGGAAGAAAGAGTGTCATTAATATTATGTCTACAAGACATCGTTGAATCAAAAGGGGGGGAAATCGATTTCGAAAAGTGGCGCCCAGGCTTCCAGCCCTTTCTTTCTATCCGCTGTCCTGTCCTGCCCTGTGAAGTGTCCCGGGTATCATTCAACCCCCCCCCACACCCAAAGAAAGAAAGTTAAGGACCAAAACGAGAGATATAACAGTGACACTGCGGCTGCTTGACAACGGCAAAGGGGGAGCAATATAGAAAGGAAGAATCTCAGACAGACGAATGTGTGTAGAAAAAAAGCAAATTGGGGAATCTGAGGTAAAGCGCATGTGACAACCTGGAGCACAACTACAAGCCCATGTTTTGAACATCCGTCAAACACCCCGGGGGACAGGGAATGTAAATCAAGCATTGGGGGCAACAACGGAAGTCGGCTCGGATACAGTATCGTCGGGCTGATCCGACACCGTCTTTGCCTGTCCCCTTGTGTCCTTATGTACTCCGCATCGGGGAATTCACAAGCTGCAAACCCAGTCCAATCTCCTTCCTGTTATTATGATGTGGAAGTTGGAAGACATCGATTTCGCGTTGGTCCGGTGGTGGTACATCGCACCACACCGAATAAGAAGCCATGTTTTCATACAGGTCATCATTGTTGTTGTTGTTTGCGATGATGCCGCTGTTCTTGTGGTGGTTCCATTGTCCGCCGCTCACGGCCCGTTCAAGTTGCTGTACCAGATGTGAGTTTTCTGTGTCAACTCCCCCCACCATATAAGGTACATGACGGGAGACGAGGTACTGCCTGTCGTTGCGTTGTTCTACATCGAAGAAATCGTTGCCATCACCGCGCCGAGCTTGGAATGTCGATGCTGATGTATAATACCGTTGCCGGTTGTTATGGTCTGCCCTGGGCCGCAGGGCCAGTGGAGCCACATAGACTTCGGGCTCGGGGCTCTCGCCTCGCACGCTGATGTCTTCCCAGATCGAGCCGCCGCCGACGGACTTGACGGATGGTGATACGCACATGACTGGCGCTGCCAGGTCTAAGGCCCCGTGCAAAGAGGATCGTTTAACTGTCGTCCCTATTGGAGGGGCCCTGGTCGCATTCGAGGTTGAATGAGCCAAAGGACTCGAGCCGCGACTGGCTTGCTGTCTGTCCACCGATACAGAACGAGAGGTGCTCGCTATGGACGATCCACCGCTTGCGTTGCGGAGACCCATGACTCGTTTATTCATCGGTGGAGATGGTATCGCGAAGATTTCTGGACTGTCAGATTCTACCGCACCAACGTTAGAGAGCTTGATGCCCTGCTGGCCGGGCAGGCGAACATCGGAGTTCATGCTTCGCAACATCATGATCGGTTTTCGAAGCGCGAAATCTCCCGACCCGCTAGACTCCCGAGCCTTTGTGATCCGGTAGTTGGGCCCATTTTTGCTTTGCAGGGGACTTGTAGCGGCAGGGTGGCTGCTTTGGCCTGAGTTTCGAGGATTGCGTGGACCTTTGACGAGGGACTTGCGAGGATAGAGAGAAGCCGAGTTCAGCGCCGGAGAAGGTAAAATAGGTGATTCGAATGGAATTCGTTCTGACGGTAGCGCTGATGGTGGCGTCTCCCTTAAAAGAACGTTGGGCCTCGAGCATGGCGAGAGTGGCCATTGGCGGGGCGTTCTGTTGCAATGGTTCGACATTCGCATAGGTATGTAGTCGGAATCGAAGACCTCTGAATCTGGTCTCGGTGTCCCTGAAACTGCACTGTCGGGCCGTTGCATGTACTGTTTCCGCACTGGGCGAGGTGTGGGCGTCAAGATGGGCGCATTTCTCAACGGAGACGGTATTGGAGTGGATGATTTGATGTCTGCCTCTGATTGTCTCGGCTTGAACGTCGGTCGTCGCTGCGGGATGTCAAAGCCATGAAAAAACTCGTCTGCCTCAAGTATGCGGCCCACCTGTTGCTGCTCCTCTCGGAGCTCTGGCAGCCTCATCATGCCGTGTACTCTCAGATCTAGATAGGGTAGATTAGTTATGCGGACGCAGTTCTGCCGTCTGTGCCCGCGCCTCGGTCCATCCAAGGACGACAGAGAATGTCGTTTTGCTGCAAAGCTGCCTTGTCGGGCCCCCTGCAACGGATTCCCTGTCGCCACTGAATTGGGTCTCTTAGGAGCCTCCAGGACAGAACATACATCTTCAGTAGCAAGCAGGCTTGTCGCAGAGTCACTGGCGGCTCGGTATTGTGCGGTTCTCGACTGCTCGATCATTGAATATCGATTAGGCCGATCCGATGGAAGTCTTGTCTTCCCAACTTTCAGTGGCGGCAAATCCCAATTACTCGCGTCGATAATCTTGAAGGATTCCCCCTGAATAACGGTAGTTGGAAATGGCGGAGGGTCCGAGATATATCTGCTACTACCTGGGCCGATCTCGTCCGTGTCGACCGTTGGATGAAGGGAGCGAATGCTCGGCTTGCCTGTGCAAAGACCATGGATTATTTGTTTCACTGGGAGCGCTTGAAGCTTTGGGGTCGACAACTCCTGCCCGAGTCCCAGTCTCACAGTGGGGGATGGCTCGTCCAATTCGAGATTAGAAGCGCTAAGTTCTGTAACATTGGATGCAGGAGAACCCGCGAAGGCCCCCAAGACCGAGCTGCCCACTGTATTCAGACTAGCATTCGAGGTTCTGGCCTTCATATTCCTTGGAAAATGGATGGTGGGCAAGGGTGGTAAGGGATCCTCTGGTGCCAAAGAAGCCATGTTAACTGCACTGATGGATCGAGGGACCGATTCTGGTTGCGGAGCTGCTGTTTGACCATGTTTCCCACCTCCCTTCCTCATTAGGACACTTTCTCGTACCGCTATCGACATGATTTTGGTGGGGACGATATCAGATGCTCTCGTGCTTGCAGTTGCCAAGGGCCATTGCGTGGAAGTATGCTTTTCTGGTTTGATCCCGGCCTTTTCATGCATGGCAATTGTCTCGGACTCCGTTGGAAATTCAGGAGCGACCGGTGATACGCCCGTCGAAGGATCGCTGAACTCGGTAATCGCCGAGAGAGGAGATTGTTGTATCCGATCCAAGGGTACAGCCTTCCTAAGCTTCCCTTGTCGGCGCGTCTTTGGAATATAAAGCGGGTGACTGGGGAAAGATCGTCGTATGCTCCTTTTCCTTCTCGGCCGCAGCACTTCAACATAATCATCGGCGTGTCCAGTCGCGGTGTTTAGCTGTTTCTCTTCGTCCTCGCCAGCGCTATCAACCCCGACAGAGACGATTCCGAAGGGGAGCTGCACACTTCGTCTTAAAGAGGTTGTCGGATGCGTAACATGCGAGTAGTTGTGTTCGCAGGCACTGAGCTTTGAGCGGTGATAATTGCTGAGGCCCCGCGTCAACCCATGAGCGTGCATGATATGGCGATGCCGTCGTCGCTCCAGAGTGATTGCAAGCAAGATACCTGTACAGGTGAGAACTGCGGCGCCCACTACCGCAATCACAATGATGAGCCATAAGGGCCACATCTTTTGCGTTCCGTTGTCTCTTACTCACCAGCCTCGCGGCAACCCGAAACATGGTGGAGAAGGCGAGTTTCGCGGATGCTGTTTGCACAAGGGCGTCGACACTCATGACTGGAATGTGGGAGATTGGAGAGCTGAGAGTTTCGCTGCAAGGGATGAAATCTCCTGGAGTCTGGAATGCGGAGGATGTAGCATTGAAGAGCACGGGGACATAATCCCTTGATAATTGTGCACAAATCAAGTCCTCCATATACGCGGGCTCTATTATTATTTGCCGTGGTGTATGATACCCGGAAGATATTACAAGAGTAAGAGCGAAGGATTTGAGAAGAAAGCTGCTGTTGTTAAATTATGCGACAAATCCAACCTTGCCAGGGTCCATTCTGTTACTGGCTCGAAGCACACACCATTTCACCTGATGTATGAGTGCGATTTTCGAGCCATGGTTATGTAGGGCAAGAAATACGTAAATCTTACTTTGGAGAAATGAAAGGCATAAATCTGGTGGGCTTATCTCAGTCAAAGAAATCAATTGACTATACTGAAGGCGAGAGTTTCTTGCCTGACAATGTTTTCGTAACTACAAGAATCACTCCGACTTCGTCTTGCTCTTCTGCACACCTCGCCCTTTGCCCCCACTAGATAACAACAGCGACGTGGTCGTCCATATACTTCTCAATATTGCCCAGGAATGCGGAGCAAATGATCGACACTCCTCCAAAGGCGATTGAAACTAGATACACCCAACGGTAGCTCTCGGAGTAGGCCACTTGCCCGGCCGTTAGAACCATCTGGTACGCTGTCTCGTTCCCAGAAATGCCGGGAATCAGTTTGAGTTGGTCCACAAGAGAAAGTCCGGTGAGGGTGATGGCGTCCACAATGTACGTTTCGTTTGTGATTCCGAGCTGGCCTACCATGACCCCTCCGACGTATTCAACAATCTTGACCTTGAATTTGTTGACGAAGACATTGTAGTAGGTCGTATAGCCAATGCAACCACCAATCACACGAATCGAGAGTGTAAGGGCCGTAACCGTGGCGATAATGTCGTCAGGGCAAATGATGGTTGTGATGATGGAGGCAGGGACAACAATTCCTCCAATTCCGAGGCCAGCTACCACGAGGATACCGTAGACTGCGTGTATATTGTCGAGATCTGCAGCTGCAAGTGCGCCACAGCCAGCAGTCATGAGGATGGAAGACGCCAGGAGTAGTTCACGGATATGTCCTCGCAATAGGGACAGGAAAACCAAGATGATGCAGCAACCACCAAGGATAGAAAAGCCAATCGGGAGAGTTCTGATTCCCACACCTATAGAGAGTTAACGAGCAAACTCGCAAAATGAAGTGATTTGGCCGTCATACCAACTGGGTCGTGGCCATACACGTTGAAAGCTTGCGTAGGCCAAAACATCAAGATTGAGAAGAAGTTTGCGCCTGATATCGCAGTAATCACCAAGGTTAGGGAAAGCACCTTTGCGTCTCTCTTCATCCGAGACGGAAACATTGGATATTTCGCGAACTTGATCTCCCAAATCGGGAAGGCGAGGAAGAGGAGGAGGAACCCCAGAATGAGCGGGACTAAGACGTGAGCGGACTCCCATGAATACTGATAGCCTCCCCATTGGAGACCGGCAAGGAAGATGATCATCCCTGTAATGCTGAGAAAGCCGCCGAAGAAATCGATCTCGTCGATGATCTGTTTCTTGGTCAAGCCTCGAGAATTAGGCCGTGGAGGAGGGAAGTAGAATATCAAGACGCCGACGGCTCCAATTAAGGCCCATACTCCCGAGATAAAGGCGCACCATCTCCAAGTCGAGTAGCCCGCAATGAGCCAGGCATAGAGAGCGGACGGGCAGAATGGTATAATGGTCAAGACCAAGGCCGCAACGTAGAGGCCACGTTTGCGTGTTGGTGCAAGTTCGGATGTCCCAGCCAGACAAGTCAGTTCGCAAATACCGGCTCCAACGCCCGAGATACCCATTCCAGCTGCTAAACGTTAGTAATGCAGTTTCAGCCCGACGAGAGTATCGTACCAATAAATTGGTTCATATTGTGCGCCGTGCCGGCAATGATCATGGCAACGACGAGAAGGCCTGATCCCAACAGCGCCACATACCTCCGGCCGATCAGGTCGGACAAGGAGCCGACAAAGGGGCAGATGGCTGCGAGGGAAAGGAGGTATGCCAACACGAACCAGACCCATCTGTCATAGCCTCCGATTTCAGAGTAAATCAGAGGGGCGATGCCTCCAAGGAGGTAGGCGGGAATCTGGGAGCCGGTCCAGAGGAAAGCCATGGCGACAAGGCTCATGACTCTTTTGGTTGTCCACTGTGGCCGAGTTTAGCATGTCTTCCCAAACAGCCAAACCGCACACCTACCGGAGGCTCATGATCATGATCTTGATCGTCGCCATATGTTCGGAGGCCATCCTTTTCATAGTAGCCGGGATGGCCTTCAACCTTTTCAAAAGTTCTGACTTGCTCGATGTGGGCGCCGCCGGATTCTTTCTCTGATGGGGTAGACGACTCTCTGGCCTCAATCTCGTTGGGTAGAGGAATCTTGTCGTCCGCCATGATGAATTTTTGTGATGGATAACTCGGTATGACAGTCCAAACAACACAACTCGAGGGAACACAAGTTGGGCTGAGGAGGAAGTGCCAGTGCGATAGTGCCCGGAAATCGACCTTATGTACTCCCTGTGTAGCAGCGAATCCAGCCTCCACTTCCCTCTGGTTGAAAACATGGGGAATGGGGTAGCAGGTCGTAAGCTTGAGCGTTTCCAGCATAGTCGGCCGTGGCGTGCAGGTTCGCCACGTTCTGGACCCGCCAAAAGCGCGGAGGTGCAGTGTGCCCAGCAACCTGATTGGATCCGTATCGTACCACCAAATCCTGGGGAAATGAAGCCATGTCCAATATGGTGACAACTCTCCGGTGGCCGTGCTTTTTCGCTTTTTGGTTTCCCACCAGCTTTGCCCTGCCATCACTTATCTGCGGGGTTTTCCCTGCAATTGGCGGAATTCGACGCCCATCCCCCTTGGCACTCTGCTGAATCACCTGCTCATTGTGCTGAGAAGGTGCAGAGTAGTCGCCAGGTGGTAACAGCGCACAGGATTAAATGCACTTGATTCGAGCCCAAACCTCGAGACACCGTGGAATTGGAACCGAGATCCTCGGTATGGTTGCGGGTAACCGAACATCTTGCAGGTTTGAGATCCAGTTTTCCCGCAAAGGTGTCCTGGTCCCTGTGGAGGGAGATTGTCCATATTGTTAACAGTGATCGACGACCTAACTAGGGGGGTGGCGGATGACTTTGCAGGTGTTGCCAGAGGTGAGAATTGCGGTGGTCTCGCTTGGACAAGCTTCCTGATCAAGTTAGAACAACACTCAGAAAGCACCCTCAGCCAGCGCTCCTGCAAGAGCAGTCGAAGTTCGATGCCTCCAGGCTGGGTGGGCTGCCAAGGGACCTTCTTGATGCCTGGCATGAAAGCAACTGATGGCGACCCGAAGGTCCTGTGATCGCTGTTACAAAAAGAAGGAGAGATGTACCTTCGAGCCTCACACTGGAAAGTGTACCCAGTGCGTACAATCTAACTCCCCATGTACCAGTCTACGATCTCGTAATCGACCAGGGCGGAAGCCAAAAGCCACGGCGTTTGGGAAGTATGGATCACTTCACGTCTGGGACGCGGCCGGTGGATCGAATACACAAAGCCACAAACTCGACGCATGCCCAACACCTTCGTCAACGTCCTCACTAACGTCCTCGCAAAAGTCCCCCGATGAGATTGACAACGAGGCTGAGTCCAGCCGTACTTTTGAGGGAGGAGAACTGGTGCCAGGTCCCAGGCACTACCAACGAGAGGAAGGGTTTTCGGTTCTCTGGAGGAGAGAGCTGGGTATTTCCTTGGAGCAGTTATACGATCTCCAAAACTCCAGTCTCGAGTTCTTCTATGCTACCAACGATATTTTCATGTTGGGCCCCGGGTTCGCCGATCAGTTTCTGACCACGCTTCGACAATGTTATGAATTTGCGCCTGGCTTCCTTCGAGACACCTATCAGGCAATGTTCACCGCCCTCATCTGGGCCCGCCATCAAGCAACTTCGTTCGATCAAGTTGACATTAGCAGAGGCGCTTTGTCACTGCGAAGATTGAGGACTTTCAGCGTTTGCAACCTCCGAGATGCCGTTGCGGCTGTCAGCCTCGGGCCAACGCTGGCGGCATTTGACGTACTCACCAGATGTGTTGGCTCCGTCATAATATTGCGTCATTCTCTGTCAATGGTCCAGGCTTGGTATCCAACACTTTCAAACAGTCCAGGGCTGGATCCGATCATTATTGCACCCATCTTCTGGGATACCGCGCACTGTCTGATACTACGGGAGATCCCCATCATTCGATACCTGGTCCGAGACCCTCACACAGTAGACCGCGTGGCTGGAATGTGCACAACTCTACTGCCTATCCTGTATGACCTGTGCGTGGCTAGCAATAAATTGAGGCGCTCGGGAGAAGTTCAGCACGTCAGAACCATAAGGGAAGTTGAAAACAAGATCATCGCCTGGCGGCCAGACTTCGGTCCTGAACTCCACAGGTCATTTTCAAAGCGGGAGATCCTCGCCATGACTGCCCAGGCGTCCATGTACCGTGCGGCAGCATTGTTGACTATTCACCGTCTTTTCAACCTAATTGGGACAGCAGACGACATTGCCAAAGCCTACGCTACCGAGATCGTGGCCAAACTCCACGAGCATCTTGTTTCGCTCGGCCAGGAAGAGAAGCTCCAGCACACAGCGCTCCCGATGTTCCTTGCCGCCCTTGAGCTCCCAAACCTGGCACAAGAGACCTGGACACGGCTGTCTCTGCTAAAAGCCCCGTCGATCTGCCTGAAGAAATTGGCAGCGGTCGTCGAGTTTGTATGGGAGCAAAGATCAAGTGGCTTTTCCGGGTCTCTGTTTGACTTGCTTGAAGCTGGGCCGGAATTTGTTGTTATCCCTTGAGTGTCGGATCAGACTGGCTATCAAGGTATCGTCGACACAGCTCCAAACTTGGCCTCTAAAACAATTCTTGTATATCTCAGATTGCGTGCCTAACTGCAACTCTTGTTGATAAAAGTGCTAGGTCCCACGCAAAGGGGAAAATCAGTCTTTTATTTACACCACGCGGTACGGCTAGGCAGACTGCGCAGATCAATCGAGGTTGCGGTCGAATCCCCGTCCGCGCATATTGTTGATATGGTTCACACAGTCAGTGAACTTGTTGGATGGCAAGATGCCAGGTCCTGGAGATGCCTTTTGTGCCACGGTAATATGTCCAGGGGCGTGTGTGCTGTTCAACGACCAATGGGCTAACAACTGGCGCCTCCCCGCCTTTCAATGTCGGTCAATTGAGAGCCTAAGTTGGCTCTCGCTTCTGGTACACTTTCTCTAGAAGAGCGAAGGATATCCTGAGCCGGCACAAGCTTTACCTCGATGCAATGTTCGTCCATTGCTTAATGTCCTGAAAATCCATGACGCGATTGGCGCCTTCCGGTCCAAATCTGCCTTGTAACGCTTTCCAATCTCTGCCTTTAGCTGTCTCGGGCCTCCATCGAAAGCTCTGCTTCAGCTTGTCGTCAAGTTTCTCTTCCATGGCATCGGCAATGAAGCTTCCGATTGCTGGGATATGGCAAAACCCGTGTCCAGAGCCACCCACACCCAGCACCAGGGATGCATAATCTGGGTGCTTAGAGATCAGGAATGCTCGATTCGGGGTGTCGGCGCACCAGCATATCCGCGCAAAAGAGAATGGTCGATCGGCAAGGTGTGGCATGGTCTCGCGCAAAAACGCCCGGCAGCGAGCTTCGCTTTCGAGTGGGATCTGGTGTTTTGCAAAAGGAGAACTGATCTGGCGGGAATCTTCAGAAGAGGTGTCCGGGATCCAGTTGCAATACCCAGGATGTTCGTCACACATCTTAAGCTCATGGTTATCTTCGTCGGGCTCCATGAAGAAGCCACGCTCGATATTGAACAAGACAGGGAGGTCTTTGTACAGCTTGGCTTCCTCTGGAGTCATCTTAATGTGGGCCAGTGTCCAGGCCGTGGGTCGAAGTTGATCTTTCATGTCAAAGAGCGCCGCCGCGCTGGCGCCTGCACAGAGAATGGTGCGGTCTGCGAAGTGGCGTGTGCCGTCAGCCGTGATGGCGCCTTGGACATCGGAGGACCCATAGATCAAACTCGTTACACGGCCAGCTTTTTCACCGGCGATGAATTTAACCCCCAGTCGGGCAGCTTCTCTGGCGGCACTCTCCATACTCTTGCGGGCATGAACCCAGCCTGCTCCTTTCTGCATCCACCATCCTTGCCAACCAGGGAACTCGCCCGTCAGAACGCCGTTGGGCATGGTAGCTTGGAAGTCTTCTTTAGTCCTTAGTGGAATCCACCCACCTGCCTCACTCGGCCCGTCGCGCGTATTCATGTGGTTACGAGCCTCATCAGAGGTGGCCGCCAGGATACAGCCGGTTTCGTGGAAGTGAGGTTTGAACACGGGGTCATTGCGCCATCCTTCGGTGGCCGCTTCCAGCAGCTTGTTAGATACATAGCGTTCGTCAGCGTCGTCTCCGGCGAAAGAACCCAGCTCCAATATCTTGTTTAGGTCGGTGCCAGCGGAGATGGGTGAGGGCACGGGATAGGGGTCGAGGACGGTCACGTATTTATAGCCTCGACGACCCAGATGGAGGGCGGTGCTGCAGCCCCACGTGCCGGCGCCGACAACAAGGATTTTGGATTCGGTGCTAAGCGGTGATGGCATGGCGATGGCGGTATTCAGTCGGCTAGTGAGCAAAATCAGCATCAAGACATGAACAACAGCTCGGGGCAGCCGAAGGACTTAAATAGTCATGCCATCTGAAGGTAGTGGACACATGGTCGATCCATTGAAATTGGGCCATGCTGGTACCCCCAGGCCGGAGAGTGGCCCTGGACATGATCGCAGGTGTTGAGGAGGGCGGAGATGGACTACTCGGTATAGTGCGAGAAGAGCGGGAGAGAGGGAGAGAGGGAGAAGGTCCAGGCGAGAAGGGACCGTGACCAAGCGAGCGTCGAGCCCACCAGCCCCGCCGCGATCACCACCCATCCATCGCCATTATCCTTCGCACCTCCGTCTCTCGACTCGCAACCACCACATTCCTGAAATCCACTCCATGCCGCTCAGACCTAGTCCTCCATGTCACTGCTCTGACCACCTCGAGCTTCGGGTTCCTGGCATGTGCCCTTCGCAATGCCCCGGCCGCGGAAGTCGACCAATGTGCACGTTAAGCGGCGCACGCGGACCGGATGTCGAACCTGTCGAGCTCGAAAGCTCAAATGTGGGGAAGAGAAGCCCGTCTGTCATCAATGCTCACTCAAAGGCCTGAACTGTGACACAACCACTGCCCTCAAGTGGGAAACCGACTATATCGCCAAGGGCCTCAAATTCGGGAGAGTCGGTGTTTGGTCCAAGGACCCATACAAGTACAAAACAGCCTCGCGTTCCCCGACTTCGGACTGGTCCACTCATGAGACTCCGGCTCTGTGGTGGTGCCCTGTTCCAGACATTTACCCCTATAGCTTTGTGAATGCCACGGTGGATGCTCTGCGGGAATTGGACCAGTGTGAATCCGGAACAGAAGAGGGCACCCGCCATCAAGTCGGGACTTCGAGAGCATCAGAAGGAGATGCCGCTCCCACATCATCTCTCAGCCCTTGGCCAACAACTCCGAGCCTGACGTGGTCCTTGAAAACCCGGATCGCGTCATCCCTAAGTATCTTACCGCAACGGGAGACTCCAGAACACTCGTCACTGCTTTCTTACTACGTCGAAAGAATTTGCAGAATGACCGTCTCGAGCTTGACATCCGACTCCCCTTTTGCAACCCTACTCCTTCCTTTCGCCATCAGCACCTCGTCTCTGGCTATGCACTCTATGTTGGCACTTGCCGCCTGCCATCGGTCGCGAACGGATTCACATTACAAAGCGGTAGCACTAGGGCTCAGCCACCGAGCTCTCCAAGCCCTTCGGACCAAGTTAAGAGACTGTGACTCAAAAATGGTCGTAATGGTTCCGGAAACATTGGTGGTCATGCTTCTCCTTTGTATGTTTGAGATTGTCAACGAATGTGACAGTCGATGGGTGGTCCATTTGAAAGGAGCCCGCGAGTTGATCCGCGTTCGCAGACACCACCAAGAAGCCCCCACGTATGAGACGGATGCTAGCATCCTCGTTCAATTCTGTGAACGTTTCTTCGCCTTCCAGGACATCATGGGCCGCACTGCCTGCGGCGAAGATCCTGTTTTTGGAAGCGACTTTTGGGCCAATGACCGGACCGACTGCGAACCTTGGCTCGGGTGCTCTCCCCAGCTGGTCTCCATTTTGAGCAGAATCACCGAGTTGGGACGACAGGGCGCGACGAGTCGCAAAACCCCCGCATTCCAGGCAGCCGCCGCAGCTCTGGAAGGACAACTGAACATGTTGAGGCAAACAGTCGACGATACCAGTGACGATATCCTAAATCAGGCTGGTGAACTCAAGAGGCTCGCGGCTGAGGTTTATCTGCAGTGCGCATTGAACGGAGCCAGCCCTTCCACACCGTGGGTATCTCAGCAAGTGTCCGAAATCCTGCATTTTGTCAGTATTCTGCTGGAGTCAGGACTGTTTTCGGGCATCAGCTGGCCCCTTTTCATTGCAGCTGTTGAGTTACATCCGGACCAGGATCCTCTACTGCGCTGGGCGGCCGGCAACGCCCCGAAGTATGCACGACTTTTCATCCTCTATGCTCTGGAAAAGCTCACAGGCTCAATGGTGAACACCGTCCGAATCCGTACCGTCATTGAAATGGTTTGGCAAGCGCGAGAGTTGCGTGGACTCCCAGCCGGTGTGACCGCTTCCCCGGAAAGTGACTGGGAACAGTTTGTGGCGCCGTTTTGCGGAAACATGTCTCTGGCGTGATCGACCTACGACTGCTGGGCTAACAGATGTTGCTCCTGGTCAAGCCGCTGCTCCTCACAGAGATGACCACGTCCATAGGCCGGTACAGCGATCCGGACGGCCAATGGTGAGCTCCTCACCAGTCGATATCGCTCTTCTCCGCATCAAGTTGTGCGCCCACGCGGATGCAAGCCCGACTCCACACAAGTGCGTGAAGGTACAAGCGCAACGAATGAAGCCATGGGGAGACAAACTCCACTACGAGTCGAGCCCGTCTTTCAACGGGTCCCTGCCCATGATCATCCATCGCCCTCCTCCAATTCGTCCGCTTGGACCTTTCTTTCGATAAAGGTCTCTGCACAATCCAAGTATCAATGGCCGAGTGGGGAGGTAGCAGTACCGTGAACGGTCGAAACGACAGCAAGTGCTCGTAAGAGGTGTATAAAGGACCGTCTGCAAATGTTTCCGGAACTCCATTCCTCGCACTCACGACTCGCCAGAGTGCATTCCAGATCCTTTACGTCAATACCTTGGAAACATGGCAGACGATATCTACGAACTCGACGTTCCTGGCACGGAACAACTTGTTGATGGTCAGAATATGTTCTTCAAAAATACAATTTTGCTTGCTGCAGAATCTAACTATGGCTCTCAGTGCATCATACATTACAAGCAGCACACGCTGGCGGGACTAGTGACATTGTCCTTATTCCTCAACCTACAGGCGCCAATGGCGATCCTCTACGATGGCATCGCTGGAAGAAATACTACCAACTTTTCCTCCTGGCGTTGTATGCGTGCGCCTTTTCTTTTGGTGAAAATACCCTCGGAGCTGCTTGGACAACAGTCTCTGAAGACACAGGGGTTAGCTTGACCAACATGAACGGTGGAAGTGCCCTTAACTATCTTCTTTTGGGGTTTGTCAACGTCTTTTGGATTCCCATGGCTATGAAAGTCGGCCGTCGCCCGGTGTTTCTAGCTACCACCGCCATCTGTATGATTGCCGGTGTCTGGCTCGGGAAATTCAACGGGACCGCGTCGTGGATGTTGGCTATGACGGTCAACGGAATCGGCACCTCCGCCTACCAAGCCGTCATCCAGCTGAGCGTGTTTGACATGTTCTTTGTTCATCAGCGAGGCAGGATGTTGGCCGTATACCTCTTCGGCCAGCAACTGGGCAGCATCCTCGGGCTCATCAGCGGTGGTAGCATTGCAGATGGTCCTGGTTGGCGATGGTCTCAATACATTGTTGCGATCATTGATGCCAGTGTGCTCGTCCTCCTCCTTCTGACTTTCGAAGAGACTTTGTTCCCTCGGTTCTTGTTCGGCAAAGTCATTGGTGCTGTTCCCGTCGGCCAGACGGTGATCTTCCAACAAGGCTCCGACAGCAAAGCCCCTGGTGATACGTTGACTCGCAGCCCAAGTTCAAGTGAGGTCGAATATGACGCCGCATTGGAAGCACAGTTTCCCAAGCGAATATATCTTGAAAAGCTGAAGCTCTGGGTGTACTACCCGCAAGATCGAACCTCTTACTGGCAATACTTCCGAAGACCTTTCATCCTGTTCACCTTTCCAAATGTGGTCATCGCAGGGGTCATTTTCGCCTTTGGATGCACAGCCGGCATCGTCAGCTTCAATACTATCTCCGAGATCCTCACTGAGCCACCTTACAATTGGTCCACGACCTCGACGGGCTTGATCTTCTTTGCCGCCTTGGTCGGGAACTTTGTCGGCTGGGCCACTGGCGTTTTGGGCGATCACGTTGTGATCTTCTTTGCACGACGGAATTCTGGCGTAAAGGAGCCCGAAATGAGACTTTGGACTCTCTGTCTGTCCTTTGTCTACGCAGCCGTCGGCTATCAATTGTACGGTTGGGGTGCCGAGTTTGGACTCCATTGGATGACAATCGCTTTTGGGGTGGGCTGCATGATTGCTCACCAAGTCTCTGCCTGTTCGATTGCCACGGCGTACGCCATGGAGTGTTTCCCAGGGGTGGGTGGAAGCAGTTTGTCACTTCTTTTCTATGACGTGAGTACTAACTCGAACACAGATAGCGGGAGAACTCGTGGTTGTGTTGGCCATCTGTTCATCTTGCATCAACTTTGCCATCTCCTACTCGGTCCAACCATTCATTATTGCCGCAGGATACGGATACACGTTTCTCTTTTTTGGATTGTGTGTTTTGGCCTCCATGGTTGCGGCTGTACCGACCTACGTCTATGGAAAGGCATGGCGACGGAGGAGGGCACCGCGTTGGCGGAAGTGGTTGGCGGAGAGGGAATCTTGATGAGGGTCCTCGGTAGTCTGCAGACTGCGATGGACGGTGCACTTTGCCATCCACCTCGCTCAGAAACATACATCTAACCTTGATCATGGCGCAACAACAATATCTACGGGCGCGACGTTTGGACTCGTCTTGTTTAAGGTGATGCAAAGGAACGTCTCCACCGACTTGATCTGTCCAGCAGATTGAATAGCTCCTTTGTACATGTTACGTATTAGTAGTGTGTACGTACCACACACATTAGATCATGAAACAAGCAAATCGGTAGCTGAAGCAGAAGTAGAGATCGCCATCTCCTCGTCATGTCTCCTGACTAGTCAGCCATTCTAGTGTCTAGCAACGTGTTTTTACATTGATATCTTCTCGCCTGCATGTTGTTACCTTCCTTCCCGCTTCTCAACTTCGCGTTCCCTTCATTCATCCACTCGTCCACCCATCCGTCGATCTATCGATCTATCGACCTATCGATCCATCCTCAAGACCTCTCTCCTCTCCGGGATTCTCGTTACACAGCTGCACACAACTCCGGCCCCAGCCCCTGTTTGAGCTCCGTGCTCTCTTCGCACTCGAGGTAATCATTCCCCTTTCGAGCAAGAACTGCCTTGGCCTGAGTAACATAGGGCAACTGATTTCCTTGAGCTTAGTCTGGGAAGGAAGGCCAACTCAACCCATCCCATCCAAACACATAATTTCTCCCCCCTCCCTCTTCCGTTCTTCGTCTATAAAAATCGTTGTATCGGGCGTCAGAGTAGTATTGAAACAGCGATCAATCGATCGGATGGATCGTAACTTTTGTCTTCTCTTTCCTGTCCTTTTCATGCCAAGGCAGTCTGTGTTTGTTGTTCTTTCGGTGATGTGATGCCGTATTGAGACGTCGTGCCGTAGCTCCAATCAATCAATCGACAAACGGGAAAAGGAGATGCAAAAAGGCCCGTACATCCGCCCACAAGCAGAAAGATCCAGACGCCGACTCCACGTCGCTATGCAGTTGGAAACCACCAAAACCGTTCGATCCAGGAGTTGATTCTTCAAGCCCGTTCCCATGGCAGCAGCATCCGGATCAATATCGACAATGTAGAAAAAGAAATGTGACCCTCGTAATCCGAACAACATCAGTCTACCAAGGAGGGTCCCATGCTCTCTCCGTATTTTTCACCCTTTTCACCCTCAAACAGCTGGCCATCTGACTCTCAAACCCTCACACCATCTCTCAAAGAGCGCGTCCGCAAGTTGTCTCGTATGCTCTAACCCACCTACTAACCCGCTCATCATCTCCTTCTCCGTTTGGCTTTCAGCCTTCAAGATACCTGCTTTGTCGATACTTGTGTTTTTCAAGGGACTGGTGAAAATTTGGCTGGTGTCACGGGATTTCACTATCGCTGCCTGCGCACTCTGTCTACGTCGATGACTCTTGAGATGCGGATTGTTTTGTGCAAGGACCAGTCTCGCCCCCACGGCTCCTTTTCCCGTGGGTGTGCTAGGTGTAACTTGTCTGCTCTCGTTAGCACCAATAGGCTGCGGTGATGCCATTGGCATGTGTGATGTTTGTGAAGGGTCCGAGAACTTCTGTGGTAGCTGAAGCATCTCCTTCGATGGCGAGATCGTCAACGGTTGCTGTGGTAACATACTCTTCAAAGTCTCATCTTGCTTCATCCTCGAAATGACCGACTGCATGATATGATACATCCCGTCGGGGTCCACGCTTTCCAGATCTGAAAACGCCTCGGCTAGTCGTGCAACAGCCTCGCGTTTGACTTCGTCGGCGGTGTCGTTGAGCACGTCTTGGCATGATATACCAATGGCGTTTGAGTAGAGTCTACGGCCGAGATTCGCTTCCTTTGTCTCGATTGCGATTGTCGTCGCGGTCGAGGAGAATCTTGACACTTTGTCCGGCTGTGAGAGCAAGGAAGTCTCAATGTCCACCAGAGAAGCCAGCCCAGGTTTGGCCTTGGATGGAGTCCGAATGACGCTAGAATTTGGATCCTCATTTTCCGTGTTGGGGCCTGTGTTCCCATTGGGGGACACACGCCTAAATTGTCGAACTGTACTGGGGCTGTTGCCAAACGACATGTTCACTCCCAGTGGTTGCCGGACTTGAGCACTTGATAGTCTCTTCCTGCTTGTTCTCTTGCCTGACATCGAATCCGTGGACTCCCTTCGGTATTGTTGCTGCTTTGAGTCTGAAATCTTTCGCATCGTCAGCTTGGTCGGACTTTGTTGATGTTCTGAAGGTCGTTCCAGAGCCAAATCCTCCATCATCTGCGCAGCGCTTTGTTCCGATTCATCCCCCAAGACATCAACGGATGTTCTTTCAACTTTTCTCTTTCGCTGAGTTTGAAGGTCCTTGAAGTTCATGATGGACACAGCTTTGACGGTCTCAAACACCCAGTCATCGTCATTCCGGCCCTGCGACAGGTTTTTGAGAGTTTCGGCATAGTACTTCAAATTCCGGTCTCCTCCTTTGCTGGCTTCCCAATCTTGCTTCCGGACGATCAACTCCTGCAGGCCCTCAATCTTTCCCGCCGATCGGATGAACCGATGGTTGAGCAGTTCCTTCGCACTTTTCCTCTTCTCGACATCCTTGGTTAAGCAGCAAGCAACAAAATCTTTGAAATCTTTGGACCAACTGGGGCCGTCTAGTTTTGGCGCAGGCTGTTTTGGTATCAGAAATAGAACTTTCATGGGGTGAACGTTCGCATGGGGAGGTTCGCCGTTTGCCAGTTCCATAGCCGTGATGCCCAAACTCCAGACGTCAGCTTTGGCGTCATGGCCTTCCTGCTGAATGACCTCGGGTGCCATCCAAAAAGGTGTTCCAACAAAGGTATTCCTCATGCTCTTCAGTCCGACCAGCTGCGCGGCGACACCGAAGTCGGCCAACTTCACCCGGCCATCCATGCCGAGTAGGACATTGGCGGCCTTTATATCGCGGTGCAACTTCCCCTCGCCATGTAAGTATGCCAGACCAAGGAGCAGCTCTCGACATATAATTGCGATGTGGCTTTCTGATAGATGATGTGGAGGGGGTTTGAGGAGATCTGCGCATGATCCACCTCCTAGGTATTCCATAACAATCCACAGGGTCTGTCGACGTAGAAACGCAAGGCGGTATTTCGTGACGTGCGGGCTCGAGCATGATGAGAGGACAGACAGTTCAGAAAGAATATCGGAGAGATCTTCTTCGGAAGATTCGAGGTCCACCTATACTTGACATTAGCTGAAAACTTCCGGACATCGCGTGTCTTCCCTACATGTTTGATTGCGACAATTTCACCCGTGGCCTTTTCTATTGCCTTGTAGACGACGCCAAACGAGCCACTTCCTAGTTCTTCCAGCATCTGATATTTGTCCGCGAGTGTGTCGCCGTGCGCAGAATCGTTTTGAATCTCAAAATAGCTCTGTGGCGTCGCTCTCGCTTGGTGAGGCGCTTCTGAGTACGGGGAAATCATGGCCATGGCCGCCTCCCGTTGATTGGCGCTGCCTGTCTCTCGCTCTCTTCTTTTTCAGATTCGGGAGTGTGGCAATGTAGTTTTCTGTTTCAATATCACGAATGGACTTCTGGGTCACCGAGAGCTGTTCATTGGCTGTGCCTAGGAGTATTGGACAGTTCAGAATTGCGCCCAAATTTGATAACTTGTCTAGTCGGGAAATGCAGAATGCAATAATTTGCGCCGGGAAGAAAAAAATGCAAGACGTATGCCTGGGGTAGTGTTACAGAGCATGAATGTGAGGATAATGATAAAAGCGACCTGGTTGCGGGGGCTGATGCGCAGAGGATATATCTTGTACGACGTGGATCACAAAAGGGGGTCTTGCGGATAGCACTCTGGATCAAGCCTCAAAACTAAGGGTCCCAAAACTCAGTCATGGAAGGATACAGGATACACGGTAGTGTGAAGAGAAGAACGTGGACTGGTAGAATTGGAGGTGACAGACCCTCGATGTTGACGTTGTGCTGCCATGGCAACGAGTCTCCGGATGAGGCATAGTGTGACCGCCAATGATGCACTAATGCAACGAAGGTTCGACGCTAATGCAGGGGCCCGTTTCTCTTCCGCTTCCGTCATTTTTGTTTCTCTACTTGTAGGTACCTCGTACATAATGCTGGCATCAATCACCTCCACTGCCCACACTTTTCCTTCTTGATCATGGCTCTCCAGCTCGAGCTGAACCAGTCTTCGAGCATTCCAGTGCCAGACCCAGGCTCCTCCTGCCGAGCTGGTCCGAAATAATCAAACTCCCACTTGAAGGGCTTGAAATGGATCCCAGGCCCTCGGGTTCCAGTGGGCCAAAAAGGGACCTCGGGGTCAAATGGCCTTCCAGAATTGTTCGAACCATCTTGTGTTGCTGGGGCGATTTTGGGGGGATATCCTACATACAGAGATCCGCTCAAAAGTATACGGTGGTGAAGTAATTTGCGCTGCACCGCGATCACATAGAAGAAGGTCGTTGCAGTCAAACCGCGAACAACAAAGTGACAAACATGAAAATCGCTCAACCAGGTCCAGCTCACCGAACACTTGTAGAGTGGCTGACACTGGCAATATTACCGGCATCTGTCTCATAAGTATCGATGGTCCCATCGGCATCATCCATGATCCCATAGCTGCGAAACGGATCCAACGCTGTGTTTATCGTATTTCCGATCTCATATCCTCAATATCACATATGTGGACTGTCGAGTATATGCATCTGCCCATTTTCCAGTCCGTTTGTTTTAACTGGGTCGTCCTGATTTGAATCCCACTCCTTCATCAGATCGCTCACTGTGCGGGTGAGCTTGCTCGGAGTAATCCTCTCAAGTTCCGGCCAAGGAAGACCGGATTCTCCGTCTTCTGGCTTTTGTCTCACCTCCTCCATCCCGTCAATCGGTGGTTCTCGGTTGCTCACCGGCGAGTCCCACGCATCCCAGCCATCTTCAACCTCGTCGTTGTCGTTCAAATCTGGCAACAAACTCGGCGTGTTCGAAGAGTCGGTACTACTTTTTTGCTGAACATGTCCATTAGGCTTCTCCGCTGCCATTGGTCGAGTCGAACTCTTCTGCGGTGTATCTAGCCCAAACTCTCTCCAGAATGACGGCTCCATCGAACGTGAATTGGGGTTTTCGGTATTGTCCTTTGAGTTAGGTTTGGTGGGTTTGTCGGAGGACTTTCTTGGAACTTTTCTCTGACTCGACCTCACGGGGCGCTGCTGAGCTGCAGTCCCGTTGATGCCCTCTTCTCCAACGGTGGCCTGGCGGATATCTTCAAAGAAGGTCCATAGACCCTCTCTTACTCCATCATAAACTTGCTTTCCCTGCTTCACCAGTAGATCCGCGGCCACTGGGGGCAGGGATCTCCGATGTGCTGCTAGCTCTTTGTACGTCTTCCCAAATCCCAGGGGAAGGGCATCGGCAGATATCAAACTGTCCAGAGTTGCCATCCTTGAGAGCGAAGGTCTGTTGACTGGTTCGGAATCGGCTTCCGTCATGTCATCCTTGGCGCCTTTCACCCCTTCTGTGTGTTTTAGCACACCTTTTGTAGACGTCGGACTAAGTAGACTCAAGGTTCTTGTATGTCGGCCTCCTTCAAAGACTCGCTTTGACCCCTTCCTTACCAAACCAGTAGACCCCGTATTGTTCGCCGAAGCTGCTTGATTCGTGTAGTTTCTCTCCACCAGTGCACGCTTCCGCTTTCGTTCTTCATCCAGGTCGTCCTCTGCGACAGCGCCTTCGCCGCCAACGACATCATCCAAAGCCACGGGCTGGAGCTTCTTTACTTGTCTCACTTCATCTCTCTTCTTGTTCGCTTCATATACTGCCCATTGCTTCTTCAGCACCAACAGGTCCGCTTCTGCCCGTTGTAGTTCTTCCTTCAATTCCAGAACCCTCCGTTCCTGCGCAGCCAGAAGAGTCAAGAATTCTGCGCTTCCCCTCGTCTTAGCTTTCTCCTGTGGTTCGGCCGCAGGATCGGGGCTTCTGAAAGGGGCTGCGCGTGTAAGGGGCGACGATCTGGCTGATTCGACCGGGCTCTGTACTCCAGACCCGACAGTCGGAGAAAGCGAGTATGACACATTGGTAGGCAACAGAACAGGGAAATTTAGGGACAGTCCCTTTGCATGTCTCCTTGGGGCTGTGGCATTCGTTGTCGGTGCTTGGATTGGATTTGGGGAGATATGAGAGTCATTGCCGACCCGTTCTGATGCATCGTTCGAAGCCAGGTGCGGAGAAGACACGATTTCCATCACCGTTGGCAGTTCTGAATATGCAGTGAAACTCGTGCTTGGCAGGTCGTGATTGGGTCTCCTGTTGGATTTCGCAGATGGAATGGAGGTTTTAGCGAATGCCGGAGGAGAGAAGGATCTATATCGTGGTCTCGTAAATCGAAACAGCGACTTCTTGTAACAGCCCAGTTCTAGCAAAGATAGTCGTTCCACATCATCATAGCCTTCATCATGCGTAGAAGGGAGGATTGTTTAGAAAGACGGAGGGTGGAAGATTGTTGACTCGCCGGAAACGGTGAGTCGGTAATTAACTGCCCTGAGCGGGTTTCTTCCCCACGCGGCCGCAGCGACGCGACAGGTCCCAGTCTCCCAGCAGGGGCTGGCAGCCTCGAGCAGTCGGGTTACTTACCAAGTTACGTACTACTGTAGGATAACATCGGTCAATCTTCTCCTGGGTCAGATGGTTGGGGAAAGTCGTGTGTTCTGGCACCATAGTAGCGATACCACAAACCCTCTAAGTAGACTTTTGTCTCCCTAAAATGCACAAAATCCCTCTATATACTCCTTGGACCTGCTTAGATCAAAAACGAAGAACTCGGAAGTTGCTCTCGTATCTCTACACAGGTGTTACATAATAATCCAAGCGCTCCCTCCAACGATGATGCCAATACACAATACCGTCAGGATACCAGCACCAGCCCGATCCGCCGTGGTAATGGGAGAGTACTGAACAGGATTGGCATCAGCATCAGTCCCAGCGTTGGGGTCACTTTCCGATGTGCCTCCGGTAACAGCAGTTTTAGGCACAATTGCTGGATGTATCGTTGATCCTCCAATGACAGCCAGGGCTTGCATCTGAAATTTAAGTCAGCAATTGCGTCCGAATGTTTGCTTTCACCTGGAGCGACATACCTGTTGTCCCACGCCAGTTGAGCCGTCAAAGCTGGAATACCACCGCCGCCCACACATTCGCCCATTGTCCCCTCCAGTGCATTGCTGAGCCGCGGCTGCTGCACTGGCCTGCAATTTTGGCATGATCAGATCATATGTACTTGGCACAATTAGTGCTGTAACAGCCATCCAACGAGACAGGTAAGCTTTGAAACTGCTTTGGTCGTTATTGCAGACCATAGTCGGTTCACATTGGAACTCAGTCATGATGTTGCCGCCATATTCCGCGGGGAAAAACAGGTTGAATGCCCCTTGCAAGATCTGGTTGACACGAGTTCCCCAGGGTTCTGCACCGTTAGTAAAGTTGTACATGGCCGCAGCACCCATCAACATCGTGCCGTAGTTGTAGGTCCAGGCGTAGTGAGCGACATCTGTGCAATTACTGTTTGCATCGGTGTTGTCCCAGATGTAGAGGACATTATCCTGATATTGAAACAGCGGGCTAGCTTCCATCCAATCCCACATCTGGCTTGCCCAATCCGCATAGGTCTGGTTCCCAGTGTATCTCGCCAGACGCGCTGCCAGTTGAAAGTTACCGCCATTCGAGATAGTATTCTTCAGGTTGTAGCCCGCATTGAAGGAGTAGACTTGCCATCTCATTCCCCCACCGCATGTGGCGGCATCCCAGAGTGTTGATTGAAAATTGAAAACGGCCTGAACCAAAGCTAACCAAGAAGGAGCATCACCGCCAACGTCCGGCAAGCCAGCCTCCGCAGCATCCATGGCCGCAAATGCCCAGAATGCCTGATCATCCACGCCCATATTCTTGCTTTGATTAGGAGGATTGAAGTTCTCCTCAGGCCCAACCTGAAACTGTAAAGCTTGCGTGACGACAGGGTTATAGCTGTCATCGCCGGTATACTGCCAGTAATGGATAAGAGCTCCAAACATCGCCCCTGCTTCCCACCAATAATAACATGCCGTTGACTCACACGGGCCGGGTAGTAGACCTGGAACTTGTCCGGACTGATTTCCAGAATAGTAGGTCATCATATCGTACGCCAAAGTAGAGGTAACAGACTTGATCGAATCAAAGCTGTTCATGTCGAGAGTGAGTGCCTTGGTTAAAGAAAGTAAGCCGGCCAGCGGCACCAGAGTAGAACTCATTCGCGACTTCATGATATTTCGTGGGTTAAGTATCGAACCACAGGATACAGTTGATCAATGGGTGTTGCGAAGAAATCCGTCAGAACCACCATTCAGTACTGAAAGGACACCTCAGAAGCGGGAGCGGGGAGCGAAAAATGAATTTCGAGTCAAGCGAGCGACAGGGGGATTTAATGACGGTGGCACCCAGTCCGGCGGAGGTGGCGGGATTTGAAGGACGTCAGTTGTCGGGTCGTGTCTTCAAGGGAGAGATAGAGAGGGGGAGAGCTGTTCATTCATGGCGGAGCTGGAAAGGAATGAGAACAATGGGAAGCGTGGAACAACACAAAGGAAAGGAGATAGGAGAGGGTGAGGCAGTGCAAGAAGTTGAAGCGAGCCAAGGTCTGTAAGAGGTAGAAACAACAGAGCGTCTCACAGCCACTACGGTATGGGCTGCCACGACTTCAATACCAAAAGGGAGGACAGCCCGCCCATCCGCTTGTTGTTCCAGACAGCGGTTGCCAACCTCGATCGGGGGCGCCTGTGAAACTTCGCCTCCTTGGCAAGGGGGCGGGCAGCCAATTGGGCCCAACGCCAGGACTCCTCCGCCCCGAAAACTGGAGATGGAGCGGCGGACAGTGCACGTCCTTTGTCTTGGCTTTCTTGGCACAATTTTGCCAGAAGCCGACGCTGAGTCCCTGACGATCCTTCACGACGGGCTCTCCCAAAGATCTGGTGATCGAAGTTCCCCGGCCTGTCTAAACCATTTTATTACTCCGTACTTCGGAAATGCCCTCGGTTTTCACCTGTGATGGACAAAGCGGGGATGATGTCCATACGTGGTACATATCCATTCTCTGAACCAGAGTTCGTTCTACGGTAGTTTTCGAAACATGCACGCTAAATCTGTACTCAACGATATGTTGTTAGCATGTTGATGTTGCCAATGTCATGTCGCCCACAATTGTAAGGCTCCCATCAAATAAGTACTCCTCTCTTCGCCGTCGCTCAAATGCATGGATGTTGTCGGAATCGTCGTGTCAATATGAATACATTTTGTTTTGTCAAGTTGTCCGGGATAGATGCTCTCCATCCATTTACTCCCGAAGCTTTTCCTCCTTGATGGCCTCGACGCCAGACGCCAGTTTGAACATACCAATACCTATACCACGCCGTGCACTATGTGGTTCGCTGTGTACTTGATGATCCGTTGAACTTCCTGTTCTGTGGTGCGATCTATTGGTATTGGCTCGAGGACGTGGGAATTCTGAATCCTCGTCGATGTCTCGTAACCCTGAAGACAGACCTGTCTCAGGCCGGAATTGTCGTCCTTCAATGTTCCCATCGACGGCCGACATCATTGACTGTGCTCCTACGGACGATCTCCGACGTTGTACCCGAGACATAACCCTTTCTGCTTCCTTGGCTTCTTTCGCCTGCAGGCTCTCGGATGGTAAAAGAATGGCCCGATCGAGCTCGTAAGGCAGTCCACGATGCCTCCCACGGATTTGCATGGCTATTATCACCAGTTTAGAAAGGGTGTGGAACTCGGCTGAAAAGGAAGCGTTGATGGTCGGGTAGCCCAAAGAAAGACCCACAGTACCATATGCCGAGACAATTTCGAAGAGGACGGAGAAAAGGGTAAATGCGGATTCATTGATATTCTCCAATCGGGTACCTTCGACAATGGCAATGATGAACATGCCCAGGAAGATGTACCACAGGTCAAAAGAAAGTTGTCGTCGCAAATGGGCGCCGACATAGCTTGGCTCGCCCTCGTCTTCGTTCTCTTCGGAAGGAGTTCCGTAAATCCCAAGACTCTTCTCCTCGTACACGTTGGTTCTCCGCATGGAGATGGCGATCGGAAAGACGGAAATGTACATCATGATGAGATAGCTGACCTGAATAGCAGGGTGCAGGTCGGCAAGATTGACCACGGACAATCCAGCTGTTCGAGTCGAAGCGGCTTGGAAGAGACCGTCAACAAACCGTATCCCACCTGGTAAGGAGGTGACAGTGGGATCGTTTAGATCGAGAATGATGAAGAAGATTAGATCCAACCCGTTGAGGATGACGAGAATGGCAAAGAGCCACCAAGTCGCCTCTCGAGGAAACAGGAGTGTGAAGCAGCGGCGAGGATGATCCAGAAGAAACTGGAGTTCCTCCCACAGGGGACTGCCTTCTCGGACGAATTTGGAGGTGGCCCAGATAATGAGCCTCAGCATGCACGGAAATCCCGTGTTGCCAATGATTATCAGAAAGGTCATCAATAGCAGGGGGAAGACAGCCCGCTGGAACGAGATCATAGAATTGTTCGTAAGGGTGAAGCCGAGGTCGTTGAACGAAGAAGCACTGGTGAAAAGGCCCCACCAGACTCTTCCCTGCCCCTGTTCTGTCACATACTTTCCGTACGTACCTGAGCGCAGAATCCATGGGATCAGACAAATAGCGCCCAGGATATGGAAACAGAAGAAGTAAAGGACAAGAATCAGGGCCAAGGCCTTGAGTGCCCGATATTCTATGCCGCCCAGCTCTTCCCGCTGTTCCTCTGTCAGACCAATGAAAAACGAGTTCCTCCCGATGGTGGGCTGCCAGCTCAGGTACGGGGCGAGCTCCTGTGTTCGCGGAGTATTGACGCGGTGCAGGGATCGGAACGTATTTGAACCCCTCCGACGAAGGTTAGAAGCGGGCTCAGGGGCATCGTAGGTATGTGACGGTAGTGTGGATTGTCTGGTGTTGAGCCGGGGAAAGGTAGCGGTTCGGTCCTGTCGGTCTCGCAAGAACTGTGGTTCGTCGATGGTGATATGGGTAGGAGGAACAGCGTCATCCGCCGGTACCACCTCGGTTCGTCTCCCGTTGGGGCTGGAGATATCTGGCTCACTCGTGACCGGACGCAATATATTGTCGTCAAAGCTGGTACTAACATTTTGAGGTCGACCCCCAAGCTCGAACTCGCGAGGGCTGGGGATTCGCAAAGCCGTCGTATCACTAGGGTTCCGCTGGTTCTCAAGAAAGCGGATGTGTTGTTCTGGGCTCAATCGCTGGGGAACACGCACGTCATCAATAGACTGAGATGTCTGGAGATGTGGCCGGTGCTCGGGAGGCTGGCCCCTGGACTCCTCACGCTCCTCCCGAGACGTGTCGGATGAGTCCACTGCCTTTCCATTACCGTCCTCGAGCTTCTCTGCATCCGCATGGCTTTGACTGCGACCGGTGTTTCGCAATATCCGAATCGCTCTCCCTGCCACGCCCGGCAGACCTTGTTCCACGTCATCTCTCGGCATGGTGTTGGTGCGCTGCTTGGACTTTGTTCGACGCAAGGCACTGGAGGCCTTGACCACGGCTTCGAATCGTTTTTCAAACCAATATAGCCGCACGAAGACGACAGTCGAGTGGATGACAATGGGATTACAAAGCATGGCCAGGAAGTAGAGCATAAATTGTTGTCCGGTGTGTATGAGGTTGACGTCGACTGTGTTCAAGCCGCTCTGCGTGCACGCTCCGGAGGCGAAAAAGAGGGAGTCGATGTAATGGATACCACCAATGCCGTATATGATGACGGAGCCCAGGAGGGTCATTCCAAGCATGTACAGATAGTGTATGGTGATGAAGTTCAACCTCCTCTTGATGAAGACATCGGGAATGACATTTCTCTTGCAGAACTCCCAGAACTTCCTGGCCCACTCCGCCGGTATACCCATTGTTTTAAGACTCGGCGAAGGTAGGGGACAGAGACTTTGACAATCCTCCTTTTCTCGCTTCAAGACCACGTTTCTTGCTGAGAGTCGGACGTCAGGGACCGTAGATGATTCAAGCTATTAGGGCAGGACGACAGGAGCGGGCGTGAGGACCTGCATGGCAGCGAGAGCTTCGAGAGGATATGGCGTTCGTTGGTCAACCAGTGAAAACGACATTGTGCAGAAGGTGAATGAGGTCTGGAACTTCAAGAGGGAATCTGCAGACTGTGCAGCGAAGGGTGAGGAAACACAAAAGGCAATGACGCCAAGTTGGAGAGAATCCTGCACCGAGCAAAGAATTGAGAAATCTGCAGTGGAGGATGTCGAGGGCGCCGTCCACCATGCCGGGACCCCGCGAGCCCACCAACAAAACTAACCACATACCCGGTACTTGTACTACTTGGTAGCAGTTCCTTACTTCATATTGCTTGATTTCCCCTTTTTCGTTTTTCACTCCATAGGCACACTTTCTTCATTTTGCAGCTACATACGCTTCCACACAGATCGATATTGATTAAGACCTCGATCCCATTCACCGCCACTTTGTCTGAATGCCTTTGAGTCCCTTGGTCGAGCACGGGGGAATGTGCCTTTTGTACCTTTGTTCCCAGCTGTTGTGAAGGCCGCCCCCGCTCCGATTGGCGGCGTGATTCTCTCCAGAATCCTTCTCACTCACCCTTACTCATCCTAGTGCATATCTTGCTTCCCTCTTTATTCCTCTTCAAGAGCCCTCTGCCCCAGACATCAAATGGTCCCGCAACCTGGAGGCACCTGTCGAATCGTCTACATGGAATCTGGCGGCTGGGTGATCTTTGCAAGGTAATCACCATTCAGATTCTTGATCAACTTGCCAATTCCCGCATGGCTGTAGTCCTTGGAGTTCCACATGTCCTTATGATACCGCACTTTTCCGGAACCGTCGAGTGACAATGAGATCAGAGAGTCCACTTCCTTGGGGGTGTCGAGCACCTTGGGAGTGTCCTCCTGTCTTAGTTTGAACACGATGTCCGTTGGCGTGTCCTTGACCACTTCGATCTTCTTGGTTTCTAACTTGCTGAAGACCTTAGGGAGCCCGTACCACTGACCAGCAATCTTATATCGGGTGTCGCAATATGAAAGTGGATCATCGTATATGGCCTTCTCTGAGTACACGGACATGTCTTTCTCGCTGCAGCTGCCAGAATAGAGGCTGGTGATCAATTGAATGATGGTTCCATGCTCCGCGGATATTGTAACGAGTGTTCAGGATGAGGTTCATAATTAACACCACGACCATCATGACCAGTCAGTTGCTAGGCATCTGGACGAGGTTCGTACTTTGTATGGAGGTCGTGTGTCGTTTCTTCCATGATGGCTCTCCTAAATGCGAAGCAAGGTCTACAAGGTACCTTATCTGCGAGGATCTTGGAACGCCTTCGAGCAAAATGGATTGTCTTCAAATCTCCCGTGCCCCTGACGAACAGCCCAGATCATGACGACACGACTCTTGGAAAACCTTGAAAAGGGACTGCGTCAACGGTGCCGTCGTCACTTTGCCAGTACCTTGACATGCCATGGCTTTTGTAACTTTTCTTATTTTGGATATCGGTGGGCGTTGCAAGCCAGTCACCAAAAGAGTTCGGCGACCTCATCTGGAATGGAAGAATCGATGGTGTGTAGCACAATGTTCAGTTTCAATGAGCGGTGCTTCGGCGCGTTTTGCTGTCTTCGCCATCTCTCCTCTGCTACGTTATAACCGGCAGATGCATCGAGTTTTGCTGCATCTCGACCTGCGCCTTCTGGCTGAGCGAACTTTGGATATTTTTGCCCCTTTCACAATGTTGGACTGTGCAAAGGAACCGGAGTTTTCGGCATTGAGTCCCATCACCCACACCAGGGGGGCTCCAGCTGATTATATAAACATCTTGTGCATGGGGCTCTCCGTGGGCACTGCTGGGCTCCGAGAGAAGGCGGGCCTCCTGCATACGCATACGGATACGCACTTGTCGCGAGCTCCCTTCGAACAATGACCGACATGAGGCTTTGGGATTCTAGATCGACGAGCTTATGAGCGAGCTTACGACCGCTCTTTTGCAGAGCAAGCCTGGACTGGTATGATCGCATACATACACAAGTGACAGCAAAATTGGTCAAGGGGAAAAAAGGCATGCCACGATCACGCCGCAGTTGGGCGGGTTTTTAATTTTGTCATTCTCGGTTGCGAGACACAAACTGAGATCTTCGGGGCGGCTAAACACCACGCCACGAGGAACGAGAATTCGATGGAGGAACAGATGGTTAACCCCGTCAAGCAAGGAAAGAGCAGTCCAAATGCGCTTGTGCGTCGAACACAAGGAGTCTATGCCTTCTTTATGCATGGCTTGTGATGCAACATTGACAATCGGAGACCTTACTAGTGACGCCGGCACAAGGCTAGTTCCCGCCTTCAACCAATTGTAAGGGCCTTCAGCCTGCATCGCCCTGCCCTCTGCGGTTATCACGGCAGTCGCCCATCTTGACCAGATTCATCTTGACGAGATGGCGAGATGGATCCAAGGTCTTTCTCTGCGGCGGCGTACCCAATTGTCCCCTGTCTGACACAAAACAAGACTCAAACCTCGAGAGGACTTCGTCATCCGACGCCGGACGAGCAAGCAATATGGCCGAACCAGAGCCAGATCGACGAACAATCTCAACATAATGCGTGGCAATGGGGACTGGTCCCTGGCAACGCACGATCTGCCGCCATGGCGGAGATATGGTTGTCTCGGCATGCCGCTGTGCTGTTTCGATGCCCGTCGTAATGAATCTATGATCTGTTTAAAGAGCATCCCTCTCTCCCGTGCGTCTCTCGTGAAATCTCCTGTCACAGCGAAAACACGCAACACTTCTTTCACAGCAGGCTGAAGCACCTGACTTCGCCTACCATGGCCAACTCACCTACCAACTCATCCACTTCCACCCTCACAAACGATGTCGAGAGCCAGAAACACGCCCCTTCGAGCACAAAGGTGTCTCACTGGCACCTCGTTGTCAGCCAATCGCTCGTCACAGAAGAAGTCTTGAACCACCGATACAAGGGTTCGGGGACAGACGAAGACCCGCACATCGTTGAATTCATCCCTTCCGACCCTCGCAATCCCATGAATTTTCCAGACTGGAAGAAATGGGCTCTCACCTTGTCCGTGGCCTTTGCGACCCTGGCCGTTGCCTTTGTCTCCACAGCCTACACCGCCAGCATCAAGCAGATCATTGAGGCGTTTGGTTGCAGTCAAGAGGTCGCGACGCTCGGTGTATCTCTTTTCGTCCTCGGGTTCGCTATCGGACCGCTTCTCTGGGCACCGCTGTCGGAGCTGTATGGCCGTCAAGTCCTCTTCTTCGGCACCTATGCAGTTCTTACCGCGTTCAACGCTGGCGCCGCTGGCGCGAACTCGATCGCCAGTCTGATCGTGATGCGATTCCTTGCCGGCACCTTTGGCGCATCGCCTCTGACCAACGCCGGTGGCGTCATTGCGGACATGTTTCCCGCCAATCAACGGGGCCTGGGCATGAGCATCTTCGCCGCTGCTCCCTTCCTTGGCCCGACCATCGGTCCGGTTGTTGGAGGGTTTATCGCCGAGTCGATCGGATGGCGCTGGGTCGAAGGCGTCATGGCCATCTTCACGGGCTGCCTTTGGATCTTCGGCGCCCTGGTCATTCCAGAGACGTATGCTCCCGTCATCCTGTCTCGCCGGGCCAAAGCTCTCACCAAGCGAACGGGCAAGGTCTACATCTCTGCCATTGAGAGACGCCAAGGCAAAGTGACACCGCAAGCTGCCTTCTCTAAGGCCCTCTCGAGACCGTGGGCGCTGCTGTTTCTCGAGCCCATCGTCCTCCTTATTTCCGTGTACATGGCCATTTTGTACGGGACGCTGTACATGCTCTTCGGGGCCTTCCCGATCGTCTTCGAAGAGCAACGAGGCTGGTCCCAAGGAATCGGCGGTCTCGCCTTCTCCGGCGTCGCCGTCGGCATGATCTCTGGCGTCATCTACGCCATCTTCGATAACAAACGATACTCGCGCATCGAAGCGGACAACGGCGGCGAGGCCCCCCCCGAGGCGCGTCTTCCTCCCGCTGCGGTGGGCGCTGTCGCCATCCCGATCGGCATGTTCTGGTTCGCGTGGACAAATTACCCCTCCATCCACTGGATCGTGTGCATCATCGCGTCCGCGCCCTTCGGGTTCGGGATGGTCAACGTCTTCCTCGCGTGCATGAACTATCTCATCGACGCATACACCATCTACGCCGCCTCGGTGCTGGCTGCCAACTCCGTGCTGCGCTCCCTGTTCGGTGCCGTCTTTCCTCTCTTCACCGTGCAAATGTTCCACAACCTGGGCATCCACTGGGCCAGTTCGATCCCTGCGTTCTTGGCGCTGGCCTGTGCCCCGTTCCCGTTCGTCTTCTACCGATACGGCGAGAGCATCAGGATGAAGTGCAGGTATGCCGCCCAGGCACACGAGGTGATGCAGCAGATCAGGTCCCAGACGAGGGATGTCGAAGTCACGGACGAGGTGGACGAACAAGGGACAGAAGCCGAGAAAAGGGCTGAAGCTCAGACGTAATAGTTGTTTGGCATATCTGCTGTTAGGAGGGCATATTTGTTTGGGAGGTCACTGTCGCTTTTTTGCTCTCGATTAGCTGGGGGCCCCACTCATGCTCATTCATCAATCGGTCAGTCGATCGAAGTCTTCTCGATCCGCTACGTGTCATCCTTTTCAGCGATGGCGTTAGGGAGTAAAGGTTCCTGCAAGGATTTATGATGGAATACAACATGCATCGACGACTTGAATGCGCTCTGCGGCTTTTTTTTTTTTTTAGGTTCGGGCGTGTACTGCGCGGCGTCCTTTTTCTTTGTATTGCAGGCTCAGGGGTATCGCATTGGACACGAAACGTACCGGGTATACGTACATGCACATAGAACAAGACTCTAGAGGGCCAGCAATAGAGGAAAGGCGCGAAGCAGGGTAACCAAAAACGAAATAATAGAATATGTTCCGAACTACATACTCCCTGCCGGTAAGAAGGAAAAGCACCCTGAGGAAGAAAGGGGAGGGAAGGAAAGGGGGAGAAGAAGAAGCAGAAAATCAGCGGTCACGGGTTCGAAGAGGCGTTGTGCTTATCTTTCGCGTGCCCGTCAAGTGGTGGCGCGTACACATTATGTAGGACGTGTGTAGGCACTCGGGGAAGTGAATTAGGAGTAATTAGATCAGGCATCCCATCAGCTCAGCGGGTCCCATACATATATTTTCCTGGAGGCCCCCACGAGGCTACGGGCCTCCTGGCTCATCTATGGACTCCGTTCACACGGATACATGCATATATTCGCGGCCCTTAATGCGTCAAGATCGTCCGTCACATCATCAATGCGTGTATATACCGCTGGTGGAACGACCGATTATCCGTCGAGGGTTCACAGTCAAGAGTTTCAATAGTTACAGTTTAGGAGAAGTATCGGCGCTCTTGCCCTTCTCGCCGTCAGCATCGTTATCTCCACTCTCGATGTCCTTCAGATCCTTGTGTAGAATCGCCCATGGTCGTCTCTCATCGTCGCCGTCACCTCCTGATGGTGGATCGATCCCGCCGACCACGTCTTGGAGGTACTTCAGCACCGCGCTGCGCATGTCCACAAGGCGTGCTCTACGAGTCTCTTTTGACGAGCCCGAGATGTCGTGCACCGCGTGAAGGATGATGAGAGAGTGTGGGGAGAGAGCTGCGTGGGCCGTCGATTCAAGTGCCGCTTTCCACCGCGAGAGGAGCAGGGCTTTGTCGACGGACGGAGGGATGCTGTGATCGTTCGCGCCTTGGAGAATTAAAATGCTCTTCTCCCCGAGGTGGCCTGACGGCTGAAGATGCGCCGCCGAGCCCATTCGGCCGAAAGTCTCTCGGAGCCTCTGATCAGACAAGTCGCTGGAGTAATAGTCGTCCATTGCTGGGCTCTCTGGCGAATCCGGCGAGGCCAAGCTAAGGAAGCGGAAAACAGTCACTGGTACAGGGCCGAACAGAGGCTTCATGATGTCCATGGGCAGAATTGTCGTCTTGTGTTTCTCCTTTGGTGTAGAAGAGGCGATTTGCAAGAGCGATTCGTAGGCGACTTTTGCAGCAGAGGATTCGGAGACCGCATTCAGAATGGCTTCACGGTCGGAGACGGGCGCTTGCAGAATGGCGCCTGAGATGGTCGGACGGGGGAAAGATGTCGGCAACGGAGAGACAAGGTAGTGCATGAGGTCTTGACAACCGGTTGAATGACCCATCAAGACCACGGGCGTGGAAGGAGACTGGGTTATAGTGTCTCTGATATATGTGATGGCGGCAGCAATTTCCGCAACCTACATTGATGCGTTCAATCAATATCGTTTCTTCACGTCAACGTGCCCTGCTATGTAAGAAATCGAGGAGGCTTCGAAATCCCAAGAGGGAATATTTAGAGGTTCATATGCTGCCTCGACGGCTCTCCGTTTCGTGGAGACCACCGCACCAAATAAAAAAAAAAAGGGCCGCAACTTGCGCAGACTTACATCACGATCCAAGTCAAACAACCCCCAGCTCCTCCCATTGCTTGAGAGCTGGACGTGCATTACCCGCCATGTCTGGTCAGGCACGTCGCGCGGGAACAGAGCTGCCAGGTCATCGACGTAACGTGGCGACCGGAAGTTGTCGTACAGTCCGCCGACGAAGAGAAGAACGTTCGGGGGAGACGATGTTGGTTGACGGGAGGCCTTGTCGCTGATGTTTGCGTATTCCAGAAGGAGCAGGGGCCGCTTAGGGTCGTAGATGTGAATGATCGTCTCCATTATCTGTTGAACGCAGCATTGATACGGAATAATAGGGTCAGTATTGATACATGGCTGCCTGAAGGATTTTTGATATTAGATTGTTGGCAGTTCCCGGTTAAATCCCGGTATCGGAGGATACGACAATTGGAACACAAGCCGAGCAGCCTCCTGAGTCCTCTTGCCATCTTTCCATCTTCCCATTCCCTCCCGCTGCCTTTCGGTCGGTATATGCCGAGTACACACTGGGTTTGCTGCACAATATAGTGGTGCCGTGTCAGTCAGAGCTGCGTTGACGCGCTCTACAAGGACGATCAACCCATAATTTATCTCAACTTCGACGCTTAGGCTTTGCCTACCGACCTGTAACAGACTGTTGCCTCATACGTTGTATGAACGATGAACGCCAATACGACGATCCCAGAAACAGCGGTGGTGCCGCAAGCAAGCAGAGCGAATGTCTGTGCAGGAGCCTCTACCTATGCAACCAAGTCCTTGGGCTTGCAGACCCTTGGTGCGCTGAGCATTAGCGTCTAGACCACCTTTAGTGCGGCTCGAAGGCAAACACCTAGTTGTTTGTACATTCCACTGCAGTTCAAGGATAAGTCTCAGCACAGCGACCGCGCTGGATATTGGTCCAACAGTCTAGACTTGTGGCAGGCTCGACGTCTGTACTCGGTACCTAGTTATGGCAATGCGCCTTAAGCGAGACTAATAGGCAGTGGTTCGACCTCCCTTGAATTGCTAGTTCAGGAGACGGATGTTCTGGCCCTCCTGAGAAGCGAACGCAGCCCGCGTTGGTACTTATTCAACATCCCTCCGCCTTTCCGACGCCTGAAGGAGCAAGAAGACGGACCTGGACGGTAGGGGTTTAGTGCAAGAAGATTAGGGTTTGTTCCGACTTCCGAGCTCGCTGGGTAAGTCCTTGAGTAACACCTAGAACACAAACTGGAGGGCCAAGTTGCCGCGTACCTGGCTAGCAATTCGAACCCTCGCTGATACACCCTCAGTGACCGGTCACAATATGCAATTTCTTGTGTCTCTGTTTCCGTCAAACAACACATGGAATGTTGTATTATGCGTGGAGTGATACAGGTAAGTATGATACTCGGGAAATTCCCAGCCTGAGCGACTGTGCCACGAAGCTAACCCCCGCCATTTACCAGGATTGCGGGAGCGAGAACTAAGCTATCATGCACGTGGAGGAGAGGACCTGCCCTAATTGATAGGGTTGACTAAGTCATTCTCTTCAAATTGTGTCTGGTGAAGCCCCCCAAACAACTTACAAAGCGGCTTAAAGGTACTAAATGCTCCTTAACTTCAGCCACTTGTTTTAGCAAATGTTTGGTTCATCTACTCCCAATCGTTCGAGCTCACTGAGGAGCGACGAATACCGGGAAACTCGCTCCGACATTAGACATCCCTTTTATCACTAGGTGCTCGTATTCACAAGTTCCTTGCGAGATTATTCACGCTCAGGCAAGGCCTGCGCCATGAGTCGGCCAACACTGACTTCGTGCACGAACCCCAAGCCCATTCCCACTCCTCAACAGTGCCAACATCTGGTGACAAACCTGGAGCGGTAAGGGATCTCAATCCAACGACAACTTCCCCACTGTCTGCGCAAAATTCAGCCAGCCCTTCTAAGCATATATCTCAAGACGATCAGACTGGAGACCATACAGGGTACAGCAGACTGGCTCATTTATGTAAATAAGCGAATGCGGTCCACCGCGATATGCGAACGTTGTCCCACCAAAAGCCTGGACCTTTACGTGAGGTTCGAATTGTTAGCGTTACTAGGTATGGAGAACAAGCATCGTGCATTTAGCTCTGACCTTAAGCCAGCGACTCTTACCGCCCGACAGAACCAGCACTCGACGCCCTACATCATCGTTCGGGTATGACGGATATCAATCACCGCTCCCCTGAGCTATGGCTTCCTGATACAACATCATGACTCTGTCGTCTCTCTTTGCCAAAAGTGGGCAACATCGGAGAAGCTAAGAGAAACTCGGCCCTGCAGCCACCAGTCCTAGTAATTTAGGTACAGGTTTAGTTCTCCCCTTGCAGCACCTTACCTCCAGTTGGCAGAACCTGGCCAGGCGGTGTTCTTGTCTGAAATCCAGAGCCCAAATCACCAAAGGTATTTGGCTGCTCGAAGAGCCGTGTGCCTGGCGGGGATTCTAGAAACATCCCTAGCGACAGGGCTAACTTATGCCCTTGATCCATGTCCCAGCCTCACTCGCTGTCTCGAGTCAGTCCCCTCCAGAATACTCCAGGGAGATCCTTCCTTGACTGCGTCAATGGGACGACCGTTTGTGGCAACAGATCAGGGGTACGTGAAAGCAGCCAGGTTTCGCTACTTGGTCTAGGTCCGCCTAGGACGCGGCACAAAAAAGCGAGGCTTGAAAACCTGACCATGGTCTTTCCACACTCACACACACCTCGTATTCGAGTATCATATATTGAGGTAACCGGTACTTCCGCTCCCTCCCGATGGATTTGTTCCTTCCACCAGCATTTCCCAGGTTCTCGGGCTCCTCGAGTTCCCAGTACTCGAAAATATGACGACGGAAGCAATACTGTTCAAACGAGATGCCGTTGATGACGGTGTCCCCAACCCCCGAGGTGACACTGTAGTCACCGTTAATATCGCGCTGGTGGTTGTTGCGGCACTTCTGGTCATTGCACGGTTCTGGACGCGTATTGCAATCAATCATATGCTTGGTTTGGACGACTGGTGTGTCTTCGTGGCCCTGGTGAGTAGTTTTACGTCAAATGGACTGCTTGGCGATTTCCATTTCTGACTGGGCTTCAACAGCTTATTGCGATCACTATGACTGGATTGTTCTACGGCGGTACGTCTGATATTTTGGTGATCAATACCTCGACCGGAATGTTGAAACTTACGGACAACTATTACAGAAACAAAGAATGGATTTGGGCTCCACCAAGCCACAGTCAGCCAGGAACATTTCTTGCAAGCTTGGAAGGTGAGTCGTACCCGTTTCTTACACTACTCTGGACAAACCAGTTCAAGAACGGAAAAGATCGTATACTCACCGCTCAAACAGTACTTCCTGGCCTGCCAAGTGTTATACAAGGCTGCCGCTCTCTTCGCGAAACTTTCTATGCTGTTCTTATACCTACGGATCTTCTCCTCTCGCCACTTCCGAATCGCGGCTTATGTTGTCATGTTTATATGCGTGGGTACGGCCATTGGGACTATAGTTCCCACGATTTTCGCATGTCACCCTATCCAGAAGGCCTGGACCCCGACCATGCCTGGCAAATGTATCTGGACACCGGGAATCTGGTATTCCAGCTCCTCGATCAACATAGCCACCGACGTGATGATCATAGCACTACCGATTGCTCAAATCCGACCTCTCAAACTACCCAAGGCACAGAAATTTGGGTTGGCTGTCCTCTTCAGTCTGGGTTTCTTGTAAGCACTTAGCGCACAATTTTGTCGGCTTCTGGCACCGTGGTCATTACTGATACGCCTTCAGCATTATTGCGACTTGCGTGGTTCGTATCGCCACACTTGGCCCAGCAGCTACGGCGAAGGATAGCACTTGTAAGCAGAAGCATCTTCCTAGAACACACACCTTGATCCGATATGATCTAAACTTGGATTGGGAGGACTAATCGTTTTGTGCAGACTACCAGGCTCAGAATAACTTGTGGCTCGGAGTCGAGGTGAACACCTCCATCATTTGCACCTGCATTCCGCCCTTGAAAGCAACGATTACCAGATTCTTTCCGCGAATCTTCCGCGGATCTTCCTACAACCGCCCGACCACGAATTACCGGTCTCGCTCGGGAGCCTACCCTCTTTCTGATAGCTATCATGGATCCTCTATCAAAGGGGGAGGCTCGGCTTTTCCAAACCCTATCTCTCCCACCAAAGGTTTCTCCACGACTGTCATCACTAGTGGCGCGTCCAAATCGTATCCCATCAGCGAATCAAACAGCGACGAAGTTGTCATGCTAGATGATATGGCCAAGACGGGGGCGGAGAGAGAAAGACCTAAGCGCAGAGAAGACATCATGAAACAGACCGATGTCGAGATCTCCTATCTGGAGGTCCCGTAGAAGGCGCTCTGGTAGTTGGACTTCCCGGATCCGTATGAGTTTGGTAACTTGTCTACGGAGCACATACTCAGCCAGATGCCAGATGCACAATTTTGATTTTAAAGACTCAGGACTGTAATGAGGCGGATTTTGTCATTTTGTTCATTGGGTTATTTTTGGGGGAGAAAGAAAGACATCAGATGTCAAAGGCTGAGGTCCATGATGATGAAGACATGTGTAAAAGAGAAGGGGAAGCAACCACGCAGATATTAGCTGATATGAACGACCGAACCAGCCGTATAATGCGGGATGTCCGTGTACGCCGCGCATTTCTGGGAGAGGATACCTCTTTCACTCGCGAACGAAAAACCTATTCACCAAATTACAGTAAGTACGGTTTGATCCCGGCAAATGAGCGAAGACCGCTTTAATCCGAACCTTCACGGAACCTTTGGTAGAGCACCACTGCGCAACTTTTGATTTGTACACTGAGGTACGAATGGGGCCGAAAGCTGGTAAGGGGGCTTTCAGGGGTCTTATTTGGCCCCCAGCAATTGGCTGTACCTGCATCTCATCTAGATATCCCCCTGTAGATTGCCCTCAGCAAACCAGGCAAACCCCGACTCAAGTTGGCGCTTGAGTTTCGCATTTTCCAGCAGGCAAAAGCTACTCCCAAGGCGACTGCTTCTGATGCTTTATTGACATGCAGTTTTCTGGACTCGATTCTGAGAAGACCTTGGTCCCTACTGCGCCTCATAGTAAGTTCAAAGGCCTTTCAATTGAAGCTCCGCCCGGGAGACAGCCCAGCGTGTTGAGTGTTCATCATCAGCCTCGTCTCCATTCATTCAAATTCAAGCACAGCGTGCCCCTCTTGTTTCAACTTAGTCCCCCTGCACGCGACTTTCTTGTATTTGACTTCAAGCATTTACGTTACTGCATATTCCTCGTCATCATGTGTTCAGACAAGCACCAGAACCTCTGCCAGATACGTAACGAAATCGACATCTCAAAATATTTCCTATCTGCCATCGACAGTCGTGTCAATGAGTCCGGCTTTGTTGAGGCTAAATCGAGCGTGGTTCGTTCCGTTGGGCAGATTTGTGGACATACATCAAAGGAGTTCTTTTTGCGATTTCTGCCGTCTCGTTGTCCTCGTAGTGTGCCAAAAAAAGAATTTTGGGGTCTACTACTCCCGAAGCTATCATAGCAGAGCATCCTCCAGCGAGCCATCAGTTCGAATGCTGGATGTATGGCTTTCTCTATGCAGACAAAGACCCTTATGAAGCTGGCTCAACAAAGGCATACCGAATAGGCATTGCCACACGAACTGGCGAAACGGATCTCTGCATGCCCCATGATCACGTTGGAGACATCCACCTCCTAGCAGAAGATGCAACGCGGCTCAGTGGTTCCAGATTATTCCATGGCAGAATTTTTGACCAGGAGAAGGTCGATTTGAATCTCCTTCGCAAATGTTTGACAATATGTGAACGAGAGCACGCAGATTGATGTGAATTGCCATTCGGCGTGGTTGGCAAACGTCATATTGCGAGGCCTGAACGACTTCGGGCAATAGACGTAAAGAGAAAATGTGTCTGTGTCTTGCCACCAGCAGCTGGATATATTACCCTAAGTTATTGCTGGACACGTGGAGAGACTCCGAATCTGACCAAGGCCAATATGGTTGACCTTTTTCAAACTGGATCTCTTGAGAAGGTGATGGAAGAGCTCCCACAAACGATTCCAGATGCCATAGAGTTCGTCTTTGACTTTGGAGAAGAATATCTCTGGGTTGATGCCCTTTGTATCTTACCAGACTGCAACGATGACAAGCAGTTCCAGCTCTCGCAGATGGACAGGGTTTATGGCTCAGCATTATTGACCCTTGTGTCGGCGGCACTCTCTACAGATCTTACAACCCCACAGCTTGGTCTTCCTCGCTATCGCGAAACCACTCAATGGAGGGAGCCATGGAGGGATCAGGAAGTCTTGCTTGTCCAAAATCTTCATCTCCTGGTCCCGTTTGAATCACTTATCAGCACAATCGATCACTCTCGATGGAGCACTCGCGCATGGACATATCAGGAACGTTTATTGTCAAGACGGATGCTATTCTTCACGAATAGTCAAGTGTACTTCCAATGCTCTTGCAATGTTTTCTGCGAGGATGCTGATGGTGAGGGCGTTCTGCCTTGTGCGTATATGACTCCAGTTGGCAATCTTTGGAATCCGGGAGCCCCTTATTCTTCTGACGCTGCTGGTTGGCAATTTGGATCATTACACCTGAGTCGACAACTGCATATCCCTGTTGAATACGCTCCTCGCGAAGATGAAAGTATTGTCTGCTCTTACAGAGCTCGAAATCTATCGTTCCCCCAGGACGTCCTCAACGCTCTCAGAGGGATACAGAATATCCTTCAGGAGTCCGTGGATACAAATTTCTGGTATGGAATGCCAGAAAGGTGTTTGGACAAGGTACTATTGTGGACGCTGACAGGCCCTCCTGAGCGGCTGCTCAAATCTACGGGTGAGTCTGAGCAAGGAAAGCTCCTTTCTCCAAGTTGGTCCTGGGCAAGATGGAATAGCAGAATGGAAATTGGCTCCTATTTCGCCGATGCGGGCATTTATGGTGAGGCGCTCTAGTTCCTAATCAACCGAAAAGGGGAGGCAATATTGATGGAGACTGAAGATGTTGGCGGAATATCCGAATTCCCTCAGAATGGCAACCGCGACGTCCAGCCAACGCAAATTCCAAGAGAGACCCTCGAACTCAACGTCAGGCCAAGGTCCGAAATCGACGTCACTGGTGAGGACTGGGCAAATCCGGATTATCTCGCCTGAAGCAGCACACTGGCCAGCTTTTATTTGACAGGCAAGGTCGCTTCATTAGGCGAACATTGAAGGCAGTACCCAGATGGAGACAACCTGGAAATATCCAACACCGATGGGGTGTGGGTACCATCATGGTGGGCCGGAGAAGGGTGGCTTCTCACATCTTACAACTCTTGAGTTGCGAGTTCATGCTGATGTCAAGATCTGAGGATATTTCGCTGCCCTCGTACCCTTGACTTGAACACTTCGACAAGAATGCCTTCACGAAGAGACCGTGGTGTCTACTAAAACGTCATGGTAGTCAAGCGGGAAAAGGGCACCATGCGTAGTTAGCTGCAGGCCCAAACCCGATGTTAGTCGAGCTGGAATTGACATATGAGGTGCTACGGAGTAGACTTCAAAGTTGCTGCTTTAATGCCAATGGGCTATATCTTAAAAGAGGCATGATTATGCTTTCTGCTTCTCACGGCCCAACAGTCTGCGCTCCGTTTCTCTTCTGTTTGCTTGATCCTTGACTTGACAACCATTGAGCTTTGCTACGAGACCGAAGAACCATGGCAGTCCTTCTCTTGCCGCTACTGATTCTCTACTTCTTTCTCAACCCTGTGCTGGCAGCCTCGCTCCGGATCTCGGTTCTGCCATCCAATATTCTTCCCAATCCCAACATTCTGCCAGCCTCGACCCATGCTGTTTTGACTTCAGGCTCTGGACAACCCATTAAGGCTGTTCTGCGGAAGGGCAACTACTTCGAATTCCCGGAAATCTCAACTGTGGGATCGCATCTCCTCGACATCTACAGTCACGATTATGTCTTCGCACCCTACCGAATCGATATCTCCCCGTCCTCCTCCGACTCTGCCGGGACTGTCATTGCAGGAACCTGGGAAACATACCGTGGAACACGATGGGATGATCGAGGGGTGGCTCTCGTAGCCACCCCTACAGACCAGTTGGACATGTCGGCCAAGATTCTGTCGAGGAAGAACTTCTATGAGCAGCGCCAGGGCTTCAACCCCTTGAGTCTCCTGAAGAATCCTATGATCCTCATGGCGGTCGTGGCTCTTGCATTTACATTTGGGATGCCGAAGTTGTTGGAGAACATGGATCCCGAAATGCGCGCCGAGTACGAAGAAATGCAGAAAAAGAGCCCGATGGGCGGTCTCACGCGTGCCATGCAAGGTGGAGGCGCTGGCTCTACCGCCGAGAACTTTGATCTAGCGGGCTACCTGGCGGGAACTGGCAAAAGTACCGGGAGCGATCGAAGCCAGGACAGCATCCGTGAAAGGAAGCGATAGACCACCCTTTGATAGCCACTTCAGGTTTCCAACCTTCGTCGAAATGTCATTGTGGGGTTCCTTGTACATGAAAAATAAATACGGTCTCAGGATCACCAGGATAATTTCGCAGGCTGTGGAAATGCAAACCCCAGATGCCGTGGCCAGTCTTCAATCCAGCTTCCCAGGGCAATAACTCTATGGGGATTAGTCGAATGATCAAAAGGACCAAGAGAGACCAAGGCTGTGAAGGATTCGTTAGTGGGCCTCCCATCGAAAGCGCACTTTGACCGCCAAAACAGCGATCAGGGAGCGTTTCCAGCGTATTTCGGCTCGATCCTGTTATTGATCCGGTCAGCAGCGGGATATCGCCATAGGCTATCATGAATCTCGCTTCCGCACTTCTCCATAACCCCAATACGACCCCGCCCTAACCGATCTTGACTGGCAACCTACCCACGGCAGAACCGCATGTATTGGATACCAGAAGCAGACATACTGCTTTCGAACAGTAATACCACGCTTCGACGCAGGCAGTTCGACGGTGCCCGGTCAAATCAGCCTAATCAATGCATCAGCGCGTAACCCCGCTGACGGCGAGACGCGTGGCAGGGACACTGGATGTATACCATTCGCTAAGTTGCGAGGCATGATTGGGAACCTGCTTAACGATCGGCAGGTCATAAGGATGATCCAGCAAGAGAAAACGAAATGCACTATCAACCTTCAATGGGATGGCTTGTATTCTACGGTTGAGGTTCCTTGTATCATCCAGTCCTAAATATCCGCCTCGTGTCTGTTTTTGACCACCATATAAGGCTTCCCACTTTTCGTATTCAGCCGTTGGAGTCCCGGCGCCGACGAGGTGTAGGGCAGTCTTGCATTTTTGGCAGCGTCCAGCAAATAGGGCCAGCTGTTATACGATGGGAGTTTTCTACTTGGGGGGCCCAGCTACTCTGACACCAGGGAACCTTGTACTATGTTGCACTACCACCGCGAGTTGTCAGACATCGTTCGCTTGATTCGGCCGACACATGGGACATACAACTTGGACAAGGACTGTTGGCGTACGGCCTAAGATAAGTATTAGGTTGTCCCGCTACTCTCTGCCGTTGCATTTTGTTCTTGCATTCCTCCATTAGCCCTCGGTTCTCCTCACCCTTCGGTACTTCCCCGATTCAGTGATCGACCCTAATCAAACTCTCCCTGCGGAGCTTCGGCCGAACCTCAAGTGCTACAGTCCCAAGACGTCGGGCGAGTTGCAGAAGCTCTCCTGTTAGCTCCTGTAACAGCGCACCCATTCCTCGCTGCCGCCTGAAGGCACTGGCAATAGCCAAAGTCAACACCATGGAGGCCAAGCTGAAATCAATGTTGGAGTCTGCTGTCAAGGACAAAAAAGTACCGGGTATTGGATGTTTCATCATCGACTCCAAAGGCAACTTCTTGCTCAAGGAGACCTTTGGAACTACTCATCTCCAAGATCCCAATGCCGCCCCATACGACGCCGACACTACAATGGCAATTTTCTCATGCACTAAACTTATTACCACGATCGCCGCCCTGCAACTGGTCGAACAAGGCAAGGTCTCCCTCTCGGACCCCGTGGAGAAATACGTACCTCGAATCTCCAATATCAAGGTACTCGAATCTGTCAAGACGGGTGCAGAGGCCAAACCAGAGCCTGTCTTGCGCTCACCAGCATCAAAACCCACCATTCTTCAACTCATGACGCACACGGCTGGGTTTACATACGATTTTTTTGAGCACGGAACCCTCGCATACCGAATGGCCACAGGTCGTGCTCCGATGCAATATCACACGGTTGGTGGCTGGGAAGATTTTGAGACTCCCTTGCTAGCCGACCCAGGCACCAAATATATCTACGGCGTCAACTGCGACTGGCTTGGCTTCGTCATTCAGGAGGTCTCTGGCCAATCCCTCCCCGACTACATCACTGAACACGTCTGCAAGCCACTAGGCATGAACGACACAGGCGGTAAGCTGCCAGTAGGGAAGAAAAACACTTTCCTTGTTCATTTCGACACGCCCGACGGTGCAGAACCTGTAGGGAACCCGAACATGAAGCATAATGAATCCCCCACCGTCTGGGGCGGCGGAGGCTTCATCTACTCGACAATGAACGACTACGCGAAGTTACTCGCGACGTTACTCAACAACGGTACATCACCTATCACCGGCAACTCGATCCTGAAGCCCGAGACCGTCAAAGATCTCCTTTTCACGGACCTGCTCGGTCCAGAAGTGGACAAGTCCCTTCTCGGCGAAATCGGTGCAAGCATTCCGCAAGCCTCCCTCGAGGGTTCTTTCTTCCCGTCCTTGCCGGTCGAGAAACGGGGCTGGTCCGCCGCTTTGCTCCTCAACCACGACGATTTACCCTATGGCCGCAAATCCGGCTCCGGTGCATGGGCAGGCCTGGGCAATTTGTACTACTGGATCGATCCGAAGACTGGTATTGCCGGGATGATCTGCACGAACGTTCTGCCTTTTTTGAACCCCACAGTCATGAGGCTGTTTGATGAGTTGGAGCGTGTCGCCTATGGGCATGATGTGAGCGGCGATGAAGTCGATCCGGACAAGAGAAATTATAAGCCCAAGCTCTGAGCGGCTTGAAATTTTGGGTGAGTTTCATCGTCCGGAGTCATCGGTCCGGGAGTTGAGATAGCACCTTACTCTGGTTTTCTTTCTCTCCAGCATTTTTTTCCCTCCACGCACAGACTCAGAAAGGGCTGCGCCTTACGTACGTAGCTGCTATTGAGCTCCTGCCTGAACCGGAAATCGGAGGACTAACATGGTTCAACAAACGTGAATGGATCATGTTAGTCACATGACGTATGCGAATAACGATGGCAAAAGAGACACGGGCGAAAAGAACAGAAACTTGTTGATTTATTTTCCTGCCAAAAATGCAGGCCTTCTGAATGATTTCTGTGCTGGAAACTTGATGCTGATGCTGATGCTCAATGCTCTTCTCTTTTCTTCACGGGAAAACATGAGTATCTAGTAGCCTCCTGTCTACGGAATAGAATAGCATTCGTCCCACCACCCCCTGGATCTTCCTATCCCGCGTATGTCTTTGATGAGGCGATGAATAAACAAGTCAAGGAGTAAATGACTCGATGGCGGCGGTGTACTTCCTCCAACTGCCTTTCCAATATCCATAGCATCTGAATTACTATCGACCTGGACCACGGCGTCGCGTTGCATTGCTTTGCGCAGCGGAGTCGTCGTCCGCGCCAAATGACTTCGTGCACTTTGATTTCCGTGGCCTGCGTGTCCGTCCTGTCCGTCCTCCGTCGGCATCTTGGGCCTGACTGGCTAGCCGGGCAGAGAAGCGAGCTTCTGGACGAAATGGTGTCGTCACGCGGCCTGGTTGCAGGACGAGCGCGTGCAGGAGCTTTGAAAGTTCTGAGAGGGAGAGATCCTGCCTTAGCTTCGCACTGATGACGGAGGAGGCCCAGAAGGTCAGGGATGTGAGAAGGAAGTGCCACTTCGAGCACTTCCCCTTCCTGGGAAGAATCGATTATCGCCGTACAATACCAACTTCACGACTCGACGTTTAGCCGACTCTGGAACGTTTGCACTCGGACGCGTTTCATTGTTCAATGGTAATCATGCCCATGCATTGTGTCCAGCTAATAGCGCTATTATTCTCCTCCTTTTGGCTCCGTTGCTAAGAACGGTCACCCTGTCGGAGGACTCGAACGGTCGCACGGGATTCTCTCCATGAGCTTTTTGCTGCAGGGCTGGCTTGCTTCGACCTCCCGGCACCCCATCTGACCCGGCGTAGGGAGGTTGGTCACTGGAATAATCGCTACAGCAAACCTGCCTGTGCGATACGAAGAGACCGGCTGGCAAGGGGTGCCGTGAAACTTCCGTTGTATATGTCGCATGACTAGTATTTCCCAACACTTATCTTGAGACAGACTGGTTGATTGATACACAGAGGTACTATGGGTTAATCGTGGTATTCACTATGAATCGAGCTAGCGAACAAGGCAGTGTCCGTAAAATCTGAGAAGATCTCAGGGAACAATTCCTCAATCGACCCTTGGCCTTGCATGGTGAAAACATCTTCCGGCAGCGGATCACCAAGCATGTGCTCATCCATATAGCCGCGGGTGTCAGTTGGTTCGGCGCGCATCGATACAGTGGGCAAGTTGGGCGTCCCGGCAATCGGCGTTTTGGGTAGCGAGTCTTCGATGCGTTTCAGCACAGTCTCGCTTTGTGAGAGTGCCGTCTCTGCAAGATCCCATTGATGCTCCTCTTGGTATTTCCTCAGGCAGTCAACGAGTGTTCGGGCGCTTCCCATGCACTGTGTCCGGACATTCGAGTAACTTGTCTGAAGCGCGCACCGGAGAAGTAGTGTCACTGCAGAAGTGAAATGATGAGCATTGTAGGGCAACCAGAAGCCCATCAAGTCTTGCTTGTGTAATGAACAGACAAATCGAACAATATCCTCTGCAGCTGCCTGGCAGCCGAGCAGCCATGACGAGGCAGGATCGCTCTCTCGTTGGCTGATCTCGTGCCACGCTATGCGTCGGAGAAGCATGCGCACGGAGAGATACGAAAGCTGCAGGTTAACCAAGCCCGGCACTTGGGGCCGATTGTTGAAATCGTTCAAATTCAGCCAACTCGGACGGCTTTCCATCCAACGGTTGAGCTCAATTTCTGATCTCGAGGTTTGCTCAGCGGCAATGCTGTCGTTTCCTGACCGTATATGATAGATAAGTGGAAGGACATCTCCGACGATTTCCGTCAACCGACATAGATGGATGTAAACTTCGGCTGCGCGGACATGTTTAACAGAACCTCCTCTACCTTGAGTGAGCAGCTCAACCGTCGGAAGGGGAACATCATAATGGCCCTTCGAGATATAGGGTGGTGTCCCCTGAGCGAAATTGAACCACCTATCCTGTATGACCACTCCCCACCAAGCCTTCCATCGGATTTTCTTTTCAGTGTCACTTATCTTCCACTCGCTACAGTCGTGATTCAGGCCGATGGCATGCGACAGGGCGACAGCCCGAGCAACTTCTGCTACATTCTTTACCAGACACCGCGACGGTCGCCCGGAGATGTCGATGCAAGTTGATATGATGGTAGCCAAGTCGCCCTTTTGCATGTCGGCGATATTTGCCGCGACTGCCGTTTGCCAGGCAAAATCCTGATCAGGTCTGGCATAGCCCGCCAATGCAGGTGACGCATCCCAATAAAACAGCGCATAGGCTATTATGTTGATGAGGAATGTCTGGGGTAGCTGACTTCTGTCCTTGAGGCGCGACATGACACATTCTTCCTCGGTCACTGGATAACAGGGGTGAAAATGTTCGTAATAGTTGGCTAACAATTTATCCAGAAAAGGGTCGACTTGTTCAAGCAATTCACTCGGCATATTCCTGGTGCAATTACAGTCTGCCGGGCTGGGTCTCCTGGGGGGAATAGGTACATGATAGATTGCCTTCTGCGACTCCCGTCTCCCAAGGCTCGGCTGGATAGGAACATGACCCGGGATGCCATTTGACTGGGGCAGATATTGGTCCAGAACTTGGGTGTCGCGTGCGATGACCGGGCCGACGATATGAGAAAAGCCTTCCATAGACTTATCGCCGGCAATCAGAGAACGATGGACGAAGCCAACCTTGGGAGTGACACGGTCATCCTTCTTGGCTGTGGCAGAAGAGCAAGGCACACCGTGCATACGACACAGTAAGCATGCCTGTCCGGGGATTTCAATGGTGCATCGAGACCGACGTTTGTGACAACGGGCACAAGCCGGATATTTGTGGGAGCGATAGGGACGGGCGGTTTTCATGGTGAAGGACCGATTGCTGGTGTTGTCCGGTGGGATAGCCTCAGCCAGTAGCAGGATTGATGTTGACGAGGTGCTAGGGGCAGCAGGACTCGTCGTGGGAGAAGGGGAGGCGGACTCGGTCGGCGTCAGCGTTGCTGTTGTGCCTGAAGTGGCTGAAGATGGAGGTTCACTAGATCGAGGCGAAGCAGCGACCCACGATGCGGGCCGGTCACGTGTGTCACGTGCACATCTGTCTGAGTCGTCGACACGTGACTCGGCCTTGCGCTTGCTTCCTCCACCGCCGCCGAGACCGATGGAGGAGCAGCCAGAGCTGCTCCTAGACTTGATCTGGGCCATGGTGCTGACTGACGACCGGGGCTAGTCCTTTGGGCTGTTATTCTTGGGAGGCAGAGGATATTCGTCTGCATCACTCATGGCAGTGGGCGCCGTCATATATCAAGGGAAGGGTGCTCCTCCATCTCCCCGGGGCTTCGCTACTCAACAAGGCTATCCTGTCATGCGGGAAACTCGTTCAGGTCCAAGCCCCCCCTCTTAATTGATCCCCCCCCTCCTTATTAGTGGCCAATGCTACTCTGTCATTATGAAATCGTTCATCCTGTACCGCGGTCCTCGCCGCGGGCGACCTCTCACCGACCAGAACACTTATCAGACCTTTTCACACCGTTCCTTCAGCTCCGCAAAGCCTACACAAACGCTCAAATGAGCGGCAAAGTTTCACGATGATGAGGTAGGCTGCATCCAATAATGCCTTGATCTTCCCGAACCGCTCTTCCCGTCCAGGTATAGACCACGTTCTTGCCAGACCAGGAACGACTCGAGTTTCCCGACGGGAGACCCATGTCCCGGTGCTATATCAGTTCTCTGTAACCTGTTCGAAGTTTCTTGGTCGAGAGAGGTGTGTATGACTCCGAGTCCCATCATATCAACGGAAACTGGTCAGCCCCATTTCTGCAATCTTTGTCAGTGTTTCGGGCGTTGAGAGATCAGCTGTGCCGCAGGAACAAACTTTATAGGAAACCATGGCTCCAATGATCGATGACGGCGTCCACTCATCCTCTAACAACCCCGTCCTGGCCAAATCCGGGGATAAACCCAACATCTACAACGATGTCAAGGAAGATGAACTCCAGGAAACGGCAAAAGCCTGCTTGGCCAACTATGGCACCAAGTTCGAAAAGGACATCATCACCGGCAGTAGAGGATTATACGTCTACACTGCCAGCGGTCATCGAGTCATGGACTGGACGTCCGGCCAAATGTCCTGTCTGGTAGGGCATGGACACCCAGAGATCGTGTCGACCATCCATGACCACGCTGCCAATTTGGATCATCTATTCTCTGGCATGCTCTCGCCGCCGGTCATCAACCTGGCCCAACGGCTCACGTCAGCTCTGCCAAAGGGGTTAGATAAAGCCTTCTTCCTCTCCACCGGCGGTGAGTCCAACGAGGCTGCTATCAAGATGGCTAAAGTCTATACCGGCAAGTTTGAAATCGTCGGCCTTGGAGCGAGTTGGCACGGTGTCACTGCGCAAGCACTGGGCACTCAATACCATTTTGGGCGCAAAGGCCAAGGGCCCTTGATGCCTGGGATGCATATGCTTCCTCCTCCTAATGCCTATCGCTCCATTTTCCGCAACCCCGACGGCTCGTATGATTGGGAAACCGAGCTCAACTACGGATGGGATTTGATCGACCGGGCCTCTTGTGGCTCCCTGGCCGCATGTATCGTCGAATGCATCCAGTCCTCAGCAGGCATGCATGTACTCCCAACAGGATACCTGAAGGCGCTGAAGAAGCACTGCGAGAGGCGCGGCATGTTGCTCATCGTGGACGAGGCTCAAACGGGTGTGGGCCGCTGTGGTGACCTGTTCGCCATCGACCACGAAGGCGTCGTCCCGGACATCCTGACGCTCAGCAAGACACTGGGTAACGGGCTCCCTCTGAGCGCTGTGGTCACGAGCGTTGAGATCGAGCGCGTGTGCACCGAGCGCGATTACTGCTTCTACACCACACACGTGAACGACCCGCTCCCTGCTGCCGTGGGCGACAAAGTCCTCGAGATCGTCCTGCGCGACAATCTTGTCGACAACTCCCGCGCCATGGGCCTCCACCTCCAAGCCGGGTTGCAGCGACTCAAGTCTCGCTACGGATGCATAGGCGACGTGCGCGGACGCGGGCTAATGGCCGGTGTCGAGATCGTGGGCGATCGCGAGACCAAAACCCCCTCGATCGAGCTGGCAAGAAACATTTCGCACAAGATGTACGAGCTGGGCCTGTGGGCGAACCTGAGCAGCCACTCGAGCTTTGGGGGTGTGTTCAGGATCGCGCCGCCCATTGTCATCACGAAAGAACAGCTTGATCACGGCCTCGACGTCATGGAGAACGCCTTCCAGACCACCGAGGGGACCATGCCGCTGTACTAAGAATGACCGATGATAGCGAGTTTAGAAAGGTAAAAAAGGGTATCTAAACCAGCCCCGCTCTCTCTCATAGCTTGCTACGGTTGCCCCCCATTATATCGGTAACGTTTGGTATTCGGCTGCGTGCATCAGGTATTGAAAACCCAGAGCCCAGAGTGGGAACAGAACCCCGAGCCAAGCCAAACGCTAATATGTAAATTGTGTGATGAGATAGATGCTTTAGATAGAACAAGGATGTGCATACATAGGATAGACCACTAGGAAGAACCCAGGAATGCAACAGCCAACCAAACTCAAGAGAGAAAGCAAGGTATTTCCCTATAACCCGATAATGCGTCAAAAATCAAGGTCCAAAATGAAGCCAGACAGATGAATTGGGATTGGGATTGGAATTGGAATTGAAAGCACGTAATAATAATAATATCTCCGGATTCCTTCCCTTCCCAATTTCGCATGTATGTACGAGGTATGTATCCTTGTTACCGTACGGAGTACCTGTCCATCCCAACTCACACCGTCTTTCTTTCGCAGCGGTGTATGTATGCATGCGTGAATGTATGCACCTCTTGCTGTACGCTTTGCCCGATGTGCTTGCTTGCTTGTTGGTTTGTCTGCTTTGGTAGAGGCGCGGAGGGGGAGACAAGACAGGGCATTTCCTTTCGATGGACAAGTCTCGTGGGACTTCCCGACTGCCTCTTTCGGTGCCGTCGTCTTGCGGATGTATGTAGCTACCCTCGCCACTCGCTACTCGGACGAGGATCTCGGGGGATCCGGGCCCTCCTGATGACGCCGACCGACCAACAAGGCTGAAGCAGCACAGCACAGGCCAGCGGGCCAGGCGTCCAGGCTTCTGATCCATCCACATCCATGACAGACCCAACCTTATTCCCGCCCACCATGCCACACCGCACGACGCCAATAAACACCCTTCATAGGTTCAAGAAATATGAAATGGAGAAGGGAGGAGCGAGGGAGAAGGAGGCACGGCCAAGACTCCCTTCATATGACTAATCCCGATCCCGACCCGAAAAGGGTTTCCCCTGGTCCCTTTGTTTCTCTCTCGTCAGGCTGCGTCAGTGGGGAGTAGGTGGATGGGCGCGGTTCGCGTGTGTGCGTTGGAGATGAACCCCAATCCTGGCCATGGAGTGTTTGTGTGTTCTGTGTGTGTTTGTTTCTCTTTCGAGTGCCTGTATTCATCTGGTGTACTATTATTGCGCAAAAAATGTGTTTCTTTGGCCCGCCAATCTTCCCTCGGTATTTTCCCGCTGAGCCGCCATTGTCAACGGACGAAGACTCCACAGGCCACCATCCCGTTTCGGACTGCTCTTTTGTAAAACCTCCAATATGGCATGCATGCCTCGTTAGGCAAGAAAGTCCAACTTATCCCTGTGACAAATGACGAATTGGCTAACCGTACTCGTACGAAGTATCATGAAAGAGAGGGAACCCGCGTTGCTCCACACAAATCAAGAGCCGTCAAACTTCTGAGTCAGCCTCGTCAGCCCCCTCGCGCGCCAATAGCAGGCGGGAAGACCTCTTCGGATTCAAGAATCCCCGTTCAAACGCACTCGCCTAGAGTTCCCCGGCTGAGGAAATTGGTAGAGACTGAACGGGCTTCGGGGACCAGAAGGATTTCTCGGGCTTCTGGGAGATCGCAAAAGCTGTTTGGTCGCATTCGCAAAAGCATCAAGGTGAGAAGGGTCCCGTCGGTTGAGGCGTGTAGCCCCCTTTCCTGAGAAGGAACTTGAGGGGATTTTTCTGCTCCAGGGGGTCATGTGGGGTTCTATTTTGCCTCCTGAAAGGGCTGGGAATGCACCTTCAGGCACCCTTTGTGGTCGTCGAGGCCAAACCATGTCGTGGATAAATTGATTCAAGCGCAGAGGCCGTCAGGCGTGCAAGAAGAGGTGACAAATACACTGCATCAGGGCTCCTCTTGGCATATTTGGACATCTGTGAAAGAAATTTGTGACTGATCTTCGACTTGCGTGGAACGAGGTCTTGTGTTTGTCCTCTGGGGGTCAGCTGCCACAAGGCTGCCACTGGTTCCTGGTCGATTAATCATCAAGAAGTTTAACCCACCCGCTATCATCCTTGCGATCTCTCTGTTGGCCTGTTGGCAAACTTTTCTGGCCACAAATGGTCATTCCAGCAGCCAAGACGGCACCTCAGACGAGGGAATAGCATGATAATAACATGATCAAATTGCTCGACATTGCTGTCCGAGTAAAGACCACATCGGCGAGGAGCTTGGACCCTACCATCCAGGGCGTCTGATACACCACCAAAGTCACTGGAGCAACTCAGGACTCCGGACTGGAAGAATCGATTGCCATACAGCTCTTCGTCGATCGGGAGTGAAACTTGAGCTTCAAGGTTCCCAGAAGGGTTGTCGAAATGATTGCGTTTTATTAGCCAGTCAAGAGTCTAACGAGAATGATCAGTGAGTGTCGCTTGCCAAGGTCATGCGACGAAATAAGGTTGCATTGAAGAAGGGATGTGCTTTGGGGGTCTCTGACAGTCCCAAGAGGACTGATATGGCTTTCAATAGGAAATAGTTCTAGTCGACTTCACGATCCTGGTGATTGCAGCTGCGTCGTTGAGAGGTGATGGTGGAGTACAGCTCTCGGGTATGCGCAAGAATCCTCCTTCTCACAAACTTCCGTCAGCCTCCGTTTCACAGTTGGGATGGGGTATATCAAGAGTACCGACCGGTTGAGCCAATGTAGCATCCTCCGGACATACCACGAATGGCAGATCAGTATGAATAATAGTATTGTAGACTTGGTACTTGGCCAAATGCGTCCAGAACAACTTGTTGGCGACTGCTTGCCATTCTCTGTAAGGTTCGAGGACTTAAACAACTGCATCGTTGTCGTGCACTCCAAGACCGACTGCCATCCTTGCTGCAACCCTTAG